TCAAACATCTTTTATTCTATAGATTTGATAAAACTGAGGGTATTGTCGTTATTGCTGCCACAAATTTTCCTGAAATTCTTGATAAGTAAGTTAACTGCATTAATTTAAAATATTCCTCCCACTTTATACATTAAATATTCTATACATTATAATTTAATCGTCACGATATGTTTATAGAGCTTTAGTTCGTCCTGGACGTTTTGACAGCCGTGTGACCGTCCCAATGCCTGATGTTCGTGCTCGTAAAAGCATTCTTGAGTTGCATCTTGGAAAAGTAGAGATGGCGGACGGTAATGAATTTTAAATACATGTGTCATTGATGTATGTCTTACTCCCAGCAATCTTCAGATGTACATACATGTGTCATTGATGTATGTCTTACTCCCAGCAATCTTCAGATGTACATACATGTGTCATTGATGTATGTCCTACTCCCAGCAATCTTCAGATGTACATGCATGTGTCATTGATGTATGTCCTACTCCCAGCAATCTTCAGATGTACATGCATGTGTCATTGATGTATGTCCTACTCCCAGCAATCTTCAGATGTACATACATGTGTCATTGATGTTTGTTTTACTCCCAGCAATCTTCAGATGTACATACATGTCATTGATGTATGTCGTACCCCCAACGATCCTAAGATATACATACATATATTGTAGATGTGTTGTTCTACAGTTGCCATACGGCAGTAGGCACTTATAAATGAACATCCTTTAAATTATTTTGGAAATAATTTTTGGATAATCTTGATAGATAATTTTTGATAGTTTATTTGCCTTAGCACTTTGCCTGTATGACAACCAGATTATAAACTTTTTCTTTTATGTAGATGTTAGTCCAGAGACTTTGGCAAGAGGTACTCCAGGTTTTTCAGGTATCTCATAAAATATATGTTGAAAATCTTAAGCTTATTGCATTATTGTATCTTTTTTGTTGTTATGGTAAACAATCCTTCTTGAAGAACTGTCTCTTACTAAAACTGATTATTTGTGATGCATGCATGAGTTTATTACATTTGATATACAGTTGACGATCACGCGGTTTTGTGTTTATCATAAAAGATTTGAAATAGATAATTGTCAAAAGCTAGTCCCCAAACTTTATCTTGGGTTGCCAACTGATATAGAGACCACCCTCCCCCCCCCCCACCCATTAATCGCAGGTCAATTATTTTTGACGTGTGTAGTTTTTTAACGTTTAATTGTGAGCACTATTGCTGCTATTGGGAAGATTGATTAAATTCCTCTGTCGACTTTCAACGCAGCACTTTTTTTTGGTGAGGAAAGAGCATACATGCAGTATTGTAGCTTGATTAAAACTCAATTTCCAGTTCAAGAGAAAAAACAAAAATTTGAATTTCCGGTGAAAATTGACTCTAAAGAAAGCAAGATTTTTTTAGAACTGACGAAAAGTTTGGGTAAAGCCAGCTGCTGCATTCATTTTTAACGTGGGAATTTGTCTTTATAAGGTGCCGATCTTGCAAATTTGGTGAATCAAGCCGCCTTAAAGGCAGCAAGTGAAGGTCATGCTTATGTCAATAATGAACATTTGGAATATTCAAAGGATAAAATAATAATGGGTAAGATGCACAAAGTGCAAAGTTCACAAACCTGAAACAAATTTTTGGCAAGGAATATTTCCAAGACTGTCCATTTCGAAAGGATTTCCTTGCTTTGAGTATCTTAATAACAACTTGAAGTCTGTATTAATTAAAATGCAGAACTCAATACAACATTGAAAATATTTGTAGACCAATTACATCTTATTTCAGTAATTATGTAAAGGTAAATCTTTTATTTAGGACCTGAGAGAAAAAGTGCTTTTATCGAGCAGAAGAATCGTGAAGTTGTTGCTTATCACGAAGGAGGACATGCATTGGTTGCTTATTATACATCAGGTTTTAAAGCCTCATCCCAGTCCCCAAAATTATGTTTGTGTGTGGTATAAGAATAAGTTATGTTTTCATTTAGAAGCCTTACCGTTACATAAAGCTACTATTGTACCTCGTGGTGATGCTTTGGGTTTGGTAAGTAGCTACGTATCTCATAGATATTCAAATGAAAAAAAAGCTGCATTACTTTTCTTATGAAAATATATTCAAGTTGAAAATGGTTCTGAGGTAGTAAATCTATTTCAGTTCTGGTCTGCTTGTGGGGAGGGGGGTTAAGTGTTTCTTTCAGTTTTATTGTAGGTGTTGTAATGTGGTATATTGTTTGCCGAAACATGTCTAAATGTATAGAATTGTTGTTTATGTGAAATGTGTTATGCTATTGGGCTTTTACGAAACTATTGAAATTGTTGCCGACGAATTGCTTAATATTATTAATGAAAACCATCATAGCGAGTCGTTTACAATAAATTACGACAAACTTGCATTACGTTGCTAAAAGACACCATTCCCAAGCTGCATCGTGGGCTCATACAACATGGGGCTTGTATTGCCGCGAGGTTGATATCATACGCTGATCATACGTAATATTTTGACAGTAATGTTTTCTTATTTTTTTATTAGGTTGCTCAGCTTCCTGAGAAGGATGAACTATCGTGGACAAAAAAACAGTTAATGGCAAAACTTGATGTATGCATGGGTGGTCGCGTCGCTGAAGAACTCGTATTTGGCAGTGATAATATAACTAGTGGTAAGCTTCATCGATATAAGAAATAAAAGATGTTTCCTGTGTTTGCTTAGACTTATTCAGATCGAGGAGATCTTTGGGAGAACTCGAGAGTACATCAGTGCAAGCCCAAGACAGAAGATGGAGAGTTCTCACATTTTGCATTAACCCATAATCCAGTGCAAACACGAAAAACATCTTTTATTTCTTTTATAAAATGACAATAATGCGAAACAAACAAATTTAATACAGACTTTTTGATTTTTCCTCTAACATGTATCCATGATTTATTTGCAAATTCTCTTTGATTGATTAATTGATTTGATTCGTTGAGCTCAGATCGGTTTGTACTGGATGACACGGCTATTGGCCAATCATCGCACGCGTTTTATTGTATTTTATAAAACCTCTTATGCATAAATAAGTTAGGATACAACTAAAAACGATATTTCTCCCAATTTTTCGGTATTATACCTTTTTTTATGATTTCTTATCTTTTGGTTTTTTCGAGCTCAGTTACGAGCTGCCTGCTACCTCCTGCTTATCTAGAAACCTCTCCCTCCATACGTTAGAGCTTTGAGGGGTACAGAAAAAACAAGCGAATGGTCGTTGGGGACTGCACTTTAAGTGGAAAAACAGGGCAATTTTTTATCATTAAAATCTGTATATAACGCCTGCCGCACACTGGTAAACTTGCCGCGCGTACTTGTTATTCGTGACAAGCGTGATCGACAAAATGTCCTAGTGTGCTCGGAAGTTTTCAACAACATTTGTCATTCGTGACAGATTAGTCAAATATCAAACGCGGTGGGCTTAAAGAAGTATTTTATCTATTTTTGTAATGATACAAAACCCATGAAATATTAGAAAATTATTTGAAATTTTCATTTAGTATTTTTACCTTTACATACAATGACCCGTTGACTGTTGGTTGTAGTTCTGTCTTCACTCTTACTCAGTTTATATTTCGGTCAAATCTTGGCATATGTCAGCGGTCGTTGACCGATTTCTTGCTCCCTTCCCCCCTCCACTTCCCTCGTCACTGATGTTAACATGCAAAAATATTGAACCAGAAAGCTTATTTCACGTGAGATTTGCGCCATTATTTTTAGGAGCATCGAGCGACTTCTTTCAAGCAAATAAAATAGCGCGAGCCATGGTGACAAAATACGCGATGAGTGACAAGGTAATTTTAGGAAAAACAAAGATATATTGCACAATTTTAACAACATTTTCCTGTTCTTTTCATCTAATGAATTTTGATGTCAATTTTTTTAGGTTGGTCCACTTGTTATTACTGATGAAGAGAAATTGAGTCCTGAATTACACAACTCGATTGAAAATGAAGTGAAACGACTCATAAAAGTATGTGTGTTAATGATGTGCATTACTTCATTACGTCATGATTCTGTTCAATACTATACTATATTTATATGACATTTTACATTGTGGAAATAATACTATTGTTAGCCAGCGGTATCAACGTTACCTGTTGCTAACCCATTATGAATTATGACAAACGTTTTCTACTAGCAGTTTATGCTAGTTTAATTTATTTGTCGATATGTTAACTCAATTTTTTTATACAGGAGTCTTACGAGCGAGCGAAGAATATTATTCAGAGTTATTCAATTGAACATAAGCGTCTTGCCGAAGCATTGCTGAAGTACGAAACACTAAACGTTGAAGACATTGAGGCTGTTATTCAAGGAAGATCTATCGAGTAAAATGTTTATTTTTTCATGTACATAGCACCGTCTTTACTGCATGTCTAGCATGAAAAGATAAGCTTGACATCTCCATTTTCTTGAGATAAGCCACTTGATTTAGCATGTAGAAAACTCAAACAAGTATGGAAATTTAAATATATAGCATTTACTAAGTACAAAAAGAAGTGCTTTCTAGAAATTCTTTACGGTGTTCACTCATTAGTTTACTCAAAGTTTACGTTTTATTGTCTATAAAGAAGAGATGTAATGATTCGTAAAATTTTGTTATGTATTTTTAATTTTCTTTCTTTCTTTTTTTTGTTTTACTGTCAAACGATTTGCCTCAGTCTCCTTACGTAGCAGAGAAAACGAGTCGTTCATTAAAAAAATATTACAAAAAATAATTTATAAATTATGTAATAAACACTTGTATTGCCATGGCAATTGCTTAAGCAGCTCATCTCTTTTAGATATTACTAATTTGTAACACATGCTACAAAATTTGATTTATTTTTTTCTAAAACAATTGTCATTGATGATTACTCAGTATGCGTAAGACAAGTTGTAGCTTGGTGAGAAATATTTACATCGATTATGAACGAAAAATATCAGCAATTAGACTTACTTTAATATTACTTACAAAGTGATCATTTAATGATCTTTTTACTCTACTCGTCGCTCGTTGATTGTTCTGATACTTTAGCTATGACATTCAACCGTACACCTTCATCAATCTGTGGCTCTAGTGAATTTGAAAGGGACATATCGATTCTATTTAATTCTTCGTCATCATCAATTGTTTTGACGACATTGTTGTTTGAGTCTAATGAATGATGGGAAGTCTCGATAGAATGAATTTTTGATCCATTGGAGTCTTCATTACCGATCACGTCAGGTTGTCCATCATTATTTGTTACTGATGAATGGTGGGATGCCTCGATGGAACGAATTTTTGTTTCATTAGAGTCTTCATTACCGATCACGTCACGTTGTAAATCATTTGTTACTGATGAATGGTGGGATGCCTCGATGGAATGAATTTTTGATTCATTAGAGTCTTCATTACCGATCACGTCACGTTGTAAATCATTATTTGTTACTGAAGAATGGTGGGATGCCTCGATGGAATGAATTTTTGTTTCATTAGAGTCTTCATTACCGATCGCGTCACGTTGTAAATCATTATTTGTTACTGAAGAATGGTGGGATGCCTCGATGAAATGAATTTTTGTTTCATTAGAGTCTTCATTACCGATCACGTCAGGTTGTCCATCATTATTTGTTACTGATGAATGGTGGGATGCCTCGATGGAACGAACTTTTGTTTCATTAGAGTCTTCATTACCGATCACGTCACGTTGTAAATCATTATTTGTTACTGATGAATGGTGGGATGCCTCGATGGAATAAATTTTGTTTCATTAGAGGATCACGTCAGATTGTCCATCATTATTTGTTACTGATGAATGGTGGATGCCTCGATGGAATGAATTTTTGATTCATTAGAGTCTTCATTACCGATCACGTCAGATTGTCCATCATTTGTTACTGATGAATGGTGGGATGCCTCGATGGAATGAATTTTTGTTTCATTAGAGTCTTCATTACCGATCACGTCAGGTTGTCCATCATTATTTGTTACTGATGAATGGTGGGATGCCTCGATGGAACGAACTTTTGTTTCATTAGAGTCTTCATTACCGATCACGTCACGTTGTAAATCATTATTTGTTACTGATGAATGGTGGGATGCCTCGATGGAATAAATTTTTGTTTCATTAGAGTCTTCATTACCGATCACGTCAGATTGTCCATCATTATTTGTTACTGATGAATGGTGGGATGCCTCGATGGAATGAATTTTTGATTCATTAGAGTCTTCATTACCGATCACGTCAGATTGTCCATCATTATTTGTTACTGATGAATGGTGGGATGCCTCGATGGAACGAACTTTTGTTTCATTGGAGTCTTCATTACCGATCACGTCAGGTTGTCCATCATTAGCACAAATTACATCAACATCTTGCATCTTTAATACTTTATCGTCCTGTTTATTGTTACTCGTCTCATTAGTATCAGCGTTCTCACTTGGTGACAGCAAATATCTGGCAACGTTATTGACAGCGTCTGGTCGATTATTCAGAGCACTCTTAACCACAGTTTGCAATTTTTCTGCATTTTGTCTTGCGTGGCGTGCCCCATCATCGTCAGCATTTCCATTATTATGTCTTTTATATCTCTCTTCACTTTCATTTTCTTCTTTATATCCCTCCTCGTTATTTTTTGAAAAACAATTCCCCATTTTACTTCAAAGTTTCTTTTGTACGTCAATTTTAAAAGTTCAACGGGAAGTGAGCACCATAACTTCAATTAATGACGACAACATTTGTTTTTGGTTCAATTCAAGTGACGTCACAGACATTGATGAAGTTCTTTGTATTTTGAGATAAATAGAAAAAACTTTTAGAAAAACTCAAGCTCCCTAATATTTATTTTTGACATGCAGTAACATAAAAGTACAATTTTTGCTTGAATAAAAGACTGTCATCAAATTTTCTGCATTTTAGCTAACCTATGAAATGGAGTATGTATAATGCGTGACGCGCTTAAAACCCATGTGAAATACATATAAAAGAACTGAACTTATGATGGCATAAGAACATCGACGGTGGAAGACTGAGACCGACCATGTGAAACAACTTAAGCCCAGTATTTTTATTACGCATCCTTTTCACTTAAATCATAGAAGATGTCGAAGAGAGGTCAGTAAAATAGAATCTAATCCTTTCGAATCTCGCCTCAAAGGCTATGTTTTTGGTTCATCTTTGTTCATTACATGATTTTATAAGAGTCATTGTAAATATTTGAAACTTTAACTGTATTTACTGCAACGGATCATGTTTTTTTAGTGTTAAATTCCTTCCAAGTACATTTTGCCCATGTCAGTATTGTATTTGATATCAAAATCTTTTATTTAACGTTTTTCAATTCCACTATTATTTTCTTATCGAAATTAAGGTAAGCAGTATCTTGAAAATCGTAAGGATTTAACAATAAATGTTATGAAAAATGTCAACATTAATCTGCTGTATGACATCTAGTTATCTACCATCAGCAAGATGACTGTATACTTAATTCATCTCATCATTTTTAACACAATATATTAGGTTGTTTTTTTGATTATCATTATCATGCCCGAATGATAAGGATTATTTAAAACGCATCATATAATACAATAGAGAAACTTCAAGCTTATTCTTGTTTTTGTGTAAGTGCTCAGATTTCTTCTAATTTGAAAAAATGTAATGTCATTACATCATTCATTGGCATTGAGATTAAACAAAACAAACAAACAAACAACATTTGTATACCGGCCAGTATTAATCCCCGCCAGGAGTTGACCAGTCCATGAACTTTTCTACGCCAAACGTCTCTATCTCTCGCCATATCTCTCGTTATACCCATCGCCTTCATATCACTGTTCACAGCATAACTGTTCACAGCATGTTCACAGCATTGGGATGAACTAGAAGTAAATTTCTAATCAGTTGCATTTTACATGGTTTTGACCCACGTATGTGCTTACATGTTGTATATCGCATTTGGCGTATGATTGGGTTTGAATTTGTTTTACATATTACACTTGCTAAGAAAGTAGTTTTGAAAAGCAGTAGGTCATTAAACTATTCTACAAAACAAAACTAATATAGTCATGATATATGCCTTGAAACGAACCAATAAAATCAATAGTTTATGTATTAATAACTTAACATTAGCTCTAAAATCTTTACAAGTTCATTGCTGATCAGGGAAGGCTTTCAGTAAAAAAATTTTTCTAATAAACCAAGTTATTTTCTGTTTTTGCTCGATGTATTAAATCCCTATTATGTTGGTTCGTTTGTTTTTGTTAGTTGTGAAATACAGCTTTTTCAAGAAGTTTATTGCTTCTTACAGGACGTGGAGGAGCAGCTGGAGGGAAGTTTCGCCTTTCTCTTGGTTTACCAGTTGGTGCGGTGGTTAATTGTGCTGACAACACTGGTGCCAAAAATTTGTATATTATTGCGGTAAAAGGTATCAAAGGTCGTCTTAACAGACTGCCGGCCGCTGGTGCTGGAGACTTAGTTCTGGCCACTGTTAAAAAAGGAAAACCTGAACTAAGGAAAAAAGGTCTGTGATGATTGTATGCTACACTGTCTCACTTCATAAAAATATTTGTTGTATATGTCGAGTATCCAACTCTTTATGCTAGATTCTATGCTATCAAAAGTTTCATGTTTTTACAGCATTGTGACATGTCCTCTGTTGGTAGACTTTAAATATTTAGTGTTTTTCTAAAGAGATAAAAATTATTTTGTTTCAGTTATGCCTGCTGTAATTATAAGACAGAGGAAAGCCATTAGAAGAAAAAATGGACTATTTATCTATTTTGAAGGTAATGTGGTATAATTGAAATAATACAATTATTTGCTTGCAAATCTTGAGTTAAGATTATATTTTAATTAATGTGTTATGATTGAAATACTATACATTTAGATAATGCTGGGGTGATTGTGAATGCCAAAGGAGAAATGAAAGGTTAGTAAGAAAAATTTGTTATTGGAATTAATTTCAAAAGCTAGAAAGTGAGTTATGTAGCTGGTCCAAATTCAGTCTTTGCAAATTGCTTTATAAAAGCATTTTAACTATTGCACAATATGACAAAGGAATTTTCATAAAATGCAAAGTGTCGGTGTTTATAACTTTGAAACAAAATCTAAACATGTGCAAGTGAAGGCTAAGCTAAAGATTATTAAAAGTTGAAGTCCACAAAAATAGTTGAAGTATTTAAGTTGAATTTACAACAAGTTATTTCATTGCTGCATTTTTAAAAGCTTAGGTTGATGAGACATTGATAGTTTGAAGAGCATGTCCATAGTAAAGTGCATCAGGTTGCAAAATCTTTTTGATAGTTGTAGTTGTTTACAAAGTTTTCAATCGCCATGAAGTTTGCAAATTAAATTCAAGTACTTTTACCATGAGATTATTTTTATTGTATGTGACCTATATTATTGCATTTACAGGTTCAGCTATAACTGGGCCTGTTGCCAAGGAGTGTGCTGATTTATGGCCAAGGATAGCCTCAAATGCAGGCTCTATTCATTGAATTGTATCCACTGTGTTACTGAATAAAACAGTTGTACAAAGCCAAATGTGTTGAATTGTTTTGATCAATGTATTAGGTATTTTTAATTACCAGAAAATTACGAACATGTTGCATTTTCAACCTTTTACAAGATTATTTGACTTTTAAATATGCTCAGAACTTAAATAGTTTTTGTTTTTCTCTTCTTTTTGTTTCATGATGATTGCTTTATCAATATTCCTGTTGGAAGGTATATGATGTATGTGAATATCAATTCATTTCTAGACTTAAATAACACACAGCAACATGCTAGAACATATGTCTTGGCAACCTCGTTCCCAGGGTCTTTTCTAGGGTTGTTTTCCCCAGGAGTCATCCAGGCCTTGGGAACGAGGTTGATGTCTTGGCTGCTGTTACAAATTTTGTATGTATGAAACAAACAATGCAAATTTGTATTCCCATCCGTTGCCAACCCCCTTGGGCAATTCTCAATCTATTCCAGGATTACTTTCTGAACCAAATTCTGTTTTGGTCTTTGAGGATGGACTGAAAAAGAACCATTTCTCTAATCTGACTGCTTTATTACCAACTTCGTCTTCACATGTATCTGTAGGTGGTGGAGTTATGAATAACTTTGTGTCCATTGCATTGCTATCATCTAGTTGTGTTGAACAAGTACTAACCAATGAATGTGGTGTGTTATTGCAGGTGCTGTTGTCACTATTTTCAATGCTTAGCATGATTTCAGACATGTCTTCTCCACAGTCCCCATCAGGAATGGAATCTCTTTCTTGTTCATTCTGCAATGTCAACGATTTTATGGCATTCTCAAGTTCTGTTGCCACTTCATCTAAATTATGGTAATCAACACTCTTGTGTGAGTCAAATAAGGCATTACATCGTTCATTGATTTTTGCTATATGTTCACTCCTACATGCTTCATCGGGATTTTCAGCCCCCACACCTTCTCCTCGTGGCTCAAGTAAGTTTGCTTCGCTATTCCTTCGCTCATGAATGGAGTCACTGATTTTCTCCAGGTTTCTTAGTGTGTCCTGATATTCTATTTTGGCCATTGTAATGTGTTGTTGAAGTTCTACTACCTTTTGCTTGTGTGCCTAAATTGAATTTATTGAATTTGCTTAGCAAACAAAGGTGCACACCATTAAGATCTTAAATGTGCATGAATTTGATGAGAATAAAATTTTATTGATCAAAATATTTTTCAGGCATTTTGAAATATACTTTTTTCATAAATAACCTGCTACCATTTAATTGTACGAATGCTGTAACCTTTCTACTGCTGAGCAATCACAAACTCTGACAGTGATGATTTAATATACCTCAAGAGTTTGGTTATATTTTTCTTTCAACTCAAAGTATGACCTAGTAAAAAAATGATGTTAATAACATACACGCCACAATTCATGTAAACATTCATTCACCAAACTGATGTACCTTGTTTTATTTATAACAGATTTCAAACATTTTTCAAGACATGTCTTTTTCAGCTGCAGCTCAGTAAATGCCTGGGACACTTCAAGATGGATTTTTTCAGCAGCTGCTTTCTCTTTGTTGGCTTTCATTACCTAGACAGAACACTTAAGTGGTTACAACCAGTCTAACATTGCTCTACACTATATCATTATCCTAAACAGATTCTTGGCAAGATTGTTGTTGTCCTAATAAACAGATGACATTCATTTAAAATTATTAGAAATCATTTCATGCATAGAAAGCCAATTATTTTAAACACTGACAACTGGAAAAAAAGTGACAGCCACGAAATACCTTTATTGTTGCATGGTTAAGCATCTCTTGACATGCAGAATCCAGAAATCTTTTATCTTGTTTCAATTTTTCTTCAGCCTTCTTGACCATATCTTTGGCAGCATTATAATTATCACAGGCTCTGTCATATCTGGCAGCAGCTTGTTCACTCTCATTATGCACCTTTAATGATTAAGAAAAGTCCTTGACAAACTTTTTAGAAAGTCAACATTTTAACTTTCAAAAAAAATCAAACAACCTCGCATGTCAAGAAGCATCACAATGTTTATCACAAGTAAACTTTCTATGGCTAAACAAATTGTGTTTCTTATTTTTATGATTGTTGCACACCACAACAATTACTATCATGAAGGTTTTATGTACATGATCAAGAATGGATATCAAGTTTAGTTTTTATTTGGTACATGGTATACTATTTTCAAGCAAAATTCAAAAATGTCATATATCACTACATGCAAACCTTACTTGTTCTGTTTGAGTCTTTGCTTCATAATATGGTCGGGCTTGATCCACCTTCTTTCCCAATTTATCATTCAATGACGTGAGATGGGAGGCTGACTTGGCCATAGTTATACGAAATGTTTCTTGTGCATCCTAATTCCAAAGATTATTATAATGTTACATTGTGGCTAACTCTTATGTAGAAATAAGTACAATATACATTTTACAATCAAACATATAGGACTAATATGAGTGAGTCAGAGTGACCAGCTAGTGCATATTCATGTCACGAGTTTGACTCAGAAAATCTGTTTTTAAAATTTTTTAAAAGTATTATCTTGTGAAATAGGGAATTCAAGTTAAATTCATAACAAAGGCGCATTGGACTAAAATCGACCAACATCAATTAAAACATATCAGCAATATATAAATATTAAAATGCACTTTGAAATTTCCTACTTCATAATCCTTTTCCAGAAGATTTATTCGATGATTGGTGTTATTTAACTTCTCTAGCTCGCCCTAAAAGATATATACCATAGAAGACTTTCAAGTTTTTGTCATTCAGAACTCATTTCTTAAAATGTCAATACAGTAACACAGTGCTTTCGTTGCCTAAGAGAACGACAAATGGCTGAATACAAATATTTAATATAATGTTTTATTTTCATTGAATCAAGTTTGAGTGATTCAAGAAATCGTTAACAATAAATGATTTTCAATACGATAAACTTACTTTTATTCTTGGATCAACTTCGACATCCCAACAGTCGGTCTCCATAACAAATTTTTGTGTATACAAAGTCTATTGAAGGAATGTTATACAAAGTCTATCATGGGAACGTTCAACATCCTTTCCCCAATGCAAATGACATAGCAAATGCAAATGACATAGCAAATGCAAATGAAAGTGAAAAATTACATAAATTTACATAAAAAGTGAAGTAGTTGTCGCAATGCATGGTTAGAAAAGCAGAACGAACGAAAATGTATATAATCTTTCATTCACACAGTTGACACTTTATAATAGAAAATTTTTCATTTTTTATTTATATGAATGATACCATTAATTTCTAAGAATGAACAAAATTATTTTCATGGACTTCTCCCAAATTCATACGCCAGCTTTATCAAGTTCTAGTTTAATGGGTTCAGCTTAGCTACTTATATAAAATCGCGTGAGACGTAAGAATTTGAATTAGAATTCCCGTGACTTCTCACTTTGTACTTTCGTAAACGGCAAATGTATGTAAATTTTAATTTGTGCAAGAAGATAGAGATACGCTGGCTCCGCCGGGTTGATACACGCATGACCAATTTACCAAAATTAGATTAAACATATATTGATCCAATATTGATTAGTTTCGTGGCAGACATTATGCAGAATATGCCAATGGTGACGTGGTTGTTTAATTATGATTTATAGAAAGAAAAGACCGTCGAAAATGGACAATAAATCTTTGTCGAAGAAAAATGATTTTTAATTTTGATATAAGTTTTGTTTTATTTACCTTTTTGCTTCTTACTAGCTTTTCCCAACATAAGACCCAGGTTAGTATACTATATCTATAATCTCTGTTGTATTATTCATATTCAATATTCACTGTTCATTTTCAACTTTTTAAAAGCATTGTTTTGTTGATAAATAAATGCAAAGTTGTCTTTAGTAATGTAGAGGGAAGCCAAATATTGCTGTAATGTATGTAAGCAGACAGATTTTGTTTGTTTGTTTAGTGTATGAAATATTGCATGTGCAATACACACCAAATCATGCTATCAATGTGGGCCAAACAGAATTCATACTTTACCGTTGCAGCTATATTTAATTTGGTTTTCTTTCTGTGAAGATGAGAGAATTTAATCAAAGAATTCTTTTCTTGGAGAATATTTCCTTTTACATCTTAACAACACAAAAGATTTAATAGCCTTTATATTATCAGGTGGAGGTGGATATTGAAACTAGAGAAGATGATGGATGCCTTTATGTTAAGTAAGTATTTTAATGTTGAAAATTGTCATTTGTATTATCATGTTTTTGTTGAAATGTTTGGTGATTTAGATGTGGTGTCAATGAGTTTTGTTGTGATGGAGAGTGTTGCTTAAATTTATCACGAAACTGGTTTACATGGTAATTATATCAGTGATTTTGCATGATGTTTTGTTTATTGTGGTTTACTTGAACAATTTCTTAGTTGCAGGCTATTTGAAAAACGTTTACCAGCAAGTAGCCATAAATTTAATGTTTTTAGCATCGAACAGTAAAGTAGCTACCCCATTTGATGCATGCATACATTTAGTTGCAGATTCAGAATTTAAAATGAAAACTGAGGAGACCTTTAGGTTCCCCAGTGGAAACAAAGTAAACATCTTTTATTTCTTTTATATAATAACAATAATGCAAAAGAGATCAATTAAAAAAAATGTTTTAATTTTTCATTTATCCCTGATTGGTTTGCACAGGCTGATGCAAATTCAGCTATAGACCAATCAGAGCATTTTATTGTTTTTATTTTATAAAAAGTTTTTTTAAACCAAAGAAGTATCCATTTCTATTTCAGGTTTGTCTTGGTTGGTATCATTTTTGTGATAATCTTGCTTTGCTTATTCATGCCTTGCTTTCGAAAAATGGAAGATAATATTAAATCCACTCAATATTATTTTATATCACCTGAAAAATATCAACATTATGACACTATGCCCTACAAACAACAGCCATCTATTTCCCAGAACAGTACAAGTATCTCAGAAAGACGACAGCCATATACGTAAGCTCACATCATTTTCCTGTTGTCATGTGATTTTACTTAATTCACTCGTTTCTTTTAGATACGAAAGATACATACAACAAACTTCACGGAATGAATGGAATCAACCAACACCATCTGCACCACCTAAAAGTCCATAATATTTAATAAAAAAGAACTATTTATTTTATTTCACTCCTACTATGTATATTCGTTATTTAAACAGGCAAAAACTAGAAATAATTATAAGTAAGGTGCAGGTTATTTAATATGCAGTATATTTGATGCTATATTTTGCTTAGTATTTCTGTATTTAATGAGGAATTGTACAAAGCTTGACGCTTATGAACGGGTAATGTGTATACTGTAAAGAAAACGCAAAATTCGAACTTCAGTTTATAAATGGCTGATGACCTATTCTTACGTAAATGGGCGCTTATCGTTCATTTGCAATGCAAAGGGTGTTGGCGTTCTTATGAAGCACCAGCATTTTATGAAAATTCGTCTATTTTTTCAAGAACTTATAGCTGTGAAGCATGATTATTCTGTTCAAAGATCTTGAGATATTAGTAAATCGTACGTATTTAGCCACAATTTAACCTTTGTTTATTCTGCCCCCCGCTCAAAACGATTAGAATTGCTTCGATTCTTGTTCTTCATTCCTGTAGGAAAGAGCAGAAACATTCTGAGGAATAAACGCTACTCGGCCTCAGAATCTTGTTCCCCTGATCTCTCTGTTACTGCTGTTTCTTCTGTAAGTGCCATTTTCGTCTTCAAACAAAAGAAACAGGAATGAAGAAGAACAGGATTTGAACCATTGCTTATCGATTTGACATTCATCAAGGTTCAGTTGGAGGCAATCAATTGTGCATTATTTTTAAAGCGTATACGTTGCCATGACATAACAAGAATAGCCGATTAACGTTTATGCAAAACACGAAACATTAAAAATACCTGGTTCAAGCGTGAATTCTTAACGGGTAAAAATGAAAATATTCCCAGGCTATTGCTGTCAATATTTCCTTTAAATTTAAGATGAAAATGGGTGCAAACGAACAGTTGCATTTACAACAAAAATCAATGTAGTATTGCATACATCCACTATGTGTTAAACTATGAAATGCACTCTCACTTTTAAAAATTCACAATGAAATAGGTCAATGGTTGGAGCAATCACTGACTTCTCACGCCGGTGTGTCTTCAGGATGTTAATGACGTCATATGGTGCACTTGATAATGAAATGAATTTAAAAATTATCGGTCGATCGATAGAAGATAGCCAAGATGGAGGAAACGAAGTTAATTTGTGTTTTAAATTTTGAACATGATGCTTTCTCTGAGCTTTATAGACTAAAACAAGACGAGATGTTGTGTGATATATCATTAAGGATTGGAGAAGAACTGGTAAAAGCTCACCGCATCGTTCTAGCCGCTACTAGCCCCTATTTTCATGCGATGTTCACGGGTGACATGTTGGAAAGCCGACAGACCGAGGTCGCCTTGCATGGCGTAGAATTTCATTCTCTTGAGCAGCTGATAAATTACTGCTACAGTGGCAAAATAGAAATAACTATAAAGAATGCTCAAAATCTATTAGCAACTGCTAACTTGCTACAACTTGTGCAGGTTGAAGAAGCCTGTGTTAATTTCTTTCAAGAACGACTCCATCCCAATAATTGTCTTGGCATTCTAAATTTCGCGGATGCTTTTAGCTGCATTTCACTGTCTCAGGCCGCAGATGAATTCACCGTTAAAAACTTTAAGCATGTTGTTGATTCTGATGAATTTTTAAGTCTTCCCTACGAACAAATTTCCCGACTTTTGATTCGAGAGGATTTGAACATCCGTTCAGAAGAACAAATTTTTGAAGCAGTTATGAAATGGGTTAAGAAAGATGAAGAAGATCGCAAAGTTTTTCTTCCTAATTTATTGAAAAATGTACGTCTTGCATTGTTATCGCCACAGTATCTTTGTGATAAAGTATGTAATGATGAACTTATTCGCAACAGTTTGATATGCAGAGATCTAATTGACGAAGTAAAAAATTACTTTCTTTTGCCTGAGCGTCGGAATGACTTCACTGGTGTGTTTGCTAAGCCTAGAAAATGCAGCGAAGCTTCTGGGGCAATTTATGCTGTTGGTGGGCTAACACAAAGTGGTGAACCACTTAGTACAGTTGAAAAATTTGATCTCCTTAACCTTGAATGGCAGTCTTGCAAATCAATGTTGACACTACGAACACGAGTTGGGGTTGCAGTTCTTGATAACAAGTTGTATGCCTTAGGTGGATATGATGGTAATGATCGTCTGAGTACAGTGGAGTTCTTTGATGCAGAAGAGAACATTTGGTGTCGGACATCATCAATGAATACCCGGAGAAGTGCTCTTGGAGCATCCGCACTAAATGGTAATATATTTGTTTCTGGAGGATATGATGGCCATATCTCCCTTCATACTGTAGAATTTTTTAACCCGGATAGCAAACAATGGCGATTTACCTCACCCATGACTACTTTACGAAGTGCAGCTGGAATGGTGTCTTTGGGAGGCAAATTGTATGTAACTGGTGGTCATAATGGTTTACAGATATTTAATTCTGTTGAGTGTTTTGATCCACAGCTTAACACATGGACATGTATGCAAGGTATGAAAACAAGAAGGTGTCGAGTTGGTGTGGTAGTGATGGATGGCTGCCTTTATGCTTGTGGTGGTTATGATGGAAGTTCTTTCCTTGATTCTCTTGAACGCTACTGCCCCAGAACAGGCTCATGGTCTATGCTTGCACCAATGAGCTCCAGGCGAAGTAGAGTTGCCTTGACAACATTGGGTGGTTCTCTTTATGCAATTGGTGGCTATGATGGTATGTCTAATCTTAATTCTATGGAAAGGTATGATCCAAAAGCAGAGCAATGGTTTCCAGCTCCCTCTATGTATTTGCATGAAGGGGGTGTTGGTGTTGGGGTTCTACCATGTATATAATGGTAGTTTGATTGTATTTTTAATATTTTAGGATAAAATATGACACTTGGGCTCCTCAATTTACAATTATCTAGATAATTTATCATGTATTAGTTTATGAAAAGATAAACCTCTTGGGTATTTAAAAATACACATTTAATGTACGGAATTAGTATTTAAATATTTCGTGATTGCGATGAAACTTTTATTTAATAGTACAATATAATGTCTTTTTTGAAAAGATTCATATCAATTTAGGATCAATTATAATACAACATTTCAAGCAAAAAGTGGAGTTAGTAGTTAATATTTGTAGAAATGGACCACAAAAACCAAATGTTTTTCGAAGAGATTTAATTCTTGAACATTTTAAGATGTAACTGGTCATGAATATACAAATCTTTAAAACAATCTTCACATCAGTGTTTCTTTTGCTTTCTTACAATTTTCTTTCTTCTTAATTTTTGCTTTTTTTCTTTTCTCCTTCATTTTATCAATCTTACTTTTTAATTTATTTATTCTTTGTTCCCCATTTCCCCCACCTCCGCACGTGACTTCTACATTGACCCGTCTACCACAAACACTACTATGATGGAGTTGTAACGCTTTCTAGAAAATGAGGAAAGAAATTTTTGTTCATTGATATTCATTGTGTACACAAAGCTTTTTTTACCATGTTGTATTGATGGTTTATTTTAAATTAGTTTCAAAAACGTTTTTAATTCTTTCATTTCTATCTCGAATAGAATCATTGTAGCATGCTGCCAGGATGGTGGACTTTTCAAAAACCTTGTCTGAGGCAGGGAAGTACCAGTTATATTATCATCACCTATTTCTTATACAGTAAATAGCCAATGAACGGGCTAGCTAGCTACATCACTGCCCGTTCGACTAAAAACGTACAATTTTACGAGTTGTGGGGAAAAGTAAGACGGAATAAGTTAAAAGGGATGATGGAAAATGATCAAATATCGATACCATTTGACTCTTTTTGTTCTTGAATTCCAGAAAAGCACAACCTTTTGATTTACCAGTAGTTTTGTTGGTTAAGATCCTCACATCAACTAAATCATCTTAAATATAAAAAAATTTTAATGAAGTAGAATATGGAAGTGGAACAGAGGAGAGGGGGAAGATAATGTTTACTTGTAGTATGCGTATCCATTTTTCGCAGCATTTCAAACATGACTTACATTGGAACGTAACTGATAAATAGAGATTTTAAAAACGTTACCTGCCATGTTAAAATGATTTCGAATATTCTCTTCACTGCAATCAAATGATAAATTACCTAGTAAAATAAAAGAACTGTAAATCATACATACGCAGCAATGTTAGTAATTTTCATGATTTCGATATCAATGTTCTACATCTACCACCTTATTCCCGCATTTAAATTTTTAATAAATTTTGACAGTATGCACAGATATTTTTACACACAGCTGTTAGTTAATAATATACTATTTTTTCTGACTTCATGACAAAGTTGATATAAATACCAATAAATAAAATAAATCTCGATGTGCTCTTTTTGTTTTCTTTTTTGGCGTTCGTTCTCTCTTTATTGTTCACAAGTTCGTCATGTTTTTGCTTCTTTCTTGGCTGTTTTACATCTATTAAGTTGTTATTTTTAAGTGAGACATTATTGAAGCTTTCTTGCTCAGAAATGAGTTAGAACCTATAAGTATTGAGCTTTAGCATGAACTTGCCTTTGACAACGTCGTCATTACTTTCCTCATTCCAGCTTCGCTTCCTTTTCCACCATCTCAAAACACAAAAAATAAACGTCGAGTTTAAAAATTCTAGTCATGTAAAAATCATCGCTTAATTGCAACATTTTAAAATTTGGCGAGCATTTTATGGCTAATGTTGTTGTAGAATACATTTAAATGCCCGTTTCAACAACATATTTTCGTCTAAATCTGCGTTTGTGTCTTGTCTGCAAATGATGATGGGCCGAATTTTAAAGTTACTTAAAGTAGTAAAGCCATGAAACACAGATCATTGCGCAAAAAGTAGTTTGGTGTAAAAAATGTGGCTATGTCTGTAATATTATATCTCAAATGAATCAGATTGAAATTTTATTCTGAAAAACTTGTAATGCCTTGAAAACGCGAAAGCCATGACTCAAATGAAGAATAAACACTGAAAACGCTAATTTACTTCACTGAATTTTTTGGCCAATATCAATTCTGCATTAGCACTTAAAATATGAAAAAAGTGGTAAAGTCAGTGGATCCCCCAGCCAGCTCACAAGGTTTGGAATTGCCATGTAAATTTCACAGAGCATTATCATTATTCATCTTTTGAAGTCTATTGTCATTGATGAGTGAGTGAACAGTGCAATACCAAATTCAGTGAGGCTAGAAATGCAACTCAGTATATTACTTGGAACACAAAAATGCAACAGAATAAACAACAAATATTTATTTACTCAATACGTCTCTTTTTTCTTTGTGTGAAACTGGATGATTTGGATGCTAAACTGCTCTATAATTGATGAAAAAAATGTTTGTTATATCATTATCTAACAAGGATTTCATTTTTAATGAGATAACTTATATATGTGGACTACATCAGTAGCAGATCCATCTACAGGCAAAAACTTATCATTGCTAATTTTGAATTTAAAACACCTTTATAACAAAGTCATTAGTTATACATTTCTAAAGAATAAAAATTAACCAATCGATGCGATAGAGTATAATTTATTCTTTAAGTGTATAAAAATTCAGTTTCTCTAAATTTTATAAAAAGACATTGAAATGAAGATTGCAGGCATTCAAATAAAAGAAATTGCATTAAAAGTTATTTTCAATAAAAACAAAATTGTATTATAAATTCTGCTAACACAATTCACTTTGAATAATTAATGAGGTAGTGGGGTCACTGATTCAATGTTAAAAGATTTGAACCTTTTTCTTAAGAAGAGCTAATAGTTTTATGAGAATTCGCCAAGAAAAAAGAATCGTATTTTACAACTTCACCATAGTATTACTTAACAGCATCGATTATGTTTTATTTATGAATGGGTTCGGAATCTGTTATATTTTGTTTGGGAAACTGAAAGATAATTATCGGTAATGTTTCTTTTTCATCAGCAAGATAACTCACTTAATTAACGCGAAAAAGAGCCAATTCAGTGAATTCAATTAGAAATTCGTAGTAAAATTGTTGTTTTATAAGAAATTTACTGCAATAAATAACAATAATATACAATAAATAAACATACCTTGTCGTCAGCCATTTTGAATATTTTAATGAAACGTCATGTAACGAAAGTATTACAAAGACAATGTTTGTATTAGAAGAATTAGAAATAAAACGGGAAAAAACGATTACCACTTAATATATCTCGACTCGACTCGTATAGTACCCACTGTGGACCTACATTTTACTTTCTCTAGCGAGTGCTTGATCGTTCAAAATGCAGGAGAGTCAGACGATATGGTTGAAACAGTTTCAACAAGGGCAAGAGTACTTTTTATGCTTATCGAAGAAGGCATATTAAACATTTTATTTATTGATTAACATTTTTTATTGATTTTCGAGTTTACATATTAACTTTTCAATTTGCAAGTTTGTACAATTTGTAACTTTCAAACACTTTCGAAAAAATCCAAAAAGTTACTGTTTGTCAGATCAACTTCAGTCGGACCAGTACAAACAATATCACACAATAGTACAGTCCAAAACATACAAACATTAGATATTGCATGTCTTTGTGCTACCAACATCCGCTAATAATTAAACTATCAGAACGGCTTTCCAAGTTACATACAACCTGTTTCAAACGATTTTGTTCTAAGATCAACGATGGCGAATGAAAGTTTTCTTAAGGGTGATGTCTCTCAAACATAAACTCATTTCTAAAGTTCATATTACGCGTGCATTACACTTGAGAATTGTGCAAGTTTCATGTTGTGATTCTTGTGAACATCAAGCTTCTTCGAAGCGAATGGCAGCGTCACCCATCACTAGCAAGTTTAGCGTGTTTTTTTGCAAGGTTTAGTTACACACGTGCTATGATTCAACCAATCAGGTTACGGTGTTGTCTGGCAATGGAAGTAGACTTCTGGGACATTTTATCTTTTGCGCAGCGCAGTAAAGGAGCTCAGTCGTTACAAGGTATGGCGGACGATTTTATTCGAATATAAATGCATTGACTTGAACAATTATAGCGAGAAAGGTGAAACCTCACCATTCTTTGCCAAGTTTTTCTTTTGGATAAATGAAGAAGAATATCAAGAACAAGTTTATTTACAAGGTTTCTTTTATATTATTTTTTGCGTGGTGAAACTCTTGACAATGCTTCGACTGGTTCATTGGAGCTGACGATGATGATAAAAAATAACAGTGAATTTAATTCTATATTTTGCCTTTCTCAGAATGGATTTATGGACAAAGAGATATTGCTGTTGAAAAAATTTTAAAACTTGTTGCAATGTCAGGTTTGTTCGTAAAATTTTGGTGAACGTTCATTTTACTATAAATTCACTTCCATTGAACTTACCACGATAGCAGGACAAGCTGCTCTATATGATTTGAAAGAAGAATTAGTTTGAGATTATTCTTGTGTATAATCAAATCTGCACCTCTTGCAACGATATAGTTTCACAAGAGAACACAACCGTAATGTTTCAATTTAGTATTTATAATCTTTTGCAGCGCTGCTTTGGAACAATATTTTATCTATGCAAAAAATTCATTCAACAAGAAATGTAAATATCATTGATTTACTCAGAACTCTGTCTCCAAAGCGTGCACTACTTATGTGAACAAGTTAGTTCATGTTCTTTAGATGTGCACAGTTTGCAACAACTAATAATGTTGTTGAGTTCTGGCTTCTTCCATTTAAAGCAAATGTTGCAAATTCACCGGTTCAAATTTGTTGTCATGTCAATTGCACGTTTTCTCTTTACTACGATTGGCGTTACATGTTTTCTTTTCACTTTTGCTTATCGTGTATCGCTGCTGCTACTATTTAATGAGTATATCGCCAAGAAAATACTTTCAAACCTGCTATGATGGAATATACTATTGTGAAAAACTTCACTTAATAGTTTCCATGTAGGTGCAGTATTTAGAATATTGTAATAAGATTTGTTTTGAAAGTGTATGCCGTTAATGCATACTGCGTCTGTCTGAATTTTCACCGTTGAAGAGCTCAGTATTGTTGTTGAATATTTTTCGGAGATTTGATGAAAACTCAATCCGTACTTCATTCAAGCATCTGGTCGCTTTTACGATATTTTATTATTCATGAATGTTCATTTGTTGTTTTGTTTGGCGGCCATTGCTTGCAATAGGCCAGGTTAAGTTAACGGTTTTAATCTATTTTTCGGCAAATTGTCAGCTCTATAAATTCAAGATGTTGTTATTTTTAAATGACGTTGTTTACAATTTGTTCGTCAAATCGCTTACTCATACATGTATTATATAACGCGTTTCAGGTTATAGTTTTGTGATCTTTATTGCTATTGCGTTAGAGTTAATTTGGTTAGTTCATACAATAACTTTTGCAATACTTTAAGAATCTCCGTAGAGATGAATCGTTTTGACCTTCCTTAAAAAATATCAATAATTTCAATATCATACATGTAGTTATGTATTTATGACTTTGATTTTCTGTTTTCGTTACATTTACCTAATACATTTGCTTTGGATTTATAGTTGGAGCTAAAAATTTCCGTGGAAGATCAAGTCCGACTTTGGTATGTGTCATTTTACTACATTTCATTAAATGTAACGTAAAGGGACAGTAGACTATCTAATTCCAAGTAACCTTTGTTACAACTTAGATGTTTATGTATTTAGTGCAAAAGTTAAACAATTGTCTCATATATAGTGGGAGGTAGGCTGGCTCATATAACCTGTTGAATGCAGTTAATTGTAGAACAACATTGAAATTAAAAAAGAATTTTGACATTTTGGATGAAAGTTTGTTGTGAATTTGAAAATTTACTTTGAAACTTCAAAGTTTGAAACCACCGACATAGTTTGAATAGCAATTGCTAACACACATGAGAACTTATCAAAATTAGCATTGTGTTTTTTAACATCTTGAAATTCTCAAATTATACTTGTTTTAATTATAAAATTCACAAAAAGTTTCCCAATTTCAGGAATCATGGTGTTGGTTGTTGTGTGAAAATTTTGTATATGTAAATCATGCTGAAAAGACTTGTATTTGTAAACTATTATGACTAAATTTTGTATGTGTCATAATCATGCTATTAATTTTTATTGTCAGTTTTTTATTGAAGATAGAATTTACATTTTTTCTCAGGAGAGAAGATTGCGAATCAGAACTCTAAATTTATGTAATCTTTTTACTTAGACCCAGGTTTGCTTGGACATGAAATTGTCTCCTAATAATCTAATGGCTTTGGGTGAAACAAAAGATGGCTGGCTGCCAGTTAATGATCTGGCTTCAAGACCTCACAGAAAATGTAGTAAGCCTCGAGCAAATCCTACAAGCCATAGAAAAACCAGAATAAATTCAATCAGCAAGGAAACTTTGAAGATAAAGGTTAATTCAGTGCCATCAGCTCCACAGCAACACGAATGTATGGATACATCTCTCCAGAACAACTTCATCTATGCTGATGATGCTTACCATGACACTTTATCAAATGAGTTTGATGATCCCTTATACTTGTAAGTATGAATATTACAGTGTCTTAATTTCAAACCTTTAATTGAACTGAATTCTATGTATGTTTGTTTTTTCCAAGCAGAGAGAGTTTTTTAATTTTTCTAAATTGCATGTTGTTCATACATACAGCATTTGGCAATTTAATATGCTCCATGCACAAAAACGCACCAAACATAAATGTTCTCAACTTTGTTGATTGTATTGCTTGGTGTTTTGCTATATGAAAGGTTTTGTACAGCATTAAAACAGGAGCAGCAGAAGGTTTTGGTTTTGTGAAAGAACGGACATTTTATTTATTTCAACATAAAAATAATTCTGCAGTTTTTAACTCAGCATTTTAACCAAGATTTCTTTTTTGAATTGCCTCAAATGAGATGATAAATGGTCAGGGTGTTAAATAAATTCTAGTGGTTCTAGGATTTGGGTTAAATAGATGAGAGGCATTTAGTTAAGAGAGTCAAATACATGATGATGTTATTATAACAGTAATAGGTGGGGGGCATCTATTGCAAACAGCTTGTTTATCAGAGAGAGACATCTAAAGCAAACTCATGCTCCAACAAGGCGTTTAATGGATATAAGGCATTTATTTGATAGAAAACATTTATTGGATCATTTATAATATATATAAGTAGTTTCCATATCTTGATTTTCTGCTCAAAATGAAAGGATTTTTACATCAAATTGTCATTTTATTTCATCTTCATTTAGAAATGGTAAAACAACATGTGCTTTATGTAATCGAGGAGGAGAAGCAAGAATGATGCAGGGTAATCTAGTTAAGTATGAGCCAACAGAAGGTTTTGATCCATTTCAACATAATGAAGAACAAGCTCCAAGAGATAAACGGACAGACATTCTTGAAGAACCAGTTCTTGTTCGTCGTGGGCCTGGTAGACCCCCATTCAAAGGGAGAAAAAAGGGTTCAGTTGTGAATGGCTTCACAGTCAATACGAATCTTCTTTGGATATGGTATTTTTTGGTACAACACATGAAAGAGAAATTGAAGAATTATTTGAAGTGACTGGTCATACTTGGTGTCATACATGTTGTGCTCGTTGGTCAGAAGGTGTAGAGGAGGAGAACTCGCATCTCAAAAATGTTGACAAAGCTGTTTTCAAAGCCATGGATAAGGTATTCTGTCAGGTGTTTCAGGATTTTTTTGTGAGCTTGAAAATGCGTTATGTTTGATTTTCTACATTTATCACACAATCAGTCTTTTCTCAGTTATTCTTAAAAATTTTTTCTCAGTTATTCATAAATCAACATACGAGAAGATACGTAACGTTTTCTTCTGGTAATAAATCGCGAAATTTTATTTACGAGCGTATGCATCTACTTTTTATGCAGAAATGTGATCACTGCAATAATTATGGTGCAAGTGTGGCTTGTAGTGAAAAAAGTTGTTCTAAGAGATTTCATTACGTATGTGCCTCTAGTGCTGGTTGTTTTCAGGTACGGATGATATTTTCTATGTCTCGCCCGATTTTTTCAAGTTTCAAGAAAACATCAAAATTTAATCAAAAAAATGAAACGCGTGTTTTGCAATTTCAGGATGTGAAAACCAAAATAGTCTTGTGTCCTGATCATCTTAATCTTGTTGAAGAACTTGGTAAGTGCAGCGATATTATCAACCAAGTCCATTTTTATAGGCATTGTATCATTATTACTTTTGTAATCCGAAATAAACATTATGCATTTTTAGTCGGGGATGACGCGAAATGTGCTGTATGTGACACCATTGGCGACTTGAGTAAAATGTTGTTTTGCTTTAACTGTTGGAGACATTATCATGGAAATTGTTTGCAACCTGAAGTTGATGTTTCTCCAATTGTTCGCATGGCATGGCAATGTTCTCTATGTAAAGTGTGCAATGGCTGTGGGTAAGAAATTTATTATTTCTTTGTGATACGTAGTTGTTGCAAATTTATACGCTGCGATGAAGAGCCATTATAGCAAAAACCACTTCATACCTTTATTCTGTTAGTTTTAGTCTTCGACTCCTCGACATATGCAAATGTTACAACTGCTTGAATACTTTAGGGCTGCAATCCATCTTTGTTATCAGCTTTTTGTACTAACGTACGAATGTTGAAAAATGCATTCATCACAGAACGGTAAATGATTTCGTTCGTCTAGATCGTCAAGTGAGGATTATAAAATGTTGGTGTGTGATGTTTGTGACAAAGGTTACCATTTTTCTTGTGCTAAACCTCAAGTGAACAGTGCTCCAAAAGAAGGATGGAAATGTGAGGTACGGTTTACGGCTTCTACTTCCTTTGAAATCTACTCAACTCAAAACATTAGTTTCTTATTGGTGTCTTTCATTGGAAGTATAGATGTACATTTATTTCTGCGCCTAAATTTATCCATTAAAGTGCGTAATGGAACAACATCGAAATTTTAAATATTGCGTTTATGTACGTTGAAGAATACATTTTAGCATGCCTCAGAGACTCCGAAAAAACGAAAAGAAAAAGAAACACACATATTAGAAATCCTGCATTAATAAACATGTAAACAGTGTAAATTTGCCAGGCGTAAATTTCTTTTATGTTTTATTAGTCAAGCTGGGAGATTAAAAGGGCAAAATGATCTGCAAATTTCAACAGCATAAACCCGCTGAGTTTGTTTTTTTTTCTGTACAAATAATGAAAAAGCGCCTTTTTGTAAATTGATAAAATAGCGATGGGGTTATGTTATTGGTGGAAAAAATTGACTTCAATTACCACGTGATTGATGAGTGACCTTTCATCGGTTGTAAAGAACAGCGTGTTAGAGTTTCTATCACACCGAATTCTTGAAACATATATTTGTCTCTTTTGTTAAATGTTTTTGTTTAGCTATTTCCTGCTAAAAATATACACAGTCTGGTTATTGAACGTTTTACTCCAGGGCAAACTGATTAACTTTTAGAATAAAATGTTACTTTATCTACCATTAATGCTCTGTATGAATTTAAAACAAATTTGTCTCATATTATTGTGTATTGACTTTTTTCCTAGAATTGCCGTCGTTGTCAAGATTGCGGATCTAGTACACCTGGAGCCGGTTCAACCTCAAGGTGGCACTTTAATTACACTGTATGTGATAGTTGCTACCAGCAACGCAATAAAGGACTATCTTGCCCAATATGTGGCCGTGCCTACAGACAGTTTTCTGACATACCAATGGTTCAATGTAAGAAATGTGAAAAATCAGTGCACAGAGAATGCGATCCTGCCAACGCAGATATGATTCCCTACAGATGTGGAAATTGTAGAGGAGCCTCTAAACAGGAGGTGTGTTTTTTTTATCGTGTATTTGTCATCTCATAACTCAAATAATTTTACTTTTATGTAATGGGACTTCATTTCCTTAGAATAAAGAAACCACTAACTTATCTTGAAGTTATTTCTCGTCGCCATTTTGTCATCACGCATTATAATTCACCCGTTTTTGATTTTAATGATTTCATAGCTCTTGGATATTTTTCTCTTGCTTTTCTTCCTTTTTTCTCACACAAATGGAGGTCATTTTGGGAACCTGTACACAAGGGAACCTGTACACTAGAGCACTATTCACTTAATGGGATTGTTTCAGCATTATCAAAAAGGAAAAATTGACATAAACTACTATTTATATTGACATAGAGTCACCAAAAATCAATAATGTCAAATTATTAAATGTAACTAACTAGCCTTTTTTTCCGTAATGTTTATATATATTTATCACCTTTCCTTTGGATAATGCTATGTGAACCTTGATAAACCTGGCTATCTGTTGAAAACGGACGCGCTTTTGAGGAAGTGCAGTTATTTGTCTGTTACTACCTTTTCTAAAAACAGTTTCTCGTATCATTTTCAGGAGAATAGAGATTCAAATTCAATTCCTGTTGGAATACCGTCATCCAACAAGCTACCTTCTAGCGAAGGTTTACTGCCAATTGACGATTCTAGTGACATCAACATTAACTTAATGTTGGATGCAAATTTGGAGTGTGCTGAGATAGATGACTCATTCATGCTTGTTGATAAACTCCCTTTTGACGAAGAAATGGAAGTTGAATTAAAAGATGAATGCTCCCTACCTGAAACACAGTTTCCTCCTGCTATTCTCTCTACCTCAACTCAACAGTTCAATAGGAAAGGTGTAGTGTCTGCTGGGAAACAAGCTGGAAAGAAAAAGCTTCCAAAAAGGGTGCGTCAGTAGATACGTAAATATAGCAATATGTATTAATGACTACATGCATTAAAGCTTTACTGAGCAGGTCAATTTTTGCATACCCTGAAAATGTTGAGCATGCAGATTAAAAGTCTTGTTGTTTAGGTATCATTTTGTAAATGTATTTCATTTTTAGCCTCGTTACGGTGCTAGTGGGGCTAATAGAAAGAGAGGGAGGACTCCCAAACAAGGAAGTAAATTAAAGAATAAAAGTCTCCCTCAACATTATCTTTCGGATAAAGAAAATCAGGTAAGCGAGTTTCATTTTACGAATTTACAAATTCATTAACGAATTTGAAGTGAAAAATTTTAATATCTTCGCCCCTGTCCCAGAAAGAGAAGCATGTGATGGATTATGCTTTTGACAAATGACAATCACTGGCTAATTGACCTATGTGTTGAAATGTAAACTTGCTAACTCCTACAAACTCATCAAGTGTCAATTTTTACGTAATTGATATAATTGCATTATAGTTTGCGATATTCTCTAATGATTTTTTTATACAAGGGGAAACGTAAAATTTTCGTGAAGAAACGTATTCATTTTTTGTCAAGTTATAGCTTATTCATATCATATACGCTCGGAATTTTGTGGTAGTCAATGTAAAGTGGTTTTAGACATTTTTTGTTATATTTCACTGTCATACGTATAAGTTGGTTCTTGTGTTCTTATTCAGGCTGCAGCTGTGATTAATCCAGAAGACCTCAACAAACCAATTGGTGAAGCTTTAAAGTCGAGTTTAGTATTATTTTCTACCGATGATCAGCGATTAAAAGCAGAGGTAAACCCCTTGAACAATCGTTTTCCTTGTGCGTTCAAATTATGTTAAAACGCTATATTTCTTCTGAATGTCTCGCATGAAAGTTACAGTGATGGACTCCAATTCATGATTCATGTGTGATGTTGAGAATACCCGTGAAATGAACATATTTTTTTGTCATGACTACGTAACGTTGCCTTTTGATGACGTGACTTTTTAATGGTGATTTTTGAATGTTGGATAGAGAAATATGCCTCGTGTCATATTTAGTCAGGCAATATGCATCTTGTCATGTCTTAGGCGTAAACACAAAATGGTTTGTTCTTTTTGTCAGGATATGTGTCGATGTTGTGGAAGTATTGGTCGAGGCGCCGAAGGTCATTTAATTCCTTGCTCTCAGTGTGGTCAATGTTATCATCCTTACTGCGTTAATGTTAAGGTATGCATATATTTACGTACTATATTTTCTACATATGCATGTGTACAATACGTGTTTTTGCTGGGCAATCTATGATAAACTTTATCTGCAAGTCTTGCAAGCATGCTTTTTGTTGTGTCCAACTCCATAAACATGCACGTTATTGTCAATGATGATTTTAGTTCAATGATATTGTACCACATACAAACCTTTTGGCGTGCTACTCTGAATTAGGTGATTTTAATCTTGCCTTGATCTTATCTTTTGTAAAAAGTTTCTTTATTACTGCACGATTACTAGTTTGTAATCTCTGATTCCGGGACACTGGAAACAATCATTTCAACTGAGGTGTCTGCTAATGTATGTTGCGTTTCTGTTGAACTAATCACAGAGTATACGTACTTGCACAATTTACGATCGACGTTTTGTAATGTCTTTGTTAATGATGATGATCTTAGCAGTATAAATGTTGCCAGCATTATGAGACGTTATTAAAAGTTCAAGAATTTAGTGGAACGTTTCCATGGCAAATATATTTCTTTTTTCGGATAAATAAAACTTTTATGCCGGTTGAGACGTTACTCATCGTGGTATCTTTTGCATTCAGCTCTTCGAGGAAAGAAATCTTTCTGTTAATAAGTGTCTTCTATCGGTCCTACTGTATGTAGTTGCAAAATACCAGCTGAAGGGCAATAAAAATGTACTTATAGTAGATATTCGAATTAAGAAAATTCATGACGTTAAACCTTTTAAACAGATGTAATTTGCAAAGGCTTGTTGTCTTTGTGAATTAGGAGGAACAGTTTTTGAAAAATCAGTTTTTTATTAACAATATGACTGGCGGGTGTGGATTTTAATCTCACACTGTTCACAAACTGTATGACTTGCCAGTGGTGTTTTCCATCTCATAAAAGTTACAGTATGAGTGGCCAGTGGTGTTTTCCATCTCGTAAACAGTACAGTATGACTAGCCAGTGGAGTTTCCTATGTAGCTAAGAGAAGGTACAGTATGAACAACTGGTTTGAGTAATTGATACCACGGATGTGCTAAATGATATCTCTCCAAGCAAACCTTTGACCCGTATAGAATGTTTAGCTAAAACATGCGCAAAATCCACAATGGTTGATCAAGCGCCATCAAAACGTTATTGTTTACGATACTTTGAGAGTGATGTGGGCAAAGCATGAAGACCCGTCGACAAAATGCACTTTAGTGTTCGCTCAACCCAAACAAGATGAAATAAATAGAGGCGAAGTGAATATAAAAGAAAGTGTATACGAATGTGTGTCATGTTTGGATGATGTTTTATTTCCTCGCAACAAACCTTTATTACCGTCTGAGTTAAAAAAACTCAACACTCTAGCTATTCTATTTTGTGTTTTGACTTTTCTCGTAGCAATTTTTTTAGCTACGCTAAGCTACGCTACCTTTACTCACTCGAAAAATTGTGGTATATTTGCTTTCGCTTTTGATGCTATACTACAAGCCATTTCATCATCGCTGTTGATTTGGAGATTTTCAATCTTCATGAATACAAGTTTAGAGTGTAAAGAGACAGTTTCAACAATTGGTGTCGCTTTTGTTAACTCGATTTCAGCCGTTTCAATTATTGTTACCACCGCTGGTTTGTTGTTGAGTGATGAAAAGTCATCTTACACTCGGATTTCAATGTTTGTAGCCTCTATTGGAATGGTGTTGTATGGTATTTTATTTGTTGCGAAATACAAACTATCCAGGAAGCTGGGAAGTTCTGCGTTGATGGCCGACGCCATAGATTCTTTTGGTGGGGCCTTGTTTGGTTTAGGTGTCGTCGTGTCATCGCTTTTTAAACTTGTTACAGTTAAACTGTGGTTTCTCGATGATTTTGTTGCTTTGGGCATTGCGTTTTTAATGCTTTTTTACGCTGTAATTCTCGTGGCAAGACAAGTTTCCATGTGGGTAAAAAGCGATGCTAGATTAAACAGTTAAACAGATTAAAGATTGTGTGGAGTTGGAGTTTATTTTTCCTGTATAAGTGGCCTGTCTTAAAAATACATACGTAATCTGAACTCACAAGGAAAACATTTTGTCAAGGGTTTTACGTCTGATTTTAATCGCTGATCATCGGTAGAAAATATTACCAAACTCGACTTTAAAGCTTCGCCATGCAATTGGTTTGTTGAGGTCTTCTTTATTAATCATAGCTGCAGGCTGAAAGAGAGCACAAAACGAACTTATATGAAAGTGAAATATGACAAAAAATATGTACGATTCATCGACTTCCACAAGATCCCTAGCTTAAATGACAAGCAAGTATCATTAATAAGCTATTTGCTTAACAAGAATGCCATTCAAATTATACGTTTCCCCTCTTTGGAAAAAATTGTCAGAGAATATCGCAAACTATAATACAATCAAATCAATTATATGTAAAAATTGACAAAAAATGGATAAATGGATATTATTATGGATAAGTTAAGACTTTTTCATGTGGCAACGTGGGTGAATTACAGGCGCAATTGTTATTAGAAAATGTACATGATGTCACAAATATATTATGGAAATGATAATTATTTTGAATAAGGTTGCAACTAAAATAATAAGTTTTTTTTATAGTATAGTTTCCATCGACAGTTTCAATTATGTCAAATAACGACTAAGTCCAATGAGGCAGAGATGGATTAAATAAAACTTTGTAGTAGTTATAACAGTACGATTTACATGACATATACGTTCATATAAGTTCATATATATTTAGTTATTATTGTAATTTTTCTTGTAATTTTTGTGAGATAGTGCGCATCTTTTATCGTAATTAGACTGGCGAATACAATCTGTGCGCATCTTTTATCCTAAGTAGACTGACTGAAGATAATCTGTGCGCATCTTTTATCCTAAGTAGACTGACTGAAGATAATCTGTGCGCATCTTTTATCCTAAGTAGACTGACTGAAGATAATCTGTGCGCATCTTTTATCCTAAGTAGACTGACTGAAGATAATCTGTGCGCATCTTTTATCGTAATTAGACTGACTGATAATCTGTGCGCATCTTTTATCGTAATTTGACTGACTGAATATAATCTGTGTGCATCTTTTATCCTAAGTAGACTGACTGAAGATAATCTGTGCGCATTTTATTAAGTAGACTGACTGAAGATAAGCGCATCTTTTATCTGTAGACTGACTAAGATGTGCGCATCTTTTATCGTAAGTAGACTGACTTAAGATATTCTGTGCGCATGTTATATCCTAAGTAGACTGACTGAATATAATCTGTGCGCGTCTTTTATATAAATAGACTGACTGAATAAAACCCAACTAGAGCACCCTTATCTACAAAAATATCCTGGGTTCACCCCTGCTGTGAGGTAGATTAGCCTCTTGACAAGACTTAACACTTATTACAGTCCGTCATAGATCCACAGTGATTAGATGAAAGATGGTGTATTTGCTTTTGAAATCACTTAGGAGATCAGAATCTCTTAACAGCGTGTAACAATTTTTAAGCATATTATGAGCATGCGCATACCCCAGACCGCCGCTCCTGCCCAGCTAGATTGTGTTCATTGAAATGTTATATTTCATAATAAGATTTGATATGATATAAAAATCGTATCACTTCATTGTTTTAAATTAAATTGAATATTTGTTGTCTGTTCGAATAGTTGAAATACTAATATTAAAATTGAACGAAAAAATGAGAAAGTAAAAAGGCTCTTGGTGAAGCAGCTGCTTTGCGAATGCTAAGTTTTAATATTTTGTCTTGCTAAGACTGCTGCATTAATTTTTTTTCTTAAATTGTTGACCTGAGTTTGCTTTGACGTGTTCTTAACAAACTGAAACATGAAAAATTACATACGTAAAATTAGTCTTTGCTTTACTTTACACGAGTATTATACATAACTAGTACAGGTTTGTCGTAACTACATTAAAAAACAGCAATGAACGTTATTGAAAGTAAAATGATAGATTATACTCAATTTTTTCTTAATACGGTAGATTTAATTAAATTTCCACTGAAATTCACTTCGCCATGTATTATAAAGAATATGTGGCGAGGTGAATGAACAATATAAGCGTGGTGAAAAGTGTTTCAATGAACATATGTTACAGAGCATCAGACCGCTACAGTTGCTACACCACACCGGTAAACAATATTTAATTGCAATACTTTGCAATATCTATTGATTATTGAGAAATAAACAGCTTTATTACATGAAAGCGTATTAACCCTGTAACAGAACTTGATCGTTTACCTACCTAACGCACTGACAGCCACACGTTGATTGATTTATGACAAGTTGATATTGTACGCTGAAGTATTGAATATAAAATAAATTAATGGAAAGGGTAAATTATATATTGTGATTGTAGTTCACCTTTGTTTGCCTTAGCATTCTTATGGTTGTGCCTTGATAACATTATCCAACATTGTTTTCTCGGTGGACAGACAATCTTTCGTTTCATAGTGAGGATGTTTTCGCCAATAGATACACGCAGTTTTAGTCCTTATCCTTTGGATTCCATGCGTTGGACCTCAGGGCAATTAGCGGTATAGGATAGGACCGTCATTTTATCTTTGGGAAATGAGAAAGGTTACAAAGTTTTGTATTGTAGCTAACTCCTATTAGCCCATAATAAATAACGACGTAAATTCGAAAATGTTGTTCAACTCGTGAGGCTTTTATATCAAAATGCTTGCGAGCAGAACACAAAATACAAACATGCTTTGAGATTCTATCTTTTTCTCCTACATAGCAAACATACAATGAGGTTTTTTGTTGCAACCTTTCGTTTTATTTCAGGAAATATCTATGTAAACCAATCAGAAAATTGTATAATTTTTTCTGGTTTGGAAGCACATTATATAACATAACTAGTTCCTAAATTATTTTTCTATTGCCGTGTAAAAAATCTTCACGAACTGAACATCACTACAAACCGAATAGTCCTTGTCCTTTCGTAAAATATGTAATCCCTTATAAATTGGAAAACGCAAAACACTTACACGGTTGAACAACTTGCTCGTCCACGTTTAGTCGTTGTGTACGTCTTTGCCCCGCGCGTATCTAGGGAAATTTGAACACGCTAATGACTTGAGATTGGAGCATACATTTACATCATTGTTTTTTAATTTTTATCTGATAAAACGTCAGAAAATAGCGTTTTCAAACGCTTACTGTTTTTTGAGGGGTTCGTGTGTACGAAACGTCTAAACGCGTATCATTTAAAATATTTTTGCGTTTTCGAATATATTTAAAATACATTTATTTTTGCATGAAGCAGATATTGCTTTACTTTCAAAAAGTGTCATCGAATTTTTTTTTTCACGAATATGTCACTATATTACTACGTTTAAACCATCAAAAATGTCTGCCATGATCATGTCTCCATTTGACAAACAAAGACATTTGCATCGCGAAACTGCTTCTAATTTGAATTTCAAATTTATTTCGAATTATGGTGTCAGAAATTTAACATATGAGAATTTTGTTTTATGTTAAAGACTTAGTCTGATGTTCTTGTTCCCGTTCAGACGTGCGTCATGCCGATAACTTTATTTATGCTGCTTTGTAGATTTTTCTGAGCAATGTGCGCTATCATTCATCTTTAAAAATGGGCTTTTTTACCTTACATTATTTTTCTATCCCACCATCTGCTCTTCACTTGTCTACATATTTCTACATAAATGTTCCTTTCCGTATTTCATCACAAATACAAAGCTAATTGTTCTCTTCACAATCCAGTTTGAAAGCCATTTTTTCAATCTCAATTTCTATCAGCATGGCTTCGTCTTCCTTCTCTTGGCGTTGTTACATTGAAACTGCTCATGCGTTTCTTTTGTCTTGCGCGCACGAGTAATTTGCATGATTATCAATCTGATCTCTTTAAATATTGAGTCTACCATTTCATATAAATATAGTGAATACAGTTTGATTTTATTGGCAATATGAACCATTGCTAATGTGATGTTACTAATACTATTGCTACTGCTATGTCTTAAGCAATTCTAATAACTCGACTCTTTCTAAGTGATTGACATTTTGCCGAGTAGATTATGAAATAAGAAATTGTAGTTCCAAGTCATTTGCATATGCTTTTGTTAAACACTTTAAAAATAGAGATCTTCTATTCTAGCACAGGAATTATAATTGTTTATTATCTAAGGTTTTATATTGAACATAGATTTCTGTTTTTGTAGATCAACAAGGTGATCATCACTAAAGGATGGCGATGTTTAGAGTGTACATTTTGCGAAGGTTGTGGTAAAGGCAGTGATGAAGCGAGATTATTGTTGTGTGATAGTTGTGATATTAGTTATCATACGTATTGTCTCGATCCTCCTCTTGATCATGTACCACAGGGTGGATGGAAATGCAAATGGTATGTAAACAATTAACAAGGGATCACTATTGTCCATCATGGTTTAGGATCGGCTTAGATTATTAAAAAGGATCAAAATTGTCCATCATTGCTCAGTATCTGCTTAGATTATCAAAACTGAGGATCGAGTTTTCAACTCAGAAAACAGACTTTAAACTCAGAAACAGAGTTTGGAGTATGGTACTTATGTATTTTTCCATACAACCGTTAACTAACATAATTTCACATGTAGGTGTGTTCAGTGTACTGTTTGTTCGAGGACAACTCCCGGGAAGTCGTGTAAATGGATGTCCAATTACACAATGTGTGGACCCTGTGCAAGTTTGACCACATGTCCTATATGTAAAAGCTCGTATAAAGTTGATGATCTTATGATCCAGTGTGTGGAGTGTGAAAGGTTATTATTACAATATTTTTTATTTCATATTTGCAAGATCTTTGAATCCACATGACGAAAAATATTTTATACGATTTTCTTTGTCGTGAACTCTTGCATTGTAGTGCGAATTTTTATTTCAGCCTGGCGAAAGCCCTTACGTTCGTAATTAGTCATCGCTCACTTTCACTTTAGTTCACTGATTAAATTTTATAACGTGATTTCGCGTGATTAAAAAATTCGAGCAGCTTCAAAACATGCACTTAGTGGAGATTTTGCCTGTAATTTTTAAAGAAAAACTATTGACCATTCAGCAAGAAATGCTTAAAACAGCCCGGACAAAATAGAATAAATTATTTGCGAAAGATACCTATGCATCATTTTTCAAGACATTTTTAAAGAAAATGAAATTTAACTGGCTGTGATAAAGATTTTTGCCTGACAGTCCATCGCAAACATTTTGGAAAATTTATTTTGCGAGTTTCAAAAATTGAAGCAAATTGTTTTTAAGAATAGTTTAAGTCAACTATTTTTGGTGAAAAACGTTAGAAAGCTGTACAATTCCAGGTCAATAACCTTTTTGCAAAGACGTTGATGTTACAAGTGTGTTTTATCGAGGTTTTTATGTTCACAAAGGGAAAACGTCTTCAATGCTAAAATTACACTTTTGACAAACTGCTGTAACGTTTCATACGTTAAAGTTTTTCATGCAACACAGTTGAATTGAAAATATCAATAACAGCTAATATTTATTAATATTTTGTTCTTTAGATGGCTTCATGCTTATTGTGATCAGTTCACAAATGAAGAAGATGTCGAACTTGCTGCGGATGCGGGATATAAATGTTATTTTTGTCGTCCGAAATCTCAGAATTTATTTGCATTGACTTCAAACAGCTCTGTGGCAGCAACCTCTCGATGGAGTCATTCATCCATTAACACCATCACTTCTGTTACGTCTTATCGCTTTGGATCATTTGGTAAGCTAGGGAATTTCTGACTTGATTCAATTTTTTATAATCATCATCAGATTTCTCTGTAACGATTGTTATTGTAATGACTACAAGACATGTCGATACATCTGTTTATCATAATTTGGATAGTTCCAAAGACATTTCATACCTTATGATAACAAGACTACCCTACCGGCTACTTTTTAAAAACTTAATCCAAGAAATTTTATTTGGCCTAATTCATTAACCTGATGAAAATTTTTTATTACTGTGACTGGAGTATTGACTTCAGATATTTCAGCTTAAGTAATTTGGTTTCGCCACTTGCCTGTAGCTGCGTCTGATGCATCATTCCACCAATATTCCTATATCCTGTGCATGTATATCTGCAAGCAATGTGGCCCTTAGCTGTGCATAAACAGCAGCATTTGTTGTTTAGGACCTTCATCCCCAAAAGCTACATCTGTTCAACATTATCATCCAGGCTCAGAAAGGAAACCATTGCATCCAGTTCAACAACATGGCTCTAAAGGAACAATAGAAATGAGTCTAGCCAGTCGTATTGCGCTCGGAAACACCGGAGAGAGCTGTTCGCCATCAGCTATATCTCTTACGGAGAGCGGCAAAAAACACATCGACGAGAATAAACGAATCGATAAAGCTCTTAAGAAGAAAGTGAAGAAGCACAAGATGAAGAAATCTGATTTAAACTCATTCGAGCGAAAGGATAATATCAGCTTGGAACGTAAATCTGCATCCAGAATGACTTTCTCTGCTTTTTCTAACTGTGATATGGAATGGGTAAAGTTATAATAATCTTATTTTTCACTTTGTGTTATTGAAAAGAAGGAAATATTAATTGTAGCGGAATCTCTCGTCCAATTTTTTAGCATGGTCGTCATGTGGTGAATAAGAAGACTTTTAAGCATAACGAAGCAATGAAGGAAACTGTTTTTACTAAATCTGACCAAGTAAATAATGTCGATGAAATTATTTTCAACATTTCTATTAACATGAAAACTTATATCATTTTGTCGTTTTGCGTGTAGCTTAACTTTTTTGGACGGAGTTTATTAAAGTCGATCTCAAGAGGAAACGAAAAGAACAAGCGTTCCCAGTTATCGTCATCTTTGAATGTTGTTGCTCATGATGAAGTTTCAAAATGTGCTGACGAGTCCGTAAATTCCATCTGGTTTGTCCAAATGATTAAAACTCAATCTTTATTGTTATATGCTTGGCGTGAATAGTGAATTAATTTGCATATTTTAGCGAATATGATTTTTTGCATGAAAAGATAGCATTTGTACTACTTTCATTGTCCAAAGAATGTTGACAACATCAATAATGAAGTTAATGTTTTTGGGCATAAATACTTTTTTGTTCTCTTTAGTTGGCCATCAATTTCATCATCTCCTGCTATTCCAACAACAGCATTTTCATCCGAATCTTTTGACAGCTTGCCTGCCGCTCCCGATTTAAACCTACCTGACCCTGATGTTTTAGTAAATCAATTGGGAATGTTAGTATCTGCTGCTGAGGGAGAGGCAATGAACAACGAACAACCTACTTCAAATCCAGGTTTGATTGCATTTTATGATTTATTTTCAACGAAATATTGCTGGTAATAGTTTTTTACTGAATACTATACTAAATATATTAACAATTGCGTAACATCAAGTTCTCAGCATGGTTATTGAGAAGAAACAATAATTTATTCAGAGTAACGCTTCGTCTTTACACAAGACATCGTCAGATAAATATTTAAAATGAATTAAATGATCAAGATGTGCGTTTATATATGTAAAAATATTTACATACTATGAGTGTAGTTACAGGTATTAAATTACATTTAGTGAAATGGGAGGAATGGGACAAGTGAAGGTACAGATATACAATTTGGTGCGAATAAGCACAAAAACGTAGTGGGATGCTTAGGAAAGGTTGAGTAGGACGGAATTGCCTTTAACATTCAGTTGACATTCAGAACATTCATTAAGTTTGACATTCTGCCTTGGACATTCAAAACACTTGGGAATCTCGCCTTCGACAGGAAAACTGCCATTATGTCCTATTACAACCATATTTTATCCCATATTAACCCATACCACTCAACCTGTTGTATGTATCCCACAACGTTTTGTTTCCTCTTTGCACCACATTGTACATTTGTGTCCTCACTCACGCTTTATACTTAATTTTTTGTTCAATTAATCGCACTTAACTCAATGTAATTTAATACTTGTAGCTACGCTCCAAATATGTAAATATTTTTATATATATAAACGCACATCTTGTGTAAAGACGAAACGTTCCTTTGATTAAACTATAATTCCTTACTCAATGGCTATCCCTAGACCTGAAGATATGTTGTATCTAGTTACGTTTGGCATTTAGTTATTGATATGGAATTTCATTTTGTGGTTTCATGTTATCGTAGATGGACGCTTAGCGGCTAATACACATGTCACTTTTCACGATGAAGCATCTGTATCTACGAGTGGGAATGATGCTCAAGAAACAACCCAATCCATGGCGTCAGAACAGCACCGTCATTCTGCCCATGACCTTGACATTTTTGTTCCTCATAATGGTGATCTGCCTATGGTCGATAGCCAGGATATTGAAGACTTTTTTTCTGGTATAGAAAACGAGTTGAATCAGCAACAAAGTGGTTTGATAGCAGACCCATTGTTAAGTTCAGTTGGGGTTTACGTCCCCCCAGTTTCTCAGCGTCCACCTCCACCTCCCTATCCTCGTGTACCTGGTGATTCTCAATACAATGAGGAAATTCCTGGTCATCCAAGGGCTGCAATGTCGGTCAGCGCGCCACCCCATTATGTAATGTCTGAAGATGTCAATGCTGCAACAAATATGGCAAGGTTGCATCCAAATGGTGCTCGAATTGAGCCAGAGTTTGAGCATATTGAAGATGATTTCGGACCTCGCAGACCTCGTCCTGAAAGTCCTCGACCTGATAGTCATAAGCAAATACTGAAATGGCAGGAAGATGAAAAGTTGGGAGAAATGGCTACAATCTCGCCTGTACTTTATGCGAATTTGAATCATCCCAATTTATCCAATGAATATCCAGGTATGTAATATATTTCAATTTTATTTTTTGATTTCGGTCATTAAAATTATGAAGATCATTTCTACGTGACATCTTTTGAAGATTGAAAATAATTGATTTTACAAACAACGTTCCGTTCTCTTGAGCCAACTATAGACGATTTATGTCTCTGATATTTACTTAAAATTCGATTGTTGAGATGAGAGGTTGCATCAATTATTCAAACGTACCCAAGACACGACCTACATATCGACGAGTGAGGTAGCAATGTGTGTATCAGTTGCAATTTTCCTGAGATGGATTATGGTTTGGATTAGGATTAGCACCCTTCCAAGCTTTATCTAGAGGGATGCAAGATGGGTGTTGATGCCCCTAGAATATATTACTATACTACAATTAAGCAAAAGCAATTTTAGTTGGTGTTTGATACAGTAAATTTCTAAAAATCTCCCAAATATAATGAAACGTAACAGAATTTGACAAAAACGTCATGACATGCTACTGACACAAGTAGCCATCGAAATATAATCCAAGCTGGAGAACCCTTTCTCCTCCACACAACCTTCGTGCATCCATCCGGGGAATTTATACATGGGGAATTTATGCACTCTAGTTGTGATAAAAACAATCAGACCACCATTGTTCAAACAAGAGTTATTACTTAAAATTGATTATGATTTCGATTAAGATTTTGATAAGGAATTTTCTTACACTAAATATATCTTTGTTTCTTTATATAATACAAATGTAAACATTTTTTCAGAATGGACTCCGCGATATAGAGCTATGTCAAGACTTTGGAGAAAATTGACAACGGAGGAAAGGGAACCTTATCGAGTAGGGAACTGCTGCCATAGTAACTGTTGCCATAGTAGTCTGACGTATTTTAGCATGTTGTAGTGAAATGGTCTTAAGTATTTATAGCGTAATTGTCTGACGAATTCTAGCATGCTGTGCGGTGATAAGTCTAACTTTTAGTATATATTCATTTTAAAGCACAGAGCAAGAGATAATCGCGTGAAATTGAAAGATCAGATGAAGCGAGTAAGTTACTCACCTTTTTTAATACAAAGTTGCGTGTGTACGACTTAAGAGTGTAGACAATCGCACATGTATACGTATTTAAATATAAAGCATATGTACAACTAAGGATGTCAAAATTTTCTTCACTCAACACCAACATGAACTGTTCTTCTCAGAACTGCAACAACCTGTACGATCAACACCCACAAACATGTTATGTTCAAAACAGTGGTGGATCTAGGGTGCGTCAAAATAAATTACTGCTGCATATTTTAGAATACGTATATCAACATTCATAATTATATTCTTTAGAAATTCAAAACCAATTGCGTTTTTCTGAAAGTGCTTTGAATTTAAAATTGAGCCGCTATAATTTATTTTGATGAACGCTGGATCCGCTACTAGTTTGAATCTCTGCGCTAATTTTGCGTGAAATATCCTCATATTTTTTCAGAATGGTAAATTGCAGTCTAATAAAGAACAAAATATGTTGTCAAATCGCCAGTTGCCCGCAGAAAGTCAAGATGCCGTTTTAAATGGTTTAGCAAATGAACATCAGGCCATCATCATGAGAAATACAGAAAGTGAGAGACAAAAAAGTTCTCAATACTCTGCAATTTCAACTTCTGATTTACCTATAAACAATCGCGACACTTCTGTGATGCCAGATACTTGTGATAAAACTCAAGGAATGGTTCAGCAAATGTATCCATTGGCGTTACAGCAAAATGATGCTGCACCAAACATGAATTCAAACCAGAAGAAGGCTGAGAAGCTCACAATTTCACCTCCTTTTGGTGATGAACGCCCCAAAAAGGAAAAAACTCCAAAAAAGAACCGCAGTGAACGAGATAAAGAGAAAGAATTGAAGGACAAAAAGAATCAAATCTGGCAGGAGAGAGAGCGTGAATGGAAGTTGTTGCAACAGCAGAGGCAACAAGAAAGTAAACGGCAACAACAGCAAAATCCCGAGGGTTCTGCTATGAGTAAAGTCTCGCGGGGAAAGCCAAGCAAAACACCAGATTGGCGAAAACCCGTTTTTCGGAATGATTGCAATGACGTCACTGGTATGGGGGCGTCGAGTAGTATTGATAACACGGTTCAAATACAGCTCTCAAACTACATTTCATCTAAAGCTGGAGATAAGGAACAACAAAATACTACGGCAGTTGCAATGTCTCAAGCAAACAACAATGGAAATGAAGTCACAATTTCTTGTCATGCGCAGACGGTAGTTTCGTCAGCTTCGGTAACATCTGTTGAAGAGCAAACTACTTATTGGATGCAAAATTCATCAGGCAATTTAAGCAATGCTGTTCCTAATACGAAGGCGATAGTCATGACAAATGAAGGACAATCTCAAAATTGGCTCGGCCATCATGAACAATCGCTGCAACATTCAGTGTTAATGCTGCGTCAAATGTCTTCGCCATCACTGCAACAAAATGAAAGTCAGGAAGAAGGTGAGCGTCATGAACAATCAGCTTTCAATGCATCAAATATTCAACAAAATCCCCCCCAAACTCAAGCTATTAATGTCGCTATTTCGCCCATAACTGAATCAAATGTTTCCGAACCAGCATCGGAATACCCATTAATGATGACGCAAGAATTATCATCATCACAAACGGAGAAATTACACGAGCAAAAGCAACAGGAAGCGTTTCACAAGCAACAACAAATACAGCAGTTACAAAAACAACAGCAACTTCAACAACAGGAAGTTTTACAACGTGAGCACCGTAAACAACTCGTTCTTGCTCAACATCAACAGCAGGAATATATTCAACGCCAGCTTAAAAATCGTGGTTTTTCTCAACATCAAATGTACCCGAGCCCACAACCTCCTAGGCAGGCGAACCAGTTTACTACTTCATCTAAAGAAATGCCTGAAATTGATACCGAAGAAGAACATCAAGAACGACTGCAGTTTCTGTATCGACAGCGACAGATGCAAAAGCGACTAATGCAACTACAGCAACAAGCTTCGACTACACCATCTCTGTGGATGAATAATTCTGCACATGTGATGCAAGGATTGTCCCAAGGAATACCCTCCGACTCTGTTCAGCAGCGTCTCTTTATCGAGCAACGAATTAGTATGGAAAAACGAGAGCAACAAATATCAAATCCATTTAACCAACAGACATCCGTATCATTGGCTCCTGTTACAGATCAAACTTCAAAGTTTAATTTCCATAAGAGTTCAAATAGCAATAGCAATGATTTTGATTTCCCAACTCCATCACAAGTGACACACACCTCCATAAATATGTCAGCTAATGTTACTCAAGCAGACGCTGCGATAAATGCCGACACAAATACGCCTTCTCTTTTCTCCACAGTTACTTCTGGAAAGGTTCGACAAACTGCGCGTAAAGATTCCAGGAATTCAGCTGTGGAATTTTCGTCTCATTTAGGCCCAGATTTCTCTAATGCCTTAGAGATTACACAACAACGAGATGGCGTTTCGGTCAATCAGTCAGGTAGGAGTCAAGGCGATGTGGTAACTGTTGGCCATGAAATATGCGTAACTTTAGATGAAGGAAATGCAAGACGTACTGAATCAGCAGAGAAAGCTGAAAATGAGAAGCATGAAGTAACGATTAATCAAGCAACAAACGTGAACACTGGAAAATCATTGACTCAAGCTTATGGTGCATCTACCTCTAACTTTCTTGGTAATACAAATCATCCTCAACTTGTATTACCTCCTCCGCAACTTTCACTTTCGCCCCAACAGCAGCACATTTTGCTGCAAGCCCAACAACAACAATTGCTATGGCAACAAGCACACACTCAATTACAACACCAGTATCAAATGTTGTACCAGCAGCTTCAGCAGTTGCAGATTCAACTGCAGCAAACACAAGATCCCTCACTTCATCAACGTGTTTTACGTCAACAACAGCAATTGCGTTTTTTGCAGACTCAGATATTGCAACACTGGCAACAGGGGCAGGTAGTTGTTCAACAAATTCATTTGCAAGCATTTGGTTTGAATGCATTGTTCAATCAGATGGATTCTACCCAACAGAAGCACGTGCAAATTTATCAACAAGAACTTGTCCGTCAACAGCAGCAGTGGGCCCAAAAATATAGAGGGATGGCTGATATTTTTAGTTCAATCAATGCTTTGCCGCAAGACAATAGAATACAAGCTATTGCTGAGGTAACGTGACATTAAAATAGTTCATTACGATTCTCAAATTGTTGAGACCTTTTTGTTATGTCTATCGTAACAGACAAATGATTTACTAATGGCACTCGACCGAAGCTTTATTTGTTGGATTTGTCGCCTTTTCGTGAAACAATCTTCTCTGTTCATTCTTTGTATCATTTTTTTGAAACATTAATAAATGGGGACACTTCTTTTTTGGAAAGTAAAAAATCAAAATTTAATAGAATTTTCTTTTTAGGATAAACCAAAACGAAGCCGACGATCTCGACAGAAAATAAAGAATCCTCCTAAAGAATCCGAGCATGCGGCAAGCACTTCGAGCAATGAGTTAGTGAAAACTGATCTGCAGACAATTGATTCTGGAGTGACCACACAAGATAAGATGCTGTTGACCAAGACATCTGATACATTGATGTCTGAAAAGACAAATGATGCACAGCAATCGTCTCACGTACTGCCTCAATTTGAAGCAGTGCGTACTAGTCCAACTGAACAGATAGAAAAACAACAAGAACAGCATCCGCAATTTTTCAGTCTAGATGTGCAGTCTTTGCAACCGGAAAAATCTTTATCTCAAGAACAGTCATTACAACAACAACATCCGTCCTTTCCACTTCAATCGTCCTTGTCAGTTCAACAGTCTATATCTCATCAACAGTGTTTATCACAGAAGCCTCTAATACAACAGCATTCCATGCCACATCAACGGTTCTCGCCACAACATTCTTTATTACAACAGCAATGTTCCATACAGCAACTTGAATTATCTTCGCCTCACAATGAACAACATCACACGCATGCTCAGCAGCATCAGCAACTTAAGACACAACAACAACCTACATTACAACAACAGTCCCAGCTGTCAAAGCAACGACAGCACACTTTAAAACAGGAACACGAACTGAGAGGAAAACCGGAATCGCAAGACGTTGGAAAACAATTTCGTGATCAACAGATTCAGCAAATCGTGCAACAGAAAATTCAACAACAACAAATGCAACAAGAACAGTTCAACCAACAACAACGAAATGAGATACATCAACCGCACAATCAACAACCTCCTCGTTTACATCAGCCTATGAAACAACAGATTGGTCCACAGAAAAACTTTCAAGCCAATTATCAACACGATCAGCAGTTACTACAACGACAACACCACCATCAGCAGGATCATCAACCACAACCTCATCAACGAAAGAAACACTTTGATCAAAAAATTTCGCAACAACAAATGGTCAGCCATCATGACGTACAAAACCTTTATGAGCAAACGACACAGTTTTCTCAGCATGGAGAACAGTCGCAGGTTTTACAACAACGGCAATATAGAGAGCAATCGTCGGTAGACCACTTACAGCGTCAACTTTTACAAAATCGTCCATATGATAGTTCATGCACTCAATCTCAACCTACAACATCGCATCAAAATCCACAAACTCCACTTTTTACTAAACCAGATTCAGATAAGCCACTCGAATCACACAAAAGTTTGTCTTCTGCTGAACTTGGTGGTGTGTCAAGGGATCAGAGTCAAAGATCCTCCGTTGGTAAGTATTGTCTAATACTTTGCCTAATACTGGCACAGACGATCTGCGCCAGTATTTTATATCATTACATGTGTAAAATATTTCATGTGTATCTATTTCATCGGGATAAATTCTGTTGCATGTCACGTGATATTTATTTGCTATCGAGAACACGTGACGTTTCGAAAATAATATCTACCTATTAATAATACTATGGTTTATGTGGAGTAAAGGTCATGTGACATTGTCGTGTTGATTTTTATTAAGTGCCGTTCTACGTCATATATTCTCCTGGAAAACTGTCAACGATTGCAAATTTAAGTCATTCGATATGACCTGCTAACACATGCATGGATCTACCTAAAATTCACAAATTAGCAATTCATTCCAATTATATTACCTCTGAGGTAAAAGCCTATTGTTCATTCTCATTCCTAATTCTTATAGATGTGGGCTGTGAGGAGCAGCCAGCGAACAACACGCAAACTAAAAAAGCACAAAATCTCCTGGAAATGAGCGATTCTCCCATTAATTCTGTTGTAAAAACAGTTTCCTGTGTTAAACCTTTAGAGCATACTAATACAGACAGAGAAAATGAAGTGCAAAGTAATGCTCCTCAAGCTTTAGAAAAATTGGAAATGATGGTTGCCGTGATGGATGTGGAAGCTAAAAAGACTGAAGCAGAGACTTTTCGAAGGGCCGAAGAATCACAAAATAATGATGTGTCAAATATGACAATTAGCGAAAGTCTACCAACAGATTCATCGGTTGAATTGGAAAACTCAACACGTAATATCTACAGTCCATCGACAATTGATGTTAATGTTGATGAAAACCTAAATAGATCTGAGGCTAATGCGAAATGGCATACTTCGGAAGAACATAATGAAAAAGAGAAAATTTCTCAAAGCGTATCCGTTAATGAATCTACGTCTCTGGAAATGCCAGCTGTAATCATAACCGCTGAGACAACAAAACAAGAATTAACTGCTCAAAAGCATGAATCTAAAGATGATGCACCTTCGTATGGAATGGTCAATAGTGTGAAATCTGAAGTCAAAAATCATGAGCTTAATGAAAATTTGTGGATGAAACGCTCACCGCACAATGATGATGGAGATCAAAAGATCTCAGTTGAAAAAAAGAGAGTGAAAAATAGTTTCGACAGAAAACTTGGGAAAACGTCTCGTAGTCGCACTTCAAAAAGTAAGAAATCAAAACTAACTGATGAAGCTATTGTACAGTCGTTAAAAGAGCTACCACCTTTGCAATTATGTGAACCGGAATTCCTTATGCCTAGTCTTATCATTCAGCCATCATTGAACGGTTTAACACGTGGCCAAACACAATTTTGTGGCTCATTTGGTCGGTCAAGTATTGCTGGTATTGATGATTACTACGCCAACCGTAAGTTTCCTGATATGAAAGTATGTTTGAGTAACCCCCCAACTCCACCAACATCTCTACCACCATCACCCACGGTCCTCCAAAATGCGTTAACAAAAGAACAATGTTTGTATGACATGTTAGCTAAGCGTACACATCACAACACATCTATGTTTCCAACTCCACCGTATGGCGACTTTGTTGGCAGCGATCCTAAAAACATATCATCCAAAGAAAAATCTGTTGACCATTTGCACCGATCGAGAGTTGGCACTCACGATGAAACATCTCGTGTGATGGATCTGCGAGTACAGAATGAGATGTATCCAGCATTTGTTATTGATAAAGGCTTGAGTATACGCAGTAAGAGCAATAATTCCATCATCAAAGACTGCAATTCTCGAATATGCGACGATATTAACGTGACGTTAACTATCTCAGCCATTTCTGAGAAGACAGTTCACGAAACGGTGAATGCAATCAGCGAGTTGATCAATGTTGATGCTCCCAAAAGATTAACGGTACAACATCCATCGAGAGCTGTTTATTTAGAAACAAAACAGTTCATTGAAACTTCACGCTTACAAGAGAACAAGAGTGGTAATGAACTCAATAACTCCGAAAGAAAAACGAAAAATGCGGAGTGCGAAACTGAAGGACCTTACTGTAGACATTGTGATGTTGTTATACTTGGTATTGGCGTTGTAAAAAATAATACAGATGATATTAATCCTTCCGATTATAATAATGTCAATATTGAAGATAATTTGAGTCAGGAGAAAGATATATTCTGTTCCAGCGCTTGTTTAAAGCAGTATTATTCAATAGACAATTCTACAGAATCGACACCGAATAAAGAGCCGTTGTTATCTGCTGCTACTACTCCTAGTATACCAAATGGAATTGCAAAGACAAAAGGCATAGCGACTTCAGTTGAACTTGTTAATGAATATGACGAGAGAATGGAAGAAAGTAGAAATGCTGTTGCGAAACGCCCGTCTCATACATCTGATGGTAAATGTCATGAAAAATCACAAGAAGATCACGAGGTATGTTCTTGATATATATCACGTCTTTGTCATGATGAGGTATCTTGTGTATCAAGGTATCTACTTTTACGCACTATGTTTTGTGTCATCTACCATCAAAGTTTTGAGGACTGTTTAGAAACTTTACCGGATTTCGTTAAGGTAAAAGAAAAACGCTCCAAAAGATTGAAGTGGCGAAGATGGAAAGAACCATTATTAACGAGAACCAAACCAAACAAAGACGAGGAAGATGCGGAAACATTTCAGGTAAATTCTTTTGTTAAAAAATATGCAAAAAAAATGTATTTTGATGTTTTGATTATGAAAGACCCCTTAAGGATGGTAGCTAATTTAGATTGGAATTGATTATGTAGCTTTTAGTCCAACATGGACTATTGACAAAAACGACAAAAACAGAAAAAGACAGGAGACGCTGTGTCTTGTGTTCACAATTTGGTGATGGAGAAACAGATGGAACTGCCAGGTTTGAAACAACACAATATATATTAATGGTGTGATTTTTGTTTCACTGTGCGGTCGGAAGAAAAACGTTATTAGTTACCTTAGAATTCTTTACATAAAGTTTTTAAAGAATATTTTTTACTGACCAATTTGAGAAGTACCTTTAAAGAAGCATGTGAAGATTACTCCGTAGCGTTCTCACTCATGAAAGAAGAACTATACCGTAGAACCTACCTTTGTCAAATTCATTACTCCTATAATTTGCTCCGATGTCTTTAATTATAGGTTACTGAATGTTGATTTGGACTCCTGGGTGCATTTGAATTGTGCGTTGTGGTCTCATGAAGTATATGAAACTCAAAATGGTGCGTTGATGAATGTAGAGGATGCAATCAAGCGAGGAGAAAGAAAGGTATTTTAGCTCTGTCATGTACATTGTACGTTTGTTAATATAAGGAATAAAAATATCTTTGAATATTTATACTTTCTCTTCTGTGTAAAAATATTCCCTCCTTTCGCAATTTTACACACCTTGACATGTGTAAAGAAATAGTTAAGAACTATGTAAATTTACTTTAGCGTTAAGTTTGTTAAAAATATGTACATGCAAAATTTTTTGTTTTTACGAACCTCAATGTTGTTCATATTATTTTTGTTATATCAATAGGAATGTGTCGTTTGTCGCAAGAAAGGTGCTACAATTGTGTGTAGTAAGCTTGTCGGGGTTTGTTTAGTAAACTGCAGTAACTGCTATCATTTCCAATGTGCCAGAAACGTTGGCTGCTTGTTTTTCAAAGATAAGGTATAAAAAATTTCTTCTTGTCGTAACCATACATACCATTACCTTCTTTTTTTCAACTATTACCGCATTATTTCCTTAATTTCATTGACCTTGTTTTGTTCCTTTATAGACTGTTTTGTGTCCTAAACATCAGACTGATTACATCAAAGAAAATATTCTACCATCACATGCTGTTTTCAGAAAGGTGTTTATTAATCGTCAAGAAATTGAACAAGTTGCAAAGTAAGTCATGTTATCCTTAAATGCGAGATATTTTTCAGTTCATTCAGTGATTTTATTGGTAAAATTGATCGTACTACAATGAATTTTCGTTCGCTTGTTAATTTTTTGTTTTTGTTGTTCTAACACTGTGAAACGATAACTGGGAGAAAGTTTCAGTTGTGCATTTCGTAATTAGTTCATTTTGCTGTTGATGAAATGGAGTAAGATTAATGTCGAATGGACAGTTTTTTGATGTTGTTATCTATGAAAGTTTGCTGTGAATATCTTTACTTATCTAACATTGAGCATCATGTTAGAAAAAGAGGGCAATTTGTAGAACATTCTGTGGAAATGCAACGTATACATTAATGTCTTAAGATTTTTTAGCTGATGTATTCGGCAGAACGATTTTAGATACAAGTATAACTTTATTTCTTTTAGGATGCTGAGTCATAATCAAACAAGTGAAAAACCTTACTCCTTTAGAATAGGAAATTTGATTTTAAACTCTGTTGGTCAGTTACTTCCTCATCAAGTGCAAGCATTTCATACTCGTGATTCTGTTTATCCTGTTGGTTTTTCGACAACTCGCATCTATTGGAGCATGCGTGTCGTTGGTCAGCGGTGTCGGTATATATGTGATGTCAAGGATGTTGACGGTGTTCCACATTTTGTTGTCAAGATTGAAGAAGGAGGGTATAAAGACGTGACATTTGACGGCAGAACTCCAAGAGGTTTAATATAAATGCTGTTTAAAATTTTCATCGAAACATTTCACCTTTAATATTCAAACTGTCCAAAAATATTACAATTTTCATATAACCTCCAAAATGTATAGAGTTGTTTTGCATATCGGTTAAATGCAATATAAATTGTAATAATACGTACCGTTATTAAGATCTTTGGGAAAATTCGGATGTATGTTGAAAACACGGATTCTTTAACTTAGTTCTACTTTTTAAACTTAGATGCGTGGATGAAAATACTAGAGCCTATGGAAAGTCAACGTAAAGAGACGAATCGAGTCAAACTGTTTCCTGCTCATATCACTGGAGAGGTACGTATGTTTAATAAAACAACAAACCAGCAAATATTTTTAATTACTTTTCAAGTGTCATCATTTTATTGACGTTTATGTTTGACTTAAGTTGTTTTGTTTCAATCAGATTGACCCTTACCTAACTTGATGTGTTTCACTCAATAGCTGCAAAGCTGTTGTATTTTACGACGATTTGTTATTGTAAAACGTTAAGTTTGACTGTAATGATAGGGTAAAAATTGGACATAATTATGTACCATGCATAACTATATCACTAGGTATTAAACATAATGTTCATTTATCAATAAGCATTCAACTTGTGTAGCTAATTAGTTTATTTGATTGTTGAGCAAATACTTTGTCTTTTAAAGGACTTATTTGGTCTCTCGGAACCTCTCATTGTTCGCATTGTAGAGTCGGTAAGAAAACAATAATTTTGATTTTCGAGTCTATTCAAATGTCATTTGTATAATGGATAAGTTAATTTAAAACCTAAAGCTATTCATTACTCTAGAATTAGTCTGTGTTCAGTATGAATTAAAATCTATCGTCTGATTTTCTCTAGATGCCTGGAGTTGACCAAATGCAAGGTTACAATATGCGGTATGGTCGCTCTCCGATAATGGAATTACCATTAGCAATCAATCCTACTGGTTGTGCACGCTCAGAACCTCTTTTGAGGACTCATTTCAAAAGGTTGGCATAAACAATACCGACGAATGTCGTATTTAATATCGAAATAAATCTAACGGTGCATTTAAATTTGCGTTATGAATATCTTGCCATTTCATGAAGAGTGTCGACACTTTCTGAGTGTAAGAACTGTGATTAAAACAATGTGGGATGTTTTTGAGTACTTTGGGATAACTGTTTCAAGCTATTCCGGAAACTAACATTTCATCATGTTGTACATTAAATTGTTTTCACACTTGTTCATCGTTTTAATAGTTTTCAACAAATCACAATAACCTATAAATTCGATAGTTTAATCCTTCATATGTTTTTTACAGCATCCAAGCAGACTTTGTTCTTAGTTGAATTCACTAAACGTACTTATTAAACTTGTTGAAAGAGAAAAAAATCTTTGTTTTCAAAAGTCAATTTTTCAAGCGGAAGTGGAAGTCTTTTCAGCGTATATAATGACAAAAAGTTTGTCAATGAACAAAGCCGTGAATGCATGGACAGCGCGTCAATTTTTTATAACGAATTGTCTTATGTATGTGCACTCTAATTTTTATGAAGTTTCTGCTACTTATGTGCAATTTCGTAATTTTTCTTTGCTTAAGGAGAGAGGGGTTGATATAACTTTATTTTACATGGAAAAATTTTAATTTCAACAGACCGGCAAGAGCTCGTCGCTCAACAAAGAATGCTTCATCGGCAACGACTGTGGTAGCTCATCAGCCAGAAGAACTGAACAGCAGTGTCTACTCAAAACAATTTGCTCATTCGAAAACTCAACAATATCGTAAATTGAAGTGTGAATGGAGATCCAATGTACTTCTTGGTAGATCACGCATTCAGGTGAAAATAAATGGCTAGAAAAGAGTGTATATATTATGTGCAATGATTTAGAACCCAATCCCCTAACTATCGTGTGAAGGCGAGTTAAGTACGCCATCTTGAAAGTTGGCAAAAATCTCAATCAAAAATATGTTAAAGAAAGTTAAAAAGCCAGTCCTGTCAAGCTTTTTAAACAAACCTAGACTGTAAACTCTGCAAACGTATATCAACTTGAGAAAAGCAGATATTAGTAAATATCGTCTGTTTTGCCATCTTTCAAGATAGCAGCTTGCCTTACTTGTTACAATGGAGTTTCGGCAGAGTAAATTATCTAGCAGGCTGGGCTCTAGGTAATTGATTATATGTAACTAAAAGAAAAGGATAGAGTTGCGTCCTTTTTTATAACTTCCAAAATAAAAAATTGAGACCGTACAAGGCAATGTTATTATAAATAGCAGATAAAATCGTGCATTAGCTACTCTGTTGAGCGATGAATTTCTGCATGTACCGTTATGTTTGTTGCTTTCTTTTGGTATGTAAATCTTTCAATTTATTTTTTAGGGGCTTGGTTTGTTTGCAAATAGAGATCTTGATGCGGTAAGTTGATGCGTTTCGTTATATTGAGTAATTATACTTGGAATTTTTGCAACATTTTGTACGAATTATGTTTTCGTTTACAGAATAGCATGGTGATTGAATACATCGGCTCAATAATCAGAAACGAAGTTGCGAATAAACGAGAACGAATCTATGAGTCTCAGGTAAGCTTTGAGGTAGTTGACTGCTGGATTTTGTCCATTGATGCCGAGTTAAAAGAAAACTTTCAATGAATGCTGTTAGACTGTTAGAATAAACGTACAGTGTATTACTTTAAAACCATGACCAGCCGACAATTTAAAGAAGTATAATATAAAACAAATTCCGAAGAAACAAGATTTGAATAAACAAATGAGTAAACTGTAAATTTTCGACTTTATTTCATTCTGTTTGAGGATGACTTTGAAATAAAGTCGAAAATTTACAGTTTACTTCTCGTCTTGTTTTGATTCATATTTTGCAATCTCAAGATGTCTTGTAGTAGACAAGATTGTCTTGTTTCTTCGGAATTTGTTGTGTATTACTTTGATCGTCACAAACTATCCATATCTTTGTAGCAATCTATGTTCCAATTGTTCGATGCTTTAATTTTAAATACATTACAGCGTGTGTAGCTTGTACATGTTTTTCATTTCGACACCAATTTCTTTCCAATGCTCTCTGATCTTTTAGTTCATTTTATTTTCTATTTACGTGTTTTAGAACCATGGAGTGTACATGTTTCGTATTGATAACGACAGCGTGATTGATGCTACAATTGCTGGAGGGCCTGCGCGTTATATCAACCATTCATGTCAAGTTAGTAGAAAAATAATAAGTGTTTTTTTTTCATATATATATTTTCTTTTAGTATAATTTCTCATCAATATAATCTTATCATCAAAATGTGTTTTCCACAACAGGCCTTTGAACATGTTTTAAGACGAAAAATATGAGTGCATAACTTGTAGTTTCTAGAAACTGTGGTTTCATTGAAATTGTTTGATGTATTTTCAGCCAAACTGCGTTGCTGAAGTTGTCAGGTTTGAACGTGAACAAAAAATCATCATCATATCGAATAGACGAATTGAAAAAGGAGAGGAAGTGAGTAAAGAGTCTTCACATAATGATATTATAGTGAAAATGTTATATATAAGAGAGTTTTAGCTTATATTTTTAACTCCCAGGAACGTCTTAGTGATTAGCTTTTTACGGCTCGCCTATATGATAATGCCATATTTTACGAGACAATTTTGAGTTGAATCTGAACAAATGAAGGCCGAAAGATTCGATTGAATTGATCGAGTTGATTGACCTAATATTTTTTTCTTTTCAGTTGACCTATTGATTTTTTTTCTTTTTCAGTTGACTGATTTTTTTTTTCAGTTGATCCATGATTTTTTTCTTTTTTCAGTTGACCCAGTTGACTTTTTTTCTTTTTCAGTTGACCTACGACTTTTTTTTTTTCAGTTGACCTACGATTTTTTTCTTTTCCAGTTGACCTACGACTATAATTTTTCTTTTCAGTTGACCTACGACTATAAATTTATTTTTTTCTTTTTCAGTTGACCTACGACTATAAATTTGATTTTGAAGACGATCAACACAAAATTCCTTGTTTATGTGGGGCTGTGAACTGTCGAAAATGGATGAATTAATTTTACTGTCTTGTTGATTTTATCCATTATTTATTGTTTATTTATTCGAAATCATGCAAAAAGAAATGTAATGAACAATTTGAGTCAAGTTGATGCATCGAAATGATAGGAAAGTAGTAGTTTTAATAAGCTTTATTGTACAGTTCTAACGAAATGTAGTATTTTTTAAAAGATGTTTTCGCCAATTGTACATTTTTACAAAGATAAATTATTTATTCATGAATAGATATGGCTTGTGTAATGTTTGGTTTGCCAAGGATAATTGGCTAATTGCGTGGATCTTATACAATACATTCAATACGAATTACGAATAAACTATATGAATTTCATTTGTCTGAAAGGAATCTTTATTTTCCTCTGGTAATTGTACCTGTAGTTATTCGGAAAGAAGTCCTTTATAGTCTGATTTACAAAGGAAAGAACGTTATTGCAAAACTGCTTAACATCCCCTCATGTGCGAAGGAAAATCGAGAATTGGAGGGTCTCATATTCATATTAATTATTACATACGTATGAGTTCAGCCGCCCTCCGCCGCCGTCTAAATTATCAATCTTCCTATACGTCCATGTATCCCGCTACTGTCAATTATCGTGAGCTTACTGAAACAAAATAGTTTTACACAAAATTCAATTTTTGTCTTCCTACAATGGCTTGTATTTTTATAACTGTTTTGTTTGAGTTTTAAAAACGATCGGGCATGCGCAATATTTTTATTTCATAGTATCCAAAAAAAATTGTGTTCACTTCCCAAAACTATGCAACTGGCTATAAATGCATTATGCACTTATAGATAGGCGCATATAAGAGATAAATTGTTAAAACAAATTTCCAAGTATGCCAAATATATGCCACTAGCTACCGCACATGAGATTGTCTTTAAAAACATGTAATACATCCTTAATTTTGTATAATAATTAAATGCATAAATTATAGTCTTGGGCATGAAAATGTGTGAAAATGCATGCATTAAGATCTTTGGCATGAAAATGTGTGAAAATACATGAACTATAGTCTTTGGCATGAAAATGCGTGAAAATTCATGAACTATAGTCTTTGGCAAGAAAATGCGTTAACTACATTCTTTGTCATGAAAATGCATGAACTGTAGTCTTTGTCATGAAAATGTGTGAAAATGCATGAACTAAAGTTTTTGGCATGAAAATGCATGAACTATAGTCTTTGGCATGAAAGCGTGTGAAAATGCATGAACGATAGTTTTTGAAATGAAAATGTGTGAAAATGCATGAACTCTAGTCTTTGGCATGAAAATGTGTGAAAATGCATGCATTAAGATCTTTGGCATGAAAATGAAAATGCATGAACTACAGTCTTTGGCATGAAAATGTGTGAAAATGCATCAACTATAGTCTATGGCATGAAAATGTGTGAAAATGCATGCATTGAGATCTTTGGCATGAAAATGTGTGAAAATGCATGAATTAAAATATCTGGCATTAAAATGTGTGAAAATGCATGAACTATAGTCTATCGCATGAAAATGTGTGAAAATGCATACATTAAGATCTTTGGCATGAAAATGTGTGAAAATGCATGAATTAAAATATCTGGCATGAAAATGCGTGAAAATGTATGAGCTATAGTCTTTGGAAAGAACATGCGTCAACTACAATCTTTGTCATGAAAATGCATGAACTACAGTCTTTGTCAAAAAATGTGTGAAAATGCATGAACTATAGTTTTTGGCATGAAATACATGAACTATAGTCTTTGGCATGAAAACGTTTGAAAATGCATGAACGATAGTATTTGGCATAAAAATGTGCGAAAATGCATGAACTATAGTCTATGGCATAAAAATGTGTGAAAATGCATGAACTATAGTCTATGGCGTTCACGATTTTTGTTCACGATTTGTTCACTATGTTCTCGATTTGTAATGCAAAAGACTATAGTTCACGATTTTTAATGCAAAAGACTATAGTTCACGAATTTTCATGCAAAAGACTATAGTTTACGAATTTTGATGCAAAACACTATAATTTACGAATTTTGATACAAAAGACTATAGTTCACGAATTTTCATGCAATAGACTACAATTCACGATTTTTCATGCCAAAGACTATATTTCGATTTTTCACACCAAAGACGATTTTTCACACCAAAGACGATTTTTTTCACACCAAAGACGATTTTTCACACCAATTTTCATGCCAAAGACTATAATTTACGAATTTTCATGCAAAAGGCTATAATTTACGAATTTTGATGCAAAACACTATAATTCACGAATTTTCATGCAAAAGACTATAGTTCACGATTTTTAATGCAAAAGATTATAGTTTACAATTTTTAATGCAAGAGACTATAGTTCACGAATTTTACTTTTAAAAGACTATTGTTCACGAAATTTCATGCAAAAGACTATTTTTCATGAATTTTTATGCAAAAGACTATAATTCACGAATTTTAATGCAAAAGACTATAGTTCACGAATTTTCATGAGAAAGACTATAAGTCTAATATTTGCACACATTTTCAGGCCAAAGACTATAGTTCATGAATTTTAACACATTTTCAAGCCAAAGACTATAGTTCATGCATTTTCACACATTTATATGCCAAATGCTATAAAATATATATAGTTCACGCAATTTGCACACATTTTCATGCCAAAGACTATAATTCACACATTCTCATGCCGAAGACTGTATTTCATGAATTTTAACACATTTTCAAGCCAAATGCTATAGTCCACGCAATTTGCACACATTTTCATGCCAAAGACTATAATTCACACATTTTCATGCCAAAGACTGTATTTCATGAATTTTAACACATTTTCAAGCCACAGGCTATAATTCTAGCATTTGCACACATTTTCATGCCAAAGACTATAGTTCATGCATTTGCACACATTTTTATGCCAAAGACTATAGTTCACGCATTTTCACGCATTTTCATGCCAAAGACTGTAGTTCATGCATTTTCACGAACTTTCATGCCAAAGACTATAGTTCATGTATTTTCACACATTTTCATAAAGTCTATAGTTGAAGCATTTTCACACATTTTCTTGCCAAAGACTATAGTTCATGCATTTTCACAAATTTTCATGCCAAAGGCTATAGTTCTAGCATTTGCACACATTTTCAGATCAAAGACTATAGTTCATGCATTTGCACACATTTTCATGCCAAAGACTATAGTTCATGCATTTTTACGCATTTTCATGCCAAAGACTATAGTTCATTTATTTTTACGCATTTTCATGCCAAAGACTATAATTCACACATTTTCATGCCAAAGACTGTATTTCATGAATTTTAACACATTTTCAAGCCACAGGCTATAGTTCTAGCATTTGCACACATTTTCATGCCAAAGACTGTAGTTCATGCATTTTCACGCATTTTCATTCCAAAAACTATAATTCATGCATTGGCACACATTTTAACGCCAAAGACTATAGTTCATGAATTTTCATGCAAAAGAGTATAGTTCACTAATTTTCATGAGAAAGACTATAAGTCTAATATTTGCACACTTTTTTAGGCCAAAGACTATAGTTCATGCATTTTTACGCATTTTCGTGACAAAGACTATAGTTCACGCATTTTCATGCCCAAGACAAGACACAGCCATCAAAATGCTGTTATGAGTTTGCATTCTGGTTCAACAAAGTCGATTGTCGACACCACAAGCCAAAACCTTTACTGGCACCCCTCCAGAGCACGAGTATTGAGAGAATCGAAATCCAGGGCTTCCAAAAAAGTTGGAAAATGAATAGTTGGAGAATGCGAGATCTGTACCACATTGTGAGAGTTGATTGCTATCATGTCTTTTGTTCGCCAGAACATGAAGTTCAAAATACTATTTGTTTAAGTTTAGGTTTTTATAGTTGATCAATACGATGTTTGATCGTACTTGCCGTGAATGGTCATGAACAGATGTAGCTATGTACTTACCGTCCATAAGTATATAATGGAAAAACACTGCATGTTTTGAATTTACGATGAGCATATAAATGACTTTGATGTGTCACACCTAAAGAGAAGCTGGGCATCCTCATCATTGCAACCTCTAAATGATGACACGACTATAAGAAATACTCTTATGAAATGATGATTCTTTGAAAGTATGACTCAGAAGAATCGACAACATGTTGAAACGACAACTTTTTTAAATGACGACTTCTATAAAATGACATTTTGAAACAAGGGACAAATTTTTTAAATGAGGGAAAACTTTTTGACAAAAAAAGGAATCCTATAAAATGACGTTTCTTACATGAAATGACGACTCTGAGAACTGATGAACAGATGACGACTTTTTTGAAATTACGACTCCTATATGAAACAAAGACTTTGTGGAAATGAAGATCCTCGTGAAAGGACAACGTTTTAAATTAACCACTTCTATGAAATAGCAACATTTGTACATTGTAGACAACTATGTATAACAATGAATGAATGAGAAAAAGATGACAATGTATGACATGTGATAACAATAGATGACCATCCTACATACGACAGTGGTTACATTACATCACAGTACAATGCATAACAAAAGCTGAAAGTGAATGACAGAAGGCGATTGCCACTGCAGAACAGTAGATGACAGAGTACGACCGACAGTAGATGGTCGAATGTGATAGTAGATGATATGACCAGAGTAAAACAGTAGGGGATAGTGTAAGTTTATGACAGAAGTACATTACAATAGTAAGAAAAGTTTGTCGCTGAACTTAGATCGAGCCCCTCAGCTTAGAAATGCGCCCATGCTTACAAGACTGCATAAAGACTTTATTGCATGAATTGTTTAAAAGCGATACCAGATTGCAAAACGCTTTACTGAAATGTATGTTTGAAATATTACAGCTCTGTTAACATAATCTTATAGGAATGATTTGGTTCATTTGAACCAGAAAGAGACAAAACACAAGGAATGAAATAATCCCACGTTCTATATAACTTGTCACATTGATCCCCAATCCAATTTGAATCTTTAATGATTTTAGTCAAAGATTAACATTGTAAGAGCAGGCTTACAGGGTTAGGTATTTAAAGAACACTGGATGACGTGTTACGTCAACAAGAACGCACGCAGACTCACAATCTCACATACAATAAATGGTACGTTTACACCATTTGGTCTTTACATAGATACCACGATACAAGTTTTATTTATGAGATAAAATTATCTGATTTAGCCATGTGACTGTGATCATTATGAGCCAAACCCAAAGGCAAAATGACTACCTATAAGTTATGTCAATATCATGAGCGACATTGACATGTCAAAAGATCCAATTGACGAAAATAGACGTCATGCTTTTAGATTTGTTGACAAACTTTCGAGAAATATGAGAAGTGCTGTTACTGCTGTACATAGAACACCGTCAATAATTGGTGTATTTGTTTGGGTATTGTGGGTTTGAAATATTCAAAATTTCAAACAAACATTATAGTAAATCGCACTGTAAAAATTGCGAAATGAAGAATATGGCACACGCTGAAAACATTGAAAACACGACCGATATTTGCATATCAGACAATAGCAATTTAAAAGTTTCCTGAGTTTCACAACAAGGACGCTTTAGGCGGTCAAGGTGACGGCACGAAAGATCTGTAGAGGTTACAGCTCAGTGAAAACTTTCCCGTATTATTTATTTTGCGCTGTTGAAAATAAATTATAAAATATAAGTGACAAATAACAGAATGAACATTATAAATTGCATCGCAAAAATCAAGCACTTGAACTTTTTATTGAATTATGCCTAACTTACTTAGGCTTTGAAGAGTACATATTATTTCTTTTGTCTTTCAATGTTATTATAAAAAATTCCCGCGGTAAATTTACATGGACAAGACTTTTGTACGAATGTTGCGTGTCAGGTTAATTTTTATTGTATATTTCCGGCTTGTGATTGGTTGAAAATATGTAAATAAACTTTCTATTGGACGACGCAATGTGTACTACACGCGTTGTATCTCTGATTTATTTCGGTAAGTCTCAAGGCATAACATTCGAGACAAATTTACGTTCGGATAATCTACGGTGAACGCATTTCTAAACGAAATTCGTTCGTATACATTTCCAAATGTACGTATTAGACTCGATAAAGAGTTAACGTAAAATCTTAAACATGGATAGCGTGTCACGTCATTTGGATGGCAACAAACGAATCCCCAGTTCGTCTGATCCAAACGTGAACATTGTTATGCACCTTTTACTATTTGCAAACGCTCGAGAAAACAGCGAAAACGAAAAGTTTGCTAAAAGGGCAATTGAGTCACTTGTAAAAAAACTGCGGAAAAAATCAGAGGAACTGGATGCCTTGATAAGAGCTGTGTCTACTCGTGGCAATGAACCCAGTAAGTGTGTCACAATCCCAAGAACTCTTGATGGCCGCTTGCAAGTTTGTGAGAGAAAGGGCTTTCCTCATGTTATATACACAAGACTTTGGAGGTGGCCCGATATACAGAAAATGGAATTGCGGCATAACGATTCTTGTCTTTATGGTTTTGACTTAAAATGTGAGACCGTTTGTGTGAATCCATATCATTATGAAAGAATTGGTTCCATACACACACTAGCCAGTAAGTATGGAACAAAAATTCTACATCGTGTAAATTGCCACATTTATTGCATTCGTGCGGTGTCATATAGCGTGCAGTATTTAATCGTCGTAAAAATTGCTATTATTGGTGTTTTTAGTGTCTCGATGCCATTTATGTGTTTGGTGTATTTCCCCAGCAATTAATATTTCTGTATACAGCAAATATAAAGAATACTCCGCAAAAGATTTAGTTTTATTTTTTGGTAAAGCAACAACTCCGGACAGAGCAAGATTGAGCTAAAATGTTTGGTAAATAATTGTCGTCTTCACGTCTACGACAGCGGCTAGCGTGATGGATTTAATGATTATATTGTGTCATTTCGCTTGTATATGCGTCATTCGTCATACCCGCGTGACTTGTGTTTACAACATCTCCTTACTATGCTCATTATTCAATGAAAATTCTATTTAAAAGATTTAGTATCTTCCAACCTTCTGAATGGCAGGCTGATTTCTGTTGGTAATTTTAACAATATATTCTAGTTTTAGAAGCTGGTTAAATGATAAATTAGACTGTGAATTTTCTAGACAAGTATCAGACGTGTTAGTGTCTGAGAACGGGTGTTCTTAGATTGCAAAATAACATTGGAAATGTGACATGTTCGTACATTGTCTTCACCAGGAAAATATCAAATAATTAAATTAAACGAAACAATTGAAACAAGTGCCATTGGCTACAATCACTCTGTGGTTGTTTATTTGATTTTTCGTTAAACCGACATATCGGCTATGAACTACAGTAGTTTGTTTTTGTTTGTCTCTTGCTTTAATGGTCTTTTGCATGCACGACGAGATTGTTAAATCGCTACAGCTAGTTTACTGCACATAGTTCATAATCATTTATTGAATCAGGGATGTTCGTTTAACAGTGCGTATCGATCAGTTTCACCATTGGATTCAATTATTTCAATATTTGCCAAGAATATTAATTATTCACTGATGTATTTTGCATATTTTTTCTGCCATGTCCCCAGGCGCTTGCCCATAAATCACTTTGCTAATAATTGCAGGTGCGACGGGGGGTGTTTTTATGGATTTTATTATACGAACACAACTTGTAGCAAAAAAATCATAGATTTTTACGTAATGCAAAGTAAATTTTCTGATGTCTTGAAACTTTGTCTCATGAAAATGTGAAGTAATGTGACTGGAGTTTGAATCATATACGTTGATTCATCTTTTTTAGAGCATGGAACGTTACTGTTGAAGCATAACTAAAGCCTGATTTTAGATCCTGCTTACATAGGGGCGATGTTCAAAGAAAGACTCTAGGTTTCCATTTAAGTAACACATTTCGCCCTTACACGTACTTTTTATTTCCTAAGTCTGTATACTACAACAGGTCAGAGGTTAACATCTTGCCAGGTTCCAACCTCAAGATAAAGATTTTGGAAGGCATCAGGTCCTATCAAGGTCAAACAATATCCTGTTCTTTGCTAACCATTCTGGGAAAACGTCGCAAAATGCACGCTATTTCTTTATTAAGGCAGTCTACCCTTTGAAAGCACGTGATCAATGTAGGCCGATGTAAACAAAACATAGTCCGCTAAAGAACAATTTAATTATTCGCCATTAAAAGTATAAGCCAACAAAAGGAGAATTCTTCCAATCTCAAGAATTTCGAATGCACAAATATCTACAGCTACCAATTCTTTCTCGGGTCAAAGAAAACGATTTTATGTGCTTGACGAAAATTAATGTATAAAAATTTGTCTAAAACAATTTCCAAGTACAACAAGGGAATCGATCCTTCTCAAACACAACCGTCTATATGTTTTGAAAAAGCTTGCTCTTGATTCCACAATAATACATGACGAACAAAATCCTTGCGCGATACTAAGTTTTCATTTTCGTGACGGCAATCGTATCAATCACAAAAGGAATATTTTGTCAATGTGACAATACCATGCTAATGGAGGTTGACGATAACGTAATGAACGGATGTCAAAACACCTGCCTCTGGACTGGGAAGAAGAGAACTTTTTTTTTCATTTAGAATACAAAATATAAAGAAAATTTGTGCGGTCGTCATCACTTGATTAAGCACGGGGCTCGAATATAATATGCATATATCGTATGTGTGTTTGCAAGATGATTTTATTCTAAATAATAGCCATCACAACACTCAAAATCTAGACTACAAAAACGTTAACTTCTCCAATTTTGGGGAAATTTACTTGTTAATATGACCGATTAGAGCTTCAAAGTATCAAAAACTTTGCTCTTGAATACTTGCAATTAGTGAGTATATAGGTAGGGTAGGTTTCTAAAGGTGTGATTACATGAGCCCGGTAGCCGGGATTCAGCCAAGCGTTAAGTGATTTTTGCAAATGGAAAAGATTCAATACTTATCAGCAGATAAATCATCTCAAGCAATTTCACAATATTCCGATTTAATAACTTCTCAAAACATTTAAAATTTAAACAACCAATTTGCCCTAATTTGAGAATTACAACTGGAATGATGCGTGGCGCTTTGCAAACAGTTGTAGATTTTAACCTTGAAGTTTTGGCTTCCTTCGATCCCTTGAAATCATCGGGCTTGCTCGCCTCCATATAATCAAGCCATAACTGCTTTAATTGACTTTTAATTACTTACACGAAAATTTTTTCGCAAACTTAAATCCATGTTACTCCAAGGATTAATCTTATCTATTTCACCGTTTTCATGATTGCCTTAATTCTCTTGATCAGGACGCTTGACATGCGAGAAAAATAGTCGAAAAGCAAATTTTATTTGGTCTTTTTTTATCAACCACAGTTTATAAAAGATGCCGTAGAAAGTACTAAACAGTTGTTGAAAGATCAAAGCAGAAATTTTGATAAAGGGATATATAAGTCTGTATGGATTTGTCTCGAATTTTATGATATTTTCAATAATTAACAGACATTCGTTCATGTGGTTGTTATTTGATCCCATTGTTTTTTCAGATAATGTATCTCCGCCATCGTTTAAAGGTGCTTGTGCAACGTTAATTCATCCCATGTCGTGTCAAGATGAGCCAGCTAATAGCCTATACGATCATTTGGCATTGAGTACCAACACAGGCACTATTGGCACTCTTTTAACAATTCCAACTCAAGATGATCCTTGCCCTTTGATTGTTCAAACCTTGCTTCACTATGTCCACTTCAAATGCCCCAGTCCTGAGTTGAAAACTTTCGCTCGAAAGGCTACTGAATCAATTGTTAAAAAATTGAAAAAGACTCCAAATGAACTGGAGTCTTTGATAATTGCAATCACATCTCAAGGTAGGCAACTTTCTAGATGTGTCACATTGCAACGGACAATGGATGGCCGATTGCAAGTTGGGGAAAAGAAAGATTTCCCACATGTGATATACACAAGGCTATGGAGGTTTCCTGATGTCCACAAGATGGAGTTGAAACATGTTGAATACTGTCGTTATGGTTATGACCTAAAGAACTGCAAAGTGTGTGTTAATCCATATCATTATGAAAGAGTTCAACCCCCAGGTTTGTGCATTGTGTTGCAATTAAATAGATTATAACAAGGTTGGCCATGAGAAGATACGTAAATAACAAGTATGTAGCAATCTATTATATGATTACAAGTTTGTCATTGCCATTTTCTCTTGCGTATATTGTCCGAATCATCGACTTATATTTATTTACATGTTGTATTCTTCTGTCTGTATTATATTTAGTCTTTTTAAGATTGGGAATAAAGTTGTGTTGCGTTATTAAAAATACACATGAAATTGTGCACTAGTTGCCATTGATATCAACAACCATATTGCCAGATTATACCCGTACTGCTTTCTCAATTTCTGTATTCTGCAAAAAACTGATAGCAGATATGTTGTCAACATTAATTTTGTATTGCATGACAACACATCTTGCATGGTTTGTTCAAGATTTTACGATACAAGCTGTTGGCTGATTTCTACTCTAGCTAAGTATTTAATGATCATTAATTAAAAGGATCTCATCACAACCAGCTAGCATACGACTACAAATGTTGAGTTTGATTAGTTACTTGTTAATATTCCATGAAAAACTGTGACATTCACGCCAAATATTGTTTATAATGTTCTGTCTAAGTCTCTTTTAACTCACTTTATTCTTCGCTATCATTATCTATTACCGAAATTAAGAACAAGAATGTGATTGTGGATAAAATCTTACTAAATTTACAGACCATTTTTACCTGACATTTTATAGCGCTCTTAACAGGTTTTATGTCTATATTTATAATTTATTAACGTCTTGTCTGGATAGTAATATACATGCGTCTGTCAACAGCGATTAATTTCCTGTGTTTTGTCTTCATACGTGCATACTCTATGCGCGGAATTTTACTAGTGTTGCTACAAAATCTGGTGTTATTTATTTAGCATCTCTATTTTTTGTTGTTTTTTTTCTGATATGTAACTTTGTTCTACTTTTATGGTTTAAAACTATGGGCATTATACTTTAGTTATTCATATGATAAGGCAATAAAATTTTTATGATGTATATTCGTTTGAGTTGAATGCTCAGTTTTCGTTTCAAACTTTTCCAAACAACTACGAATTAAAAAAAAAGTTTTGACAACTAATCACTGATTTAATTGTTTTCGTTTGCTTACATTTGTTTTTGTATGAATGGTAATGCAGAATTTATATTGCAACAATATATATTAAAATTTAGTTTATACCTTGTGGTGTCAAGTTTAGATTTCATTATTTTAGAAATGGTATTCATACATATTGCAGCTTCTAAGCTTTCTCATTCAATCTTTTTCTCATCCATACAAATAATATCAATTTAGGCAAGAGAAAAACAAATATTACAAGGCCAATTTTCAGCCCGGATCTGTTATAATATCCAAACAAATAGCGTACGCGATTACATGAGAACAATTCTAGTGGGCTGGAATCTCAGCCCAGTTTTAGCTACCCGGGATGAAATTTCATCCCGGGCTGGAAAATCTGTCATGTAATCGTTTCAGCACCGGGCTGAAACCACAGCTGAAAATATTCACGCATGCGTAATTGCGTACCTGTTGCTTATGATGATGACAACAAATTAACGACAACTGGCGATCATGCCTCGGATGAGCTTCGTAAATTTCAGCCCCGGTCTAAACACCGGGCTGAAATTGACCATATAATCACACAAAATTTCAGCCCGGGCCGAAATTGCTCCATGTAATCGGCCCCTTATACACTATTGCTTGCATCAGAAACAATCTTCAGAATCTTCTTACTTTACTTGATTTAAAGTGGGTTTTCACAACCCAATTGCTCTAGCAATGGAGGGCAGAAGGTCTTTCTTGGGGCTTGGGCCTGTTGCTGACTGAAGCATTACTTGATATTGATTTTTTATTTTTTTTTTATTTTTCTTCAGATTGGTTTCGAAATTCTTTAACTGTAAACCCCACCTCTGCTCTAGGTAAGATTTATTTTCAAACAACAAAAAAGCTGGCGGATTTTTCGCAACGATTTTTGGAAATCTTACAATTCACGCATCCTACAAATTTACCTGTTTGTATTTCTTTGAAATCATTGTGCTTGTTGCGCAATCCTAGCACTTCTTCCTTTTATAAATAACTAAATTCTTTATTCCTCTTCAGGAATTTTAATGAATCCACCTATCTCATCACACGATCCCATTTCATACCAAAGCTGTAAGTTAATGCCGTCGAAAGCACCGCCCGTTGGCTCAAATGTAATTCCATATCTACCGTACTCGCATTATGAAAATATATCTCATAAAACATCACCTGCAAGGTTTGTTAAAGTTATTGGCACCTTTTGTACATGTAACTTTCTTCTTGCTTGCTGAGTAGACTATTTATAGCTTATTTGCTACGTATTTTAAAAAATTGGATTTTTGTCCATTTACTCTAGCATATTGTTTGAGTAAATTACAGTTGTGGAAAGAAAAGTATGAAACGTAACATGCATTCATTAATAAAACTACTTTATACATACTTTAATAAATCACTAGCTTTTCCTCAACGTCATCGTTTCTATGACATTCATGAGTTTGCTGTTCGCTTTCTCAAGTGGCAATTTCCTCTGCGTTAAAAATGTGGCTATGTTGTGTCAACAAGATAAATTGTTGATACGTTTTTCGGCATTATATATAAGAATCACTTTGTAGCTTTTTTGGGACTTCAACATTCATATGCCGAAGGAAAATGTGGTTTGCTATTTTTATGCTGTTGCCCGTAATCAATCAACTACGGAAAAAAGCGTACTTAGAGGTATGCGTGTCTTTAGAATTAAGCTCATTGTAAAAGGATAAAAAACAGCTGTATCAGACAAAAAGTATTATGTTCAAGTGACGAAATATCAAAAAGGGTTCTTAGTACAATCATGTCCATGGCACTTTGTTCAAAAAGATAGCTGCATTTTCTTTGATTTGTCGTTGTGTGATGGCTTATATTACTTGACAGTTGTCGGAAATCGATTTGCGATACATCAATCAGCTTAAATTAACTTCTTTTCCTGTGGCTTATCGAAATTGTTACGAAATTTTCAAGATACCGCGATGTTTTGGCGCAATGTCCATGCAATATGCTTACGTAATATATTGTTGTATTGTGGTCGATGTTTATTACACGAAGTGTTTAAACGCAAGCACAGATGATGATTGAAGACCATCTCAAGGGCGAGCCTTTGCTAAAAAATGAAGTAAAAATTTAAGTCAAGTGGCACGTTTTTAATTCATGTATTTATAGAGGCTGCTATCTATATATAAAAATTAAGTTCATTAATTTAACACTGTGAGCCGGTTTTGTCTTCATTTTGGAGAGAAAAATAAGCGAATCTTCCTTTTGAAAGAATTTTATCGTTAGCTAAAATGAATAAAGCGACTTGCTTGTTATTGTACGTACAGCGGTTCCAAAATCTTAGATATAAATAAACACATGAATCAAGAAGAACTAAGCCTAGTCGAGTTGCTCAACCATTCCCATTTTCGCTTTCTCAGCCGATTCACTTCACCCCAATTCTTATTGCAGTTTGGGTATTAGGTTTTCTATCCTTTTATCATAAGTAGTTCCTTCAATCATCTTTCTTCATTAAATCCCCTGAAGAGTGAGCAATCACGCAGCAGGCTTGTCGGGATGAATCTGTAGTTTTCGTGATTTTTTTCAACACCACTACAAATATATGGATATATATGGATGTATATGGATGTATATGGATGTATACATATATATGGATACATATCCATAACAACTTTAGTTACGAAAACTGATGATCTTTATAATTGTCTTTAGGAACAATTTACACCTTAGTTCTCCTGCTGAATTTTCTTCAAGTGACAGTGAACGAGATCAAGTGAACGAAGAAAATACAAGTGATCATGTAAACACATATTAAACTAAGGCGTTTTTAAATTGTGTGTGGGGGGGTGGGGGGAAGGGGAGTTAACTCTCCGAACATCCTATGAATTTAAGTACAAATTTGTTATTTTTGTAATTAACTTTCTTTTTTGGTTTTTATTGGTTCAGCTAGGTGCAATTTTTTTCTAAGAATTATAGCTTACTTTTGTGCCAAACTTCTGAAGAGAGAAAATAAACGATTCTTGCGTTTGTAAAATGTGGCCGCTTAAGCTTATTCTGCTAAACATTTTAGATGTACCATAATGGAGAGGACCACGAAGCTCCTCTCGCTGAATGGGAAATACCAGAAACAGTCCCTATCGAATCATGGTAAACTGATTTTTTGTAAATTCGACATTACTGTTGACATAAAGTCTATATAGTTATTGGTAACTATAAAACTAACTGTTGATACAATTGGCCATTGTAAAGCATCTGCATAACATAATTAAAATGCGCTACAGTCTAAAGACAATATTTTAAAATTTTATTTGACAGGTGGCTCAATCTTTGATTCAATGATAATGCGACATTAGTCAAGTTCTAACTTAAGTCTATTTGGTTTTTTTTCAGTGTTTCCTGCTGTCTGTGCAATAATGATGACAGTGTTCAATTTGGTCTTGGAAAGATGATAAAGTTTGCTCGTTTTTATGACCGTTTTCGTCACACAGAGGAACGAAGTTTTGAAAGGCAAAATTCAACTTTCAATTTAAATGAGAACAAATCAAGATACTCTATGCACAAAAGATCCTTTAGTCGTGGTTTTTCTCACGCAAGCGGCAGGTATAAATTTGGTGATATTTTCTATTTTAACAATTGATAATTTTATATTATTGACCCTATTCTGCAATTCTCCAATTAAGTGTAATGAAGATGTGGCCATATTGTCTCGTCAAGTGACCCCCTTCTGATAACAAAAAAATATTTCATCAAGATGCCAAGATTTAGCTCTGTGTGTTTTAAAATTGTGATTATCGATAAATTTAATGCCATGCATATGTTGCAGTAAAAAAAGTGAAATTTTGCATTCATTCTGAGCAGAATCAGTCCAACGACGAGATAGAGTTCAGAAACTAGCCTTGAAATTAATGTCGAAAAACTTAATTTTTATCAATTTGTAGAAACAATGAAAATCGTTGTAAACGACGTAGATCAAAAAGTCCGGAAGAGATTGTAGAGAAGTTAATTCTAACATTGGAGGAAGAATTCGCCAAACTTAGGTTTGGTTATAACACAAAGTTAAACCTTACAGAAATTTGTGATGCTCGCGGTGATTTGTGGGTGCACGAGAAGTGTGCAACGTGGACAGCGGCTAACGGAAGTAACGAAGGTCCACTTAAAGTGACGAGTCTTGTTGAGAAAGCCATGTTTACGGTAAAGAATTTTAACCTGTAACCATAATTAAAACTCAATTTCGCCTTATGGTAACTTAGCATGAACACAATAAAAATAGGCAAAAACACGAGAAGACTCTTCTTTTTTGAATCTATATACGAACCAAGACACTAGATAAACTTTCGCATTTTTCATTTCCTTTGACTTGGGTGGTAATTATTGTATCATGGTCATATTAGTTAGTAACGTATGATTTCTACCACCTCCTACCAATTTATATGTGTGATTGTTTAATAGACATGTTCTTGGTGCAAGCGTTACGGTGCAAGTGTCAGCTGTGCGGTTCCTCATTGTAGCAAAATATTTCATCTTCCATGCGCAATAGCGGCTGGCGTTTATCAGGTAAGTTATCTTAGACTAAGCCTGATATATGTGTTAGGTCAGCCGGGTTTGTACTTGATATAATGGTGATATTACTGTGTTTTTGTATTAAGAATGTGCGTAGTTTGAAAGCTTATTGTTTGGATCATCCACAACTTTTGCAGAACATAGGTAACAATCTTATAGTTGTTTAGTTTTCAGACTGCTTTAGGCAATAATTACGATAGTTAGCTGTACTGTGAGAGTTTTTTGTGTTGGGGGGTGGGGGTGCGCTATTTTATATATGCGAGCACAATTATGCAAGCATTTAAGTGAGAAATGCTGCTATATGCATGGCAAGAGATTAGCAAAGACGTTGGTATGGTTTTGACATGGAATCGTGCGAGAATATTCACCATTTTGTTGAAACTCAATTTATTTCTTTAAAAAGTCTATTTTTGACTTCGGTTTTTCTCATTCTGCGCAGCGCTGTTTTGTGCTATGCAACTAAATTGTATTGCTATTATTTATAGCGTTTTGCAGCACCTGTAACTGCCCTGGTGATGTTAACAATATATTGTTCTGCATTAATTGCGGGTACCAAGCTCACGGTGAATGTGTCAATCCTTCAGTAAGAGTCACTCCAGCTGTGCGATTGGGGTGGGAATGTCGTCACTGTAAAACATGTCAAACATGCAGGTAAACCTCCTGAAATACTGTAAAATATGTAGGTAAACCTCATGAAATACTGTAAAATATGTAGGTAAACCTCATGAAATACTGTAAAATATGTAGGTAAACCTCATGAAATACTGTAAAATATGTAGGTAAACCTCATGAAATACTGTAAAATATGTAGGTAAACATCATGAAATACTGTAAAACGTGTAGGTAAACCTCATTAAATACTGTAAAACGCGTAGATAAACCTCATGAAATACTGTAAAACGTGTAGATAAACCTCATGAAATACTGTAAAACATGTAGATAAACCTCATGAAATACCTCATGAAATACTGTAAAACATGTAGATAAACCTCATGAAATACTGTAAAACATGTAGATAAACCTCATGAAATACTGTAAAACGTGTAGATAAACCTCATGAAATACTGTAAAACATGTAGATAAACCTCATGAAATACTGTAAAACATGTAGATAAACCTCATGAAATACTGTAAAACGTGTAGATAAACCTCCTGAAATACTGTAAAACATGTAGATAAACCTCATGAAATACTGTAAAACATGTAGATAAACCTCATGAAATACTGTAAAACATGTAGATAAACCTCATGAAATACTGTAAAACATGTAGATAAACCTCATGAAATACTGTAAAACATGTAGATAAACCTCATGAAATACTGTAAAACGTGTAGATAAACCTCATGAAATACTGTAAAACGTGTAGATAAACCTCATGAAATACTCTAAAACATGTAGATAAACCTCATGAAATGCTGTAAAACATGTAGATAAACCTCATGAAATACTGTAAAACGTGTAAACCTCATGAAATACTGTAAAACGTGTAAATAAACCTCATGAAATACTGTAAAACGTGTGGGTAAACCTCATGAAATACTGTAAAACGTGTGGGTAAACCTCATGAAATACTGTAAAACGTGTAGGTGAACCTCATGAAATACTGTAAAACGTGTAGGTGAACCTCATGAAATACTGTAAAATATGTAGGTAAACCTCATGAAATACTGTAAAACGTGTAGGTAAACCTCATGAAATCCAGTAAAACGTGTAGGTGAACCTCGTGAAATACTGTAAAATGTTTAGGTAAACCTCATGAAATACTGTAAAACGTGTAGATAAACCTCATGAGATACTGTAAAACGTGTAGGTGAACCTCATGAAATACTTGTTCTACGATGCGTTCATATCTCACAATCATCAATACAAAGTTTTCATTGAGATATGTGTTGATTAATATCCAAGAAAGCATTGTTTATGACTTGCTTTCTATATTTCCAATGTGGAACGTCAACGTGGTCGATTTAAATTGTTTTTTATATAATGTTTTCTAATTAAGTCAAATTGTTCAATTTTATTGAATTTTTACGGGCGAGTTTATTCTGCTCATAGGGCATTAGTATCTTCTCCGTCTTCCGATATTTTTGATTTCACTCTGTGTATTCTTTCGTTTAGGAAATCAATCGACGTAAAAAAATCATTATTATGTCGTAGTTGTGACAGAGGATGTCATATGAATTGTATCGAAGATGGTAGGAATTCAGAATTTGAAAAGTATGCAGCTTTCTGGAAATGCAAGGTAAATTTTAGAAGCAAAGTCTTCTGAATCATGAGTAAACCAAAATAATGCTTGCTTGAATGTAAAATTATTGATATTGGTGGATAGTGATTGGCTGAAATGAAAATAAAACTAATGTGATGATACCATTGCTTTGAGTTATTTTTGTTAAGAACACAGCTACCACTTTCAATCAAAACTTCAACTATTGGAAAGTCAAACATAGTGGTGTTTCTACTGCTCATGTCAAGTATTAACACTGACGATACTTTTTTTTTAGAAATGTCGAAGATGTCAAATTTGTGGTAAGCACACTCCTTCGGCGACAATTCCAGTTGAGGGGAATGGAGAGCTCATGTGTAATGAATGTGAATTGTTAAAGAAGAAAGGCCGTTGTCCGTTGTGTAATAAAGGTTTTTGTCTTCCCTCTCCCCCGTCTGTTGCTGTTCAATGTGATACTTGTAAAAGGTAATTACAAATATGTAGGACTTGCAATACATACAATCCTAGGAACAGTTGCACAATGTATTGATACTAACGACAGAAAATGAAGACGACATCTTAAAACCTAAGAATGTCAAAACCTTTGCACAACTGAATAAAATAGCAGCAAGCAGTTACAGAATCCCAGATATAACTGTTTTCCATCCTTTTGTTATTAGATGGTTGCATATGACATGCGCAGAAATTGATCAAGACACCTACAACAGAGTTCAAAATGATGATGAATTGATTTTTGTTTGTGAATCTTGTAACCAAGATGAATTGTCGTCAACAAATAGCCAGGTTTTAAAGATAATTGAAAATTTACTGCTACTCAGGCATTGAGCAATACTATGAAGCTCGCACAATCCTAGTTAATTATTAGCACATTCTACATTATTCAAATGCCATCGAAACATATGTTTTAATATCAATGTTAATTCAGGATTTTATCTAAAATGAATTCTGGACACAATATTTCTCTGGTTACACCGTGGCAACCTCTATACTTTAGAAATCCAACTTAAGTTTGATAAAATAAGCACTTAAGTCTACACGAACCTTAATGATTCTTTGAGTTTCCTCACAATAATACTAACAACAAGTACTCTTTTTAGGAAAATGAAAACGAGGACAAAGAGGAACAAGATTCGGATAATGAAAGCAACTTGGGAAGCTCAAATGTTAAGAAAAGCAATGAAATGTCGATATTTAATGAACTTCGTTCAAATAATATTGCTATTCAAGAAGAGGTAACCCAAGTCACAACCAGCTGGTCAACTAGTGAACCATTGCAATGGTCGCGACTTCGGTTGGCTTATTCATTTGAATATTACTATGCAAAACAACAAGTTGGAACAGCAGCAACTTTGTTGAAAGTCCATTCCCAAACAATGGAAAGTACCAAAGCACCTGTGACGACAGTTTTAGTTGAGTCATTGAGTTAAATAACTACGTGAAAGAATATATCAACCATCCACCTCGGATTTGATCAATTGAAGGTATTATCACAATCTTATACAAAATGAATAGATCAAAGATGTAAGATTTGTAAGAAGAAGAGAACAGCTTCAATGTAGATCGCACGTTTGCCATTTCTTGGTGACCGCAGTTCCGGGGGGGAACTTAATGACTTTCACTAGGCGAGTGATTTTTCAGGTAACAACTCCACTATGATTTTAGAACAAATTATTACTAATACTTTCAATCATATAGATCAAAAAATAAGGCTTGTTTCATACGTCGAATTTTACATGAGCCGAATGCATTTAAAACAAAAGGTAATGAGGAATTTTATCTCATTTTCTTTTGTTTTTAATGCATTCGGCTCATTTTCAAATGCGACGTTTCAAACAGGCCTAAGCTTAGAAGATAAAGCAAACATATTCAATTTCAGATCGATATTTTCTTATTTATAAAATGGCGAAATGTACTTGTGTACAATAAGTACCACATAAATATCTGATTAATTTAAAGTATACTTCTTATCGAGGAAACTAGTTTTTATAACACCAAAATTTATCGCATAGCTTTTTCTTTCATTACAAAGAGCATTTAATATGAAATCTAACTACATCGTGAAATTGCGTCAGTTTACTTGTTACTAGAGACCTTGAATTTTGTTCATTAAGGTAAATCCCATCTCTGTCACATATACCTACATTATATTTTCTAGATTTCGGAAATAACAGTTTCATCCACTTTTTTAAGAACTTTCATAACTTTTCCACCCTTAAACACAAATTCATCGACGCATTATATTTAAGTGTTGCACTTGTGAAAAAAAAAGTTCTTATCATGCTGAAAAATTCAAGTCTTAGAGATTATATTCCTTTTGTTACAAAGTGAAATATTTCTAGGAAAAAGTAAACTAACACAATTCAACTTAGGAATTAAGTTACTAAGTTATGCAATCAAAAAACTGATTAAATTTCGTGTCATAAACATTTTTAACCAAGATTAGAACACTGTGATCCATGATAGCTCGTATTCTTGAATTTTTATTTTTTTAATGTGGCAAATAATTTCTTTCACCCTAGCCATACTAGGTTTCAATTATTCTCGATGCATTAATTTCTACGAAGGTGATACGCAAAATAAATTTCACTGTTTTTTTTAAACTGACCGTACAAAGAAATCATCTGTATAAAAGACGTTGCTAAAGAAACGGTCCGCCATATTGTAGCTAATTACTTTCACAAATTCGACAGGAGTGGCGCAGTTTTTTATTATGGAATTTTAATAAATTGTTTTACATATTACCTTCGTTAAGTCAATGATCCGAACGGTTTGTCTTTATGTATATATTGTAAATAAATAGAAGTGTTATTGTACATTTATCAATTTCGAGAAATTAAATGTACGAGTAAAGTGAAGAGTTCTCATTTTTGGTTACAAATTTACTTGAAATTTATCTCAAGCCAAATCCGAACAATCATTTGCAACCATCCTCGACGAAATTAGCAAACTTTGGAAGCAAATTTAAATTTCTTGACCGAATCCTGACTTACTGTACACAGGCATTTTCCTTGAGTAATTTAAATTCGGACTTGCCAATGCGAGAAATTTCAAGTATATATGAAACCAGTTATACGAACCTTTCCAAGACCAAAAAAATTTAATGAAATATTCATCATATTAATCAAAGCTTGTAGCTTCCATAATATTTTGACATACACATTTCAACATGATCAGGTTAAAAGTCTCTTAATTTTGATTAAAATGTAAATAGAAATTTGCAATTTAATACAAATTTAGGTACTGCCTTATAGCAAGATTATATTTTGTTTTCAATGCATGATGAAAAATAGTCTAGTTGAGCACACACATGTTTGAAAAAAAACTGTACAGGTAGTCACCTAAATTCTTGTATTTACAACAAATCAAAAATTATCAAAATGTACAACACAGAACACGTTTAACATCCTATTGCAAGATAATGAAATAGGAAGATATTTTGTCAGCACGCGCGACATTGCTAGCGTTACAAACTTGCAAAAGGATGTTCAAAGTAGTTTTGTACTTAAAAGTATAGAAATTTTGGTATGTATAACTATTGATTAATAAAAAAATATTTAGATTAAATCATTTGTGCAAAGTTTACCACTGTTATGCAGCGCATTCATATCAGTTTAGTGCTTGTCAATGTATGCTTTGGCAAAGATCAAATATTATATGCACAGATGTCTGAATCAAACGAAATCTTGTCTCCTGTCAAAACAACGTCATGATTTAATTTCGGATTTAGAGTGAATTTATTGATTTTACATTTTAGCGGTCAGCCTGGCTTTCACTTGTTATCATATTGCTGAAAGTTAAATTACGAAAGAACACTTGCATTTATGCAATAATATATATACATATATTTTACATTTTTTGGTAGCGTCGTTTAAAGATGTTCGAAAAATACCGTTGGGTAAAGCCACATGGAAATTAGCGACTGTTTATATGATGAACTAGCCTCTACATGATTAAATAAATGCTGTAAAAATTGGTCCAATTAAGTAACGCATATCTCCTGGCGATTCTCGAATTTTAATTCATACTTATACAAAAAACAAAATAATCCTACGTATATATAGGCATTGGTCGAATTTCCTGAAAGTTTTTCAGTTGCATATGTGCCATATTTTAACCCGATATATATGTGCTCAAATTGCTTGTTATTTCCGCCATCTTGGGAGCAAGCTATTTCCAGACAACTTCTCTGAAACATAATTCTCACTCGAAAAATCGTTGTTACTTGAGACAATTTTTTGCGTCAGATGAACTATTGGAAGTTCAACTACCTTTTTCCACTAAAGGTTTTTGCAAACCTTGCGCGCTAATTATTTAGCAATGTTTCCTTGACAGTAAACTTTTTTTGAAAACTATGTACCCGTTACCATGTATTTTATCGCTTTGTGATTTGCCATGAAAATTACGATTTTCACTCCATTCGTTCGTTCGTTCGTTCATTCATTCATTCACAACAGCAATCAAAAAAAATTTTTCTATATTTTCTGCACCAAGGTAAATTTGTCACTAACTATTATACATCCATCCAGACAGTGAAAAATATTAGATAAAACGATTCGATAAAAAACCATTAGAAAGTGTACCAAAATGCCGTACTTTGTATGTGCTTCCTCTAAGATAACCGTGACCAAGGCCTTCGTAATAGCTAGATGACGACCAATCCTTCATTTGATTCACGGAATGATTTACTTCTGAATATGTTTGTGACGTTCGTTTGTTGTATAATGGTAGAACTTCAGTTGCCTTGCCAAGAGCAGCCTAGAAATGTGAAATATTAGTTTTATGAAAAGCAGAGTAACAGTTATGTATGCATGAAGCATCCGAACAAGAAACTAAGTTGTTGACGTTACAGAAAGAGTTTTGGTTAAGGTTGCAAATTTTCATAATATTTTTTATTATTAATGAAAAGAACCCAGATAAGCAAGGGAATTTTTTTACCATTATACGATATTATACCAAAGTAGATGAATGCAACATTAATACATCAACAATCATCTATATATTTCTTATAAAATATCTGTTACAGGTCACAACAATTATAAAATTAAGAAATAGGAGATGTTTACTGTATTTGCACAAGCTTATGCATGCAAACCGAGGAGACCTTTGTGAGGTCGAGGTTGCACCTGTTCGAGAGTTCTCACTTCCACCTTTCTTTGGTGTTTATTTCATATTCACTTGTTTAATGAAATATTTTTCAACATTTCTTGGTGTTATTTCATTCTATGGTTCACTATAATGCTACATGCCAATTTTCAATTTTTACTTTGTCTGTACACTCATTTTTACAATTAATTAATTCATTCCTTTGCAATTTTCGGTAAATTTTATTCTATATTTATGTTACACGTATCAAACTCGTGCAATTGCGATCAAACTTCTTTACTTTAAGTCTTCAGCATTATATAATATCTCTGATCTCATTGTCTTATACGTCAAACTTAAATCCGTTGGTTTGTCATACATAAATTTATATATTGCAAAATTATCATCTGATAATGTCTTGTGTAAAGACAAAATATTACTTGTTCTGATGAATTTCTTTTGTTTCCACATGGCTTTATTTAAGCTTTTTTAGACATAGCATGATTTTCTTTAAACGAATTCGTTTCCCAATACACAAATCACTAGCTAGAAATACGACCTACTCTGAATTTACAGGTCATAATAATTTTCTATTTCAAATAAATTTTGCTGGAAGGTTAGTACTACATTTGTAAATAAGAAATTTCACCATACCTTGATATAAACAAGGGCGTCGGTTCCATAACCTTCCATAGAAAAAAGCTGTAAATCACCTCCAAAATATTTTGCATACAATCTTGATAAAGGCAATCCATATCCATAGCCAGCCTACAGAACATCAATGAACAAACTACTTGTCAAAAAAACTTTAGTATTATCTTTACAAAATAAACGCAGTGTTAGTCGTACGATTTCTGTTTTGTGTACGAATACAGACTTCTGCAGACCCTCTTGATACATTTCACACACAATTCGCCCTATTGTAGCTTTTAAAATTGCATAAACTAACATCAATTTCACGCCCAACAAAACGCCTTGAATTGGGCGACGTTATAAGGTAAAACTCACAAGAGCTGGACCATCACCAAGAGAAACAGGCTGTGGAGCTGTCGTATAGTGGTATAAGAACAACTTTTCAATTTGGTTTTTTGGAATTCCTCCACCAAGATCAGATATCTACAGTTAAAGTGGAATTTTTTTTCCATTAATACAATTTATGACATCCTTGCTGTTAACGTTTGAATGTCATTTTTGCATGATAAATTCAGGTTTATTATATATATACTTGTCACTATCAAGCTTTTTTCCTTCGATGGACACTGAATGATCAATATGTAACTCTATATTTATTTTGTATTAAGTAAACAAGAATATTATATCTTTCAACTTGATAGATTGCATGCATATTAATTTTAGACTGCAATTCAAGGCAAAAATAATATTTTACTTTTTGTTTTCCAATTATTGCTTCTACCAGTATTATTTAGCGCTTTCACACTAAATTGTATGCTTTCCTGGGCAAAAAACTTCATGTAACGATAATTTTACTGAGCAATTACAGAGTGGAAAAAAGTGTCCATCATTCTCTGTCATGACTGGTCATAACCTTTAATATTCAAGTGATTAATGGCATGTGCACAGAACAATAACAATTAGTGGCAAAAAACTATATGTTCTCGTGATGACCATAAATATTTTCAATGAATTTGCATTTGCATCCGCTAATATGCCAGCTCTATTTATGAACTAAGCTAATACGTTCATACCTTTATCGTAAGATCCTCTTTACCCTTGGTAATCAACACTTTGACATCAGGTAGTTGATCCTCAGGACTATGCTCAACAACAGCGCGCATTGAGTTCTTAAAGTAAATTTTGGTCAAATTAGCTGTGAAATGCATAAAACAGTGTTTAGTTCATTGGTTGTTGATGATATTCAACTTTTAGCAAGAGAGATTAAGACACCGTGAAAGCCATACACTTTACTATAATATCACCTTAATGTCTACTATATCCGGCAATTCTAAGCACTTTCGGCGATCTTATAAAGTTTAGCGAAGATCGCGTAGAAACAAGCTTTAGGCTTTTTAAAAATAAAACGCCAATAATTTGAACAACGACAAACTTGAAGAAGCACGCACAAATTTCATAAAGTACCAACAATCAATGACTGCTCCCCGACTTCATACGCACATTACCTTGAGAAGTTCAAATATCATATGATAAAGATGAGAAGGTACATATGTTGTCCTTATAGGACCATCTCCATCATCGCCATAGACTAGAAATTCAAAGAACATAAATATTGTGGTTTTCATTACCTCGTTATTTCAATTATCAACAAAATTATATCGTCTATTTACCATTGTGTTCATCGACAATCACCTCTGGACAGCATAAATAAACTTGTTCACATATGAATCGTGCGTTGATCGCAGCATCTGAATAAATTGTGTAGAAATAATTACACAAAAACTCAAGACAGTGATAAGTTTCAAATATAGAAAATTTATTAGAAAGAAATTATTGAAACATCGGGAAAACGTTTTTAGTTGTTAAGATATTTCTCCTGGGGACTTTTTTTAAGACACATTTTTAAAGATAAATCATTATAAAATCATTTGCAAATACATTTGTCTTGAAACTCTTTTGGTTTATTAATAAAAAGAATACATTGGCAAGCTATACAAAAGTATACATTAGTAAGCTATACAAAAGTACACATTGGTAAGCTATACAAAAGTATACATTGGTAAGCTAAACAAAAGTATACATTGGTAAGCTATACAAAAGTATACATTGGTAAGCTATACAAAAGTATACATTGGTAAGCTATACAAAAATATACAGCTAAAACAAAATACATTGGTAAGCTATACAAAAGTACACATTGGTAAGCTATACAAAAGTATACATTGGTAAGCTAAACAAAGTATACATTGGTAAGCTATACAAAAGTATACATTGGTAAGCTATACAAAAGTATACATTGGTAAGCTATACAAAAATATACATTGGTAAGCTAAACAAAAGTATACATTGGTAAGCTATACAAAAATATACATTGGTAAGCTATACAAAAGTACATGGCAAGCTATACTGTACATATAGTATACATTGGTAAGCTATACAAAAGTACACATTGTTAAGCTATACAAAAGTATACATTGGTAAGCTACAAAAGTATACATTGGTAAGCTATACAAAATATACATTGGTAATGAAAGTATACATTGGTAAGCTATACAAAAGTATACATTGGTAAGCTATACAAAAATATACATTGGTAAGCTAAACAAAAGTATACATTGGTAAGCTATACAAAAATATACATTGGTAAGCTATACAAAAGTATACATTGGCAAGCTATACAAAAGTGTACATTGGTAAGCTATACAAAAGTATACATTGGTAAGCTATACAAAAGTACACATTGTTAAGCTATACAAAAGTATACATTGGTAAGCTATACAAAAGTATACATTGGTAAGCTATACAAAAATATACATTGGTAAGCTATACAAAGTATACATACATTGGTAAGCTATACAAAAGTACACATTGGTAAGCTATACAAAAGTATACATTGGTAAGCTATACAAAAGTACACATTGTTAAGCTATACAAAAGTATACATTGGTAAGCTATACAAAAGTATACATTGTTAAGCTATACAAAAGTATACATTGGTAAGCTATATAAAAGTATACATTGGTAAGCTATACGAAAGTATACATTGGTAAGCTATACAAAAGTATACATTGGTAAGCTAAAAAGTATACATTGGTAAGCTATATAACCAATCCAAAATGTCACAAATAACGTAATTTTTTCGATACGCATGCATGAATTACAATAAATGAAATTTCTTATCAATAAGAAAATGAGCTCGAGTATAGTTATGATCTAGACAAGTAACAAACAACACAAGACCAAAACAAGAATAGCTGTAATTTACCAACGTATAACAAAACACTAAAATCATTTACCAGTCACAACTGACTTGATGGAACAATCTTCATTGAAGCAACCAATCCAGTTGGTTTTGGATTTTCCAGCCTCTTCACCACTTATTAATACTACAAGAATGAAGAATAAAAAAATCACTCGTTTTTCTTCTAGCTCCTCGGTTTCTTCATTCAAAATAAAAAAACATTTGCAGCTCACAATGTTGTGTTATGAGAGTTCGAATACCAATACGATTCATGTAAAATCGATCTAGAAAAACACACGATAAACATGAGGATCGTCAGAAGGTCTTAGGTAATAATTATTTTAGAAAACATGCAAACTGGTGTGTTAATATAGCTAAGAGAAAATAACTCATTAGTGTAGCCAGCCTGCAAGTTCGGTCGCGCTGCTCTGCAAATTTTTCTGTGTTCACCAACTGCCAAATTAATAAATGAATAATGATAACGCTCTGAAATTTACATATTATGACTCAAATTTGCAGACTGGCTTCCCCACGATAACAACTGCACTGAATAATAATAAAACTCCAAAGATGTGTGGTACGGCACAATTGTGCAACAAATAATGTATAAATAACATAGTTAATGTAAAATGTAAACCTTTCATTAGCATGAGTAAGAATTGATGAGTTTATAAAAATATTTTTTGTCTCACCCAAAAAGTATTGTATCGATGGATGAAGAGCATCTTCGCCATCTCTTTCTTTCAATTCTATAATACCCTTCATTACAAGTAAATGAAAACGATAGACTTCATCAAATTATCGAGCAAAACCATTTTTGAATCACTAATGTTTCGAAGCAAACCCCCAAATCAGGCCCGAATCTTAAAGAGGGCTACTGCAAGCTATATCTTCGCTTTTGTTATCAAATACAATAATAGTATAAATTTGCAAAGTATTTTTTAAAATTGCTCCTAATCTTTCCATTTCATCCGTGAGAGGGCTTCAACGGCCTTATTATAAAACCAAGCAATCACCAAAAAAATAAATTAAAGAAGCATATCAATAACTTTCGCGTTTATAAAGTTATGAAGCATTAACTACATACATTTCTATCAAATATGGTGTGTAGCAGTATTAACCAACCTGTGCCATAGTTTCAACAACAGTGTCATGACGGGAGCGAATTTTCTTTAAAGCAATATCAAACCTACATTCAATAAAAGATAATACTTAAATCAAAGCATCTGCCGCAATATGAGCAAAATGCGGGATTATAAAGGTTGATTTTAAACAATTTATTGGTCGTAGTCAGTCCTCAATGTTCGTGCACTTTAGGATGTACGCACGCATCACGAATCTTTTATAATAGACAATTTTTGAAAATTGTTCAACAACCATGACATTAGTAATTAGTGAAACAATACAATACAATAAATTTATTTGCAATACTATATTTTTAAGGAAATGGGAAACAGAAACATAGAAATAATTGAACTAACAAAACTACAATTTTTGTTTAAGTGAAAATTTCGCAAACGCAAGAACAATTTTGGAAATTGAACAACTCAAGTATTTGATGTATTACCAGTGGAAATGTCTGTAGGATGCAGAGCAAAGTTTAGCTGATTTAGGTAGAAAATTTTCGTTTTTCATCTCTGATAGTTGATGAAATATGCTTGGGTTAGATTTTTGTGACAAGCTTTCTCAATGGAAAGATCCGGTCAAAGGATTTTTATCAAGTATCATATAAGAAATCGAAAGAAAAGATGAACAGCCATCGCCGCAGTTAAGCGTTCACATATGAATTTCTTATATTGGTGAGTGTTGTAAATGTTGTAAAAGTTGAATCGAATTGAACTTTAATACATCTCTCGATTTGTATGCAATTTAATAACGATTACAACGCGCATTCACATATAGCTGCAATGGTTTTAATCATTCATCGCCGATAGAATTAGAACACTTACAACTACATGTGAACTAAGCTTTATTCTCAGTTAGTTACATATTTCTTAACATTCTGTAAACCTTGAAAAAGAATTTTCACTTAAATATTGACAGAAAATCATTACCATTATTTTTGATTAGCGCTAAAAAATATTTAATTATTTACTTTGACGTTGATATTAAAACATGAAAGGCCTTCCCATACATATTGTTATCTTATATTGGTTTGTTTCTAACTAGTTTAAAACTTGTTTACAAACAACAAAAGCCTTAGCTATAACAGTTGGGGGCCTGTAAGTTGGTGAATATTCAGAAAAGGAAGATAATCTCCTTTGAAAACCATTGTTTTCTACATATATTAACATACATTTCTGAATATGAACCCCATCACACCACCAACACCCAATTATCATTCTTCCTGCGTACATTTATTAAATGTAAGGTTTAACAACTCATTGTCACTTAACTATCTTTACAGACGCAAACATTGCGAGTGTCAAACATTGTTTGATGAATATTATTCTTAAATATAATATTCATATATTGTTCCAAGAAAAATGCAAAAATTACGGTGACATAAGTGTTAAAAGGGAAATATGGCAACATCAACAAGCGGCGTGCGATTTTTCAGATTAATGTTAATATCTCAAAAACGAATACATATATTACTTATCGGCCGCGAAGTTTGGTTGGAAAAATATTTTCCCACGGTCTCAAAAACTCCTTCGGAATGTTAAACGATTACATGATTGTAGATGTACATGTATGACTGACGTTTCGACTGTAGTCATCTTCAAAGCCATAGCAAATACTTGACAAAGTGTATTTTTTGTGTGAAAATTTCAAGGCAGGTCAACGATAAAAATAATAAATAAGTAAGCCTAAATACTTCGTTTTTTGTTTTTGGTGTTTTATACATAGTTCACCTTCGAAGCTTAAACTCATTTGTTGATTTTCATTCATTGTTCTTTGCTTGAGCACTTTTTCACAGCTAAAACTCTGATGAAGCTCTACATATTCCTTACTATTCTCAATTGATGGCTTTTATTTCTCTAAGGGATCCTAAAGAAGATAGCCGCAGAGGTCAATGCTTTAATTTTGATTTCATAATAAAAAAATTTGACTTTCTTCGAACCAATTGTTTCATTTAGAGATTCGCTCCGCTGAGAATCCAAGGAAAGGGCTCAAGTTTTCGAAGAACTTTACCAATTGTGTATTTATAAAATAATTTAGTTAGAACATTGTTTAGTTGTTACCCATGAAGATCGTTCTCATAAGGCAATTCGTAAGAAGTGATAAGCTTCAGCATTGATATATGACGGGTCACAGCTACTGCGATATTCACATACAAGAAGTATGGATGGATTTAACGTGATTTAAGGGTTGAGTCAGTACATAAGAATCTTTTCATGTAAAATATGTCGGAATATTTATGCAGAGTAGGAGATGTATGTTTAAGTGCACTCAGCCTTTTCTAAATAACCTCCAGTAATTCAGAACTCCCAGCAACTTGCACATTATTGTCAGATTACTTTATGCCACACCAATTGTGGATGGCTTGTAACCTATAACAAATCTAATGGAGTTTGTTTGTCGTGTACATGGACCAAATTGGGTAAAACCAAAGAGTTGAGTGACGGTACAAAAGGTCAAATAGTTGTCTAAAGGTAACGAAGAATTTCTCTGCGGAAGATTGAACGAACGCTGAAAATTGTAAAGCATATATAGCCAGAGATCCAGGAAACCGGATAATTATCTTATACAATTATTTATATACTTTTTAAATAATTTTTTTATTTGTTACAACAAGAAAGTGATTCCATAAGCAGAGTGAAGCAGATTGTTTAAAAGGAGCAACATTTTTTTAAAGTATTTTAGGAAGTACATTTCACAGTGTATTTCAAGACTACTACAAGTTAAACATTAACCTCTTGCCCTCCTGTACTTAGTACGTGTTTGTAGTAGACTGAACTTGTTTCTGTACACTGCTCTGGTTTGCTTTACTTTTTCCTTCAAGTTTTTTGCATGTTTTACGTACGTGGGTACACTTGCATATTTTAATATTTTGACTACATGGCATTTTTTCACCCCCAACAATATAGCTCCCTAGAACCTTGGTTGCCTTGCTCTTTACTATAATAAACGTACATAACGCTTATAATCATAATGCTGTGGCGGAAAAAAGTTTCGCGTACCATTCAAGCTTTCTTTTCGGAAATATTCTTGTGATATGAAGCTATCACGTATTTTTTAAACTTTGTTTATTTAACCTGCTTTATTTACTTTACTTAAGGTCCTGCTTTTGTTGCGTGGGAAAATTACGTAATGCAATTGTGAAGTATGTGGAAAAGTTACGTAATGCAAGTGTGACGTAATGTGGAAAAGTTACGTAATGCAAGTGTGACGTAATGTGGAAAAGTTACGTAATGCAAGTGTGACGTAATGTGGGAAAGTTACGTAATACAAGTGTGACGTAATGTGGAAAAGTTACGTAATGCAAGTGTGACGTAATGTGGAAAAGTTACGTAATGCAAGTGTGATTGCTTTTTCCATGCACGTGGAGTTAAAAATTTCACTTTCGTAAATCTGGATTTCCTGATTTCAACTCTATGATTAAGAACAGTTTTCTTGTATACTTAAAGGCTTCCTACACATTGACTATAGATGAAATTTCCATCATTATCCTGGCAATTCATCAAACATTTTGTCAATTTCCTTTTTAGAAACATTATTTTCAAACAGATTCATGCAAAAATACAACTTTTGTATTTTTTATAGCAAACACTATATCAAATAAACAATTGAAATTGTATAAATTTTACTGCCAGGAGCCAACATTTCCTTAGCCTGAAAATATCCTGCCAAGTGGAAACTTAAACTATCAAGAGTCTGACAGTGACAAAGGCATAAATTTTAAGCTAGAGCTTTGGTGAGATTAGGCAATAGTTTATTCACAAAATTATGAGGCAAAATTTAAACTAGTTCATACATACTTATCAGCCATTTCCGCATCATTTTGTCCATGATTTTCAGCAAAACAGATTAAATCTTCAAAGCTCTGATGGTACCTGAATATAAAAAGATATTAGAGACAGAACAAGAAATCACTGATTGTTGCACTGCTCTTCTTTTAACAATTTTGTATTTTCAAATCTCACACATGGTTACTTTTGCATAATAAGAAATGTTGAACCTTAAATTTAATCTAATAGAATTGCATAAAATACCCATAACTCACAATTTAATCACATGAAATGGTTGAGATATAAAGCCACTATATTCTATTCTAATACAACAGATACAACTAACTTACTCAAATTAAAAAGAAAATCATTTACCACACCAAAATGTCCAATAAATAAAAAGAGAAATTTTTGCAAAATATTAAGCTTACCAACTTTGTACCAGTTCAACTGATGGTGTTTTAAGCAAATTTATAGGAAGATGGTTGATTTCACGAATAATATGGGCCAAGCGAACAGGCATTTGATGTCGGCAAAATTGAAATGATTCAACTTGTGATCCATGTTTCCCTGGTATAAATATAAAATATAAGTATCAATGAATCAAATTAAATGTTCTTTAGTTTGATCTGTTTGTTTAACACTAAATAATGTGCATTTTTTTATTAATTTGTAACAAATCCAGCATATAAGTTCTTCCTACTCGTACATTTTACATAATTTACTTACTTATATTAGAGTAATGCTTTTGGCTGACAATTCCAAATTACTATGTTTTTTAGTAGATTTAACAAATTCTTCAATTTTGATATTTATAAGCAACACTTGTAAATATCAAATGTAGGCAGAGGTCACAATTATTAGATAAAGCATGGACAAAAAAAAACATTACAACTTCAAGAAATTAGCCACTTAATTTTACATTATAAACTGTATTTCACCATTGAATGTTTATGGGGGAAATGTTGTTCTTGTTATGGTAAATAGAAACTATATTTGAATGACTGACACAAGAAGTAAACTGTTTTTTATGATTCAAACATAGTAAATAAATCAATCACAGCTCATTTTCAACTATCATTATTAGCTATATGCTAAACCAAACAAAGGTCAGTTTATTTTATTTTTATCGAACTATATGTTACGAAGCCAGGGTCAATGGTTCAAAAATTTCCCAGCGTTTATAATTAATAAAAAAATGATCAAAGCAAGGTTATTGCAAAATATGTGGTCCACGAACAAGACAAACAACTAACCACAACAGTTTGTCGTACACAAACAGAAAGATCTATTCATTGCTATAAATATTTGTATACTGTACTTTACCAAATGATGTAAATTGTTCTATCGTCAGTGGATATTGTTGATATCCACTATAACGATTTATTACGCCTAACAATTCAGCATTCAAGATTTTTGTCCATCTCATATTGAATCATTAGATACAAAAGAAAATCGCAATTTATCAAATAAAAGAGTAATTTCTAAAAAAACAATACAACATCGGTGATCTTTACACTAGTACCCAGGAACTTTAACCTGACCACACACGGTTAACAATACCGCGCTAATTCTGTTGCATATTGCGTGGAAAAATATGGAAATTCTTCTCGCTTTTAAAATTATTATAGTCAAAGTTGAAAAAAATCAAATAGCCGAATGAAATGCTGGAAGTAATAAAAAGAGCAATATCAATTTCAAAATTAGTAAATTTGAGGAGGTCTTGGTCAAGGAAGTTTTGGAAGAAGAGCTAGGTGAGAGGGCTCATTTCCACTTAATAAAATGTCCTGTTTGGTAGTGGCAAAAATATATCAGAGAGCCCCCATCCCCAGCAGGAGTAAATATATGAGAAGCCACATTGTTAAAACTCTAGTCTTTGTGTATTCACTTTTGACGCGACAGTATCATTGTACTGCTGAACACCGTTGATGAAGACAAATTTTGTTGAGTTAACAGTTAATATATCATAATAAAGTGTTTAAGTATTAATGACAGACTTCACAATAGATAGATCAATTTAGTTCACGTCTTTATGCTTTTTAGTAAACTATGCTATAAATAACTCTCATAATTGAGTAGATTTTTCTCATCAAACATTTGAAGAAGACCAATATCCTGGACTTTTGGTCACAGAAGAAAAAATCTCTTTAAATTATTTTAATTGGTAATCAAAACATTTCTTGTGAAAAATGGTCCTTTATGGCTGGTTGAATAGATTTGACAAAAGATACTACAACTTTGTCTGCAAAAGTTGCGTTCAACGAGCAAACGGGAAATATTTTGCACAACTAAACTTTTATATGGCTTTGTAAAGTATCCAGGTACAAACACACTTTTGTTCATAAAGGAGACTATTTCCGCACGGCTCATGTTAAATTGCTAAAACAGTCTAAAAAAACAACGCTGCCTTATAATGTATGAATAACAAATTTAATAAGTCATTAACTATAATTTGGTTTAATGAATCCAATACACTAAAAAATTTCGTATGCATACATTACTCTAATTTCAATATTTTCTCATTACAACAGATATGGGTAAATGGATTATAGTTTAAATCCTTAAAACACTCAGTTTTGCCTCCAAACGTGCTTCAAATGTTTCTGTTGCAACAGACTTCAATGCCTGGAGTATATACATCATTTCCACAACACTTTTTCTTGGCCATAAAGCCAGCGTATATAACATATCCATCGCAGCATATTTGATACCGAGAATCATAATTTTTATTCACACAGCAAGCTGCGCCTCCTTGAAGTATTGGCAAAATACTATTATCACTGCACACATGAGTTTTCACATTATAACTTGTTCCTCCACAACAGGCTGCCGTGCCTTCTTTTGAACTTAATAGGTCGTCTTGACAACATATTGTTGTCAATGGATTAATGGGTATGTCGTCACAACATACGTTGCGATTCTCGATGATGTCATGAATGACGCCACCACAGCAAACATGGGTCCTGGGATTGTAATTTTTACCATTGCAACAAGCCGTCTTATTTAATAAAATAGGTCGGATGATGTTTTCACAACAAACATGCTTACGTGGATTGTAACTTGATGTACCACAACATGACGTTTTTACTCCATAGGTACCCCGGATGATGCCTGCACAACATAAATATGCCCGTGGATCGTAATTCTAGCCACTACAACACAAATCGTTACCTGAAATTTGACTAAAAATATTAGAGTTACAGCAAACTTGTTGACGTTTGTTAATAACTTGTGTCCCACAACAGGTGTTTTCAGCATTCACAAGCCGTGGTCTGATTTCATTTTTACAGCAGACATAAGAGTTTGGGTTGAAAGTAACTCGTCCACAGCAAGAATTAAAACCATTTCTTTTCTTTAACAACTTTCCAGCACAGCATGCATACAAGTGTGAACTGTAGTTTATCTAACTCATTCACTTGACGTCAAACTCATTCACTTGAGCAGTTTTCGTCAGTGAAGAGGAATAACGGTAGAACCTTGGCAAGAACGTCACACTCATTCACTTGAGCAGTTTTCGTCAGTGAAGAGGAATAACGGTAGAACCTTGGCAAGAACGTCACACTCATTCACTTGAGCAGTTTTCGTCAGTGAAGAGGAACAGCGGTAAAACCTTGGCAAGAACGTCACACTCATTCACTTGAGCAGTTTTTGTCAGTGAAGAGGAATAGCGGTAAAACCTTGGCAAGACTTTCGACATTTTAAAATTAAAGATTAACTTGTTTTATTAAACTATTTTGTCAAATAGATCAGTGGAAAAGAGAACCTAAGAAAATAGCAAATACTTCGAATACTGTTTTCGAATATTGTTTATATCGCATCCACAAAATGATTACATTTTCTGTTTTGCCAAATTTCATTTAGGCCTAACAATGGTAAAAAATGTTCCATATACTTTCAAAATCATTCATTAAATTCAAAAAATATATACAACTATATTTTCAAGTAATTTAAAAAAACAATACATATTTTCCCATCAATAATGCCTTACAATAATTACAAACAAACCTATATAAAATGGAAAACTGAGTAAGTATTTATATGATTCTCAAGTCTTCTCATACTAATAATTATACACAAGTTGTTTTATTCTGATTAACTGGTATGTATTTGTCGCTTCGTTTTCCTATCTTTCTTTCATCGTTGTGTTTAAGCTTTATACTTTTTGTTCTTTTTCTATTCCAAACAATGGCTATCATGACTGTGGTAAGTACGCACATTAAACAACAAATACTTACAATAATTATAACAATTTTTAGTGAATACTTCCCGATCTTTTCATCATTGCTACGAGGAAAGCTGACCTCAAGTATAGGTGGAGTGGTGAGACGCCGACCTGGGTAAAAAATTGAAATAAAACGATATGGTAGGTACATCACTGATACAAAATAGTATAATAGCTAAAAATTTTTCGGTGATATATTTATATAATATAGGTGAGCAAAGCAAAACTGCAACCATCGTAAACTGACCGAAACTAGACTGTTATGTAATAAAATAAAATTTACGGTACAATAAGAAGATTTGTGCCAACGAGCTGCAAATGTTAAAATTTCTTGTTACTTTAAAATCATAGATATAAAGTTGTGAGATCTAAATTGAATGATCATTTATTTATTAGTTTGGTTTGATTTTATTATTATAAATTATTTACTTTGATTATATAATCATCAATTGTCCCAGTAATCATAATTGTGTGAGCTTGAGGATTGGTCACTAGAGAATTTTTAGTGATGACTTAGATTCATTCCAATCTGTAGTTGAATGCAATATAAATGCATGCAAATTTTGAACAAAGGAGAAAGTACGAGTTTTAGGAAATCGAAAAAATTGGATTTTCTATCAAAAACTGTATCTCTGTTAATTTCAGGGTGTTAATTCAGTCTCATCTACGTGTTAATTTGACACCTTGCGGTAGTGCTAAATTACAAGTGTTATTATAGAGAATATGTTGAACGGCTTTCGTAAGATAACTACTAATATCACCTTGACATGGACATGTTCTACATTCTGATGAAGAACGATCTTTATTGACAAATTCTCTGTGCTGTATACCAAGTGATCTGTTCAATAACATGACGTTATGATTACATTCACAAGCTGACCATTCATCATTCCTTCCAGTAAAATGGGATGGCTCTCCTGAAATTATTGACAGTACAATTTATGTACTAAGCACGATGTACTGACATTTAGCAAAAATAATGGTTCACTCAAAGCTCACTCAAGACGGAGGCAGTTAAGCAGTAGGAAAGACAATAGAAAATTGTTCCCAGTGAAAACTTTGCGTTAAACGCGCCCGTTACCCAGCTTCGTGTCACAATTTTGCATGGTCAATAAAAATACAGTTATAAACTGACAATTTATAGTTACTTTATTCTTGCCATATAAGTTATCAAATCTGTTTGAAACTATATTTGTTCAAATTTTTTCTCCTACATGTGGAATACGGCATTTTAAACACCTAAAAGTGTTAAAAATTTCTGAGGGTAGCTACATGCGAAAAATTAACAGATTTCAGGATAATTCAAATCTTTCCGATTTTAGGTAGTTATATCTTGTCTCAATTCTGGCTAACACGTTGAGATGCTAAAATAAAATTTTCGTAAACGTCATACTTAAGTCAAAAGTCAAATGAGACTTAAATAGTAAAAATTCTCTTTGATAGTAGTTTTTCTCCTTTAATTCAAAGTGAGACGGACTCTACCACCCTCCTTCTCCCCATTTACGAATCACCTGATAAGAATTGTGATAGTAAAATATATTTAAAAAGAAACCAAAATTTGACTATTACAAAACTTCTTAAATATACCTTGATAGCTGATTGTTCGTACTGCTGATGATCGTATTGTGGAAAGAGATTCCGTTGAGGAAGCACTACTTGGCATAGGATTAAAACTGATTTGATTTGTAGATAAAATTGTGGCAACAGTGGATATCGCAGTGGACAATTTTTTCGTCATGGTGGCGCCTAACATTGAGTGATTACAAGTTGAGGAAGCAACACTGTCTTTCGTTTTATAATCAACGTCATTTCCATTACAAATCCATTCTTTATTTGTGACATTTTGTGTACATGAATGACGTATACGTATTTTCTCGGTTGTGTCATTGCAAGAAAACCACGTGCTCCAGTAGGTGAAAGTTGATTGGTTAATTTTCACGTTTGTAGGATCTTGTGACAAAAATAAAAGAAATTTAGATTGCTGCTTAAATAGTAAAATCAAACAATCGATTGTCCATATTTCTAATTCACCTGTTGAACTTTTACTTATCACAGTTAAAAAATTATAACACACTTAATGAAGCAAATAAATAACTTATGTAGGATATTAGTCAGTTATTGAGAATTCATTTGAAAACAACATTATAATTTCTTACCATCACATACAGCAGGCTCACACCCGAAAAACTCTATGTCAGAGCCAGTACAAGGATATCCTCCATTTGCAGGTGATGGGTTTGAGCATGTTCTTGTTCGATTCTGGTAACCACGAAGGCATTCTGTCCAATTAGACCATCCAGACCAACTACCATGTATAGGTCCTTGAAACCACCATTGCTCCTGACTTGTTAAAGTTGATGCATCAACTGAAACATCGGTTACGCATGAAAATTAAGTTAAAACAAAATTCTCTTGAAATTTAGAAATAAAAGACAGCATGTAAAAGCCAATAATATGGGTACCTCAGATTAAAATAGACAAACCTGAGCAATTTGCCAATTCATAGTCAACGCCATCACATACAAATGACTTGCGAGAATATATACATTTCCTGTTGCGGTATTTACAGAAATTGCCATCGTTATTTTTAAGAACAGACCACGCTGACCATGATGACCACTGAGCTATATAAATTTGAAATGTTGTTTACACAAAATTTGATAGAATATGTACCTTCCTATCGCGAGAAACAATTTTAGGCCAACGCGTCAACTCACGTTGCCCTCAATTTCATGCAGAAAGATTTCAAAATGAAGTTTCATTCACATTAAAATCCTGGCTTTGTTTTGCAATTTTTTTTCAAAGCTTTCGACCATTATAATAGATAAATAAAATATAGGGTATTTTTTTAAATTTGAGAAAGAAAATTTTATTTTTTGTGGTTTAAGATAGAGAAAATAATTTTGCTCGTTTGAATTAAGACTCAAATCTAAAACTTATATAGTAGCAAATTTAGCCATTACTTTACCAAGCTGTAATTTATAACAATTTAGTACAATATGTTAATCTCTTTACATGAATGTAATTTCTGAAAATACGGAAAGATAATACAGTTCCAAAGTGTACCTGGACGTTGCCAGCGATTTTGACAAGACGTAAATGATTGACGCCATGAATTTTCATTCCTTCAAAATATTTCAAAAATATGAAAACATTGAAACCAGAAAAATCATTAATAGCTAAAGAAAAAATTTGAATGACAAACGTTTCGTTCCAAGCAACACATTTGTTTCTTGCCACATCCCAACCGCATAAAGGATCCTGCGCCCCCAAACAATAACTAAATAAATAAAGAGTATAAATATTCAGGTAATTCTTTATTTAATTGGCTGAAAGTTCAGCGTTTCAATTACAGTACAACAACAAACCTCTCGTTTATGTATCTGCCACAAATTTGTAACGGTAAACGAATCAATTTGAAATCAGATCCAATGATAATATAGGCCTTTATATATAAACAAAATCCTCGTCACGAGCTAGTAAAATTCAGCTACATCAAAACTTAAATTTAATTCGTAAACTTCAAACAAAAAAACATACGCGCTATTCGCAAAATCAGGTATGCTATAGTGTTTAAGGAAAAAGATATACTCAGGAAATTTTCTGTGAGATTATATTTTTGAAGTCTCAAAGAGGCTCTCGGGCAGAAGAGCTCAAAAATGTTAGTTTTATAAAATTAATATAAGGTAACAGATATATGATGGGTACAAAACAAAATCACAGTTGAATCATGTTACCAGTGTCGGTTTAGAGCAGCAAAGCAGGTTGAATTACAGCTAGCGTTTAATACCATACATAACAATAACGCTTTTGTTTTGAAAAATTAGTGTGATGTACCAAAATTGACTACATTCTCTTTTTTCATGCACTACAAGCCAACAACACGCATGTCAACAAGATTTTTTACCTTTCCTGGAGCGAGAACCATTTCTTTGATTTTATGAAGAGATTTTTTTTTTTCATTCTGGTGATAAGATACAAACATATGAAAATCATTAAGTTGTTTTAAGGGTAGAACGTTTCCATTCAATAACCCTTTAATTTTTATATGAGATTGCGAAAACGTTCTCTTCAAACAATCATTAATTTTCATAAGAGGATAGATGAAAAAATTACTGATCCAGTGCTATCGCAAGCTCAATATATGGTGCAGCTTATATATTCATGTATAATCATGTTTTGTTTAGTGAAATTCTTTTAAAATCAATTGTTTTTTAGATGCATATAATTAATATTTGTCGCATCACCATAGTTGACATAGTTGTCGCATCGACTTGACTTTAAAAATAAACAGTTGTTTATTGCTAGGAAATCATATTAAACAATGATTTTAACTAGTGATGATATTTCTTTTCTATCACGATCAATAAGTTCACGAATAACACCATTAACATTGACTTCTGGTCATGAAAGAACACTGAGCGTTCTTCATGTTTATTCATACTTACAGAAAATATGTTATATTCTTCAAAAATACAAAACTGTTCTGCTGAAGGAATCTTTCCACTTTTCAAGATTGTTCCTCGATCTATTTAACGATCAAGAACGTCGACAGTTTAAAAATTAATGGTGCCATATTCATACAGGGTAGTATTTCTTAAATATTTGATGTAATATTAAAGCAAACTGCACCTGTAGCGATGTACCAAATTTCAACGGCTTCCACCGGCAGATTTATGGATAGAACGATCACTTTTAGAAACCTAAATACAGTAGTAAGTTCTATGAAAAAGTATAAAGCTTTCTCGTACACTAAATTTTCAATTTGCACATGCAAAAAAATGTAACTAGTCATGATATAAACCATTCATGGAAAATCATCATTTGAGTCAATAATGATTCATCTTAGCTGTTGTGACTGTAAAACCGTCTAATTCTGAAATTTATTCGTGAAATTTACAAACAACGACATAAATAGCTATTTACTCTGATAAATTGAATAATCATACAAATTTCACAACTGACTTTAATACAAGCGGTCATCATTTCGTTTTCCTATATTTGACTGTTTTATGAATTAATAATTTTATTAGATTAATTTGGCAAATATCAATAAATTTCAGGTATCTAAATTTTAATTTAAAGTTACACCAATAACTGAAGCAATCATGTAGCTACGAAAGTCTTCTCCTATATAACTTACTCAATTCCACTAAGGTAAAATAGTGATGTTCCTGTTATAGGTTGAACGGCATCTGAGGCCAAAATACATTTATTTTGATCATATAAAGCTTCCCTGCTCATCTGACGAGTACTCATTCGCAATTTTTCAGAAGAGACGTGAGAATTCGAGCTTGATTTGGAGGTAAATTTACACTATAATTGAAAGGCACTGACAATTTAAAAAGGAAAAACTGTTATGAAAGACAATATATATTTCGCTCTTAATGCACAAACAAACAAATGTTAAAAACAAACACATATCAGAAAACCTGAAAGTGGCTGAATTTATCTTAGCTTTAATGGTAACGATAAGATCAACAAATAAAGGATATAAACGGATATGTAAAGTTAAAATGCAGTTCTAAATGAACTGACTTGGTGAATACTATCTTGCAACAGATGGAAGATTTTATGAGCTATACACTATGCGCAACATACAAAAGAAATGAATGAAAATAATCTCTGCATTTTTAAAAACTCGAAGTAAAGACTTGTTTCAAAAAATATTGCAAAGAATGCCAACCTTTTTGATGTGTCCTGGATAATTCATTTTCTTCCAAAAACCTCCATTCTGATACTTCACTTCTCCAGAAAACACTTTTTCGATTTGGGTTAGTGAATACGAGCAAAGAGCTGACAATTTTTCATCATGACTTGAAAAAAAGAATTTATAATCATTAACGAATACAAGCAAAGAGCGAATAGTGTTGCACTGTGACTACAAGACAAAGCATTTACACTTGTGATATGGAAACTAATCTTAACTAAATAATTATTAGTTTTTGTACAGGTGTAGCTCTTAATTATCGATGTATAAATACTCCTTGAAACAGGTTATGTACGAAGAAAAACAATTTATGAACGAACGAGCTTATAATGAACGAGTATCAATATTTTAAGAACAAGGAGAAGGTTGCAAGAAGCCTGGATAGCGCTATAGCCATTGGATATCAAAAATTTTTAAACTTGCTAAAAAGGTGTTTATATTTTTCTGACGACAAAGAAATTTTGTGATCCTCGAAAAATATTTTATTTCAGTGATTAGACATTATATTTTTCTCTTATAAAAGATTTTTTGAACGTTCAGAAAAATTTCTTATTTTCTTATCCAATAGATAAAGGCATAAAGCTATCCATGCAAGTGATGCAACCGGCTCCTGTTGAGCAAGTATCGTCATGCTGGACCCAGCAAAAGTATATTTTCTTTTTGTACTGTAGACGTAAGATAGATATAAGTAACTACATACTTAACATCAACAAGTTTATGTTTTTATGTTTTTATAATACGTTGTTTTATTAACCTGTTTTTCATGGTAAACACACCATAAAAAGTTTGTTTTTGCTCATCCCAGTAAACATCACCTAAAATTATAAAGTGGTTTATAGTTCTTCGGTAAGTATTGCTAATAAAGTAATAAAACAATATTAACATGCCTTGAAATCAACTTGAGAAACAAAAAATGGAAAAATATACGAAATGTTCAGTAAAACCTAGTAACACATAGTAACACCTAGTAACACCTAGTAACACCTAGTAACCCATAGTAACACCTAGTAACACCTAGTAACACCTAGTAACACCTAGTAACACATAGTAACACCTAGTAACACCTAGTAACACCTAGTAAAAAGCGTTCTTGAAAGAACAACCAGAATGCAATGGTAGCCAGAATAACTAATTGAAGTTCGCATGGAAAAGTTTCTGCTCATTAAATCAGGTCAAGTATATTTGGTGCTAAGTTGTTATGCCTACATTTAAAAATTATTTAAGAGTTTTTTTCTTTAGAAGGCGAGAAGATATTTAGAAAACAATAATTACATACGCATATTATTAAAATGATATCGATATTTTCCTCCAGAAGAGCAATTAAGTCGAGCTTTTTGAAAAGTAACGAAGTTGTTCCAATTCATGAAATTGTTTCCACCATAGTCATTCTAGAAAGAAACAAAAATTTTCAAACTCACACAGGTCTTCTTGATTGATTACAGATTTTTACTTGTGTTTTGTGTTATTCCCCGTTCTAAATAATATTTAGTCAACTGAAACCTGAAGACCACATCAGCAGGTAACGTATACTGTTAAATTCCCAAGATAAATACAGTTTATCTTCTTCGTGTTTCATTACCTGGCAAATTCTGGCCACTCTTGAATAACGAACTGGATCACATCCGGAACAGTCATAACAAAATTCGTCAAAAAAGAAGTAAATGTAGACACCAATTGTGAAGCTTCGATAAAAAATAGAATCTGAAGAAAAACCAGGATATTTATGGTAAAAACTCGTTATATAATCTTATTTTTGTCAACATAGAATAAAACGTAGGATTTCTTCAATAAAGTAGGGAAAAATAGTTTACCGTCTAGCCAAGAAAGATCATTAGGTTTAGTGAAAAGCATCTTATTAGGAAGGAAATTTCTGAATTCAGTGTTTGTTATCCGAATGTCATTTTGTTGAGCACCCATTGTTACAGATGAAAAGAAACGACCATCATCTAATCACAAGGAAAATGTCAATAAGTAAATGTCTTAATTCACAAATACAATTATACTTTTCACAATCTTATACAAATAAAATTTAATTTATACTTTCAACTAATTCGCTTGAAAAAAGTATAATGTATAGAGATTAGCTTAATCAGGGCAGTAAAGCCAGGGCTTTTGCTGGAAAACGTGATGCAAACAATACCTGAAAAGCTGTAAGATGCTGTTATATGTGGATTAGCATTGACAAATTCTTTGCTGTAAAAGACTGCAGACCCTTCTATCTTTTGTAAAGTGTTCATCTAATTTAAAAATCAAAATGTCTAATTGCTGTTGTTAGTATCTTTATAGACTACAATCATCAAATTTCTGAGATGTTATAACGGTGGCATATCTAGGATATGTCAAAATAAATTACTAAAGCTCGATTTGTACATGTTACATTCCTAAATAACTAAGGGCAACTTGCGTTGTAAAATTTTTTTCTTTAGAAATTAAAGAATCATTATTTATGTTTCGAAGGTGTCTTAATGTTAAAATTGAGCACCAATACGTTATTTTGACGAACGCTGAATCCGCAATTCGATGTTTAGTTTGTTTGTCAAAAAACGTAAATGAAATGATCCTGTTCAAATGTATTTGAAAGAAGTAAAAGATATAGTCCTTTTGTCATAGTTATCATGCAAAAGTTATGATTTAAGTCCGTTTTCAGTCATTCATTCTTGATACTCTTACATCCTTTGTTACCACTTTTGCATTCAACGGACCTTTACGTCCGAACATTCTTGATACCCTTACATCCTTGATATACTAACATTCTTGGTACCCTTACATCCTTGGTATAAATATTCTTGGTACCCTTACATCCTTGGTATACTAACATTCTTGGTACCCTTACATCCTTGGTATAAACAATCTAGGTACCCTTACATCCTTGGTATACTAACATTCTTGGCACTCTTACATCATAAGTACCTAAGAGCGAAACTCAGGGGCAAAACTAGAATGCTAATTGGGGGGTCATGGTGAATATTCATATATTCAGCTCTGCCTTGCAGATTTCTTTTGAAATTAAAATAACCAAGAAACCAATTCCGTCAAGCAAAGCTGAATATATGAATATTCACTCCCTCCCCCAATCAGAGTTTTAGATTTTCCCCAGTTGATACCCTTACATTCTTGGTATCCTAACATTCTAAGTACCCACATACGCATTCTTGTCAGCCCTTACAACATTGGCACTCCAACATTCTTGGTATCTTTTACATCTTTGGTACCCTCATCGTAGGTACCCTTAAATTTATAACATCCGTTGCCATTAAAATTATACGTATAAAAATGACACGTCAAAGATACTTAGCATTTTTTCAAATCAACAAACCGAAATTTTAATATAAAATAAACATGCAAAAGTATGTTTATGTATGTTTTAATGTCAATTAGATTAATTTATTGCCGGTCTAGTCGTTTACCTCTCTCCAAGAGCAAATTGGATAGTGAGAATTGGTTCCACAACAAAAAATCTTTTTACTGTGAACTGCCAAGACTTTGATATAATTAAAACATTCATCCTAAACGCATCAAAAATGAAAAATTTATGCTATACCTATTTGTAGCTGTGTAGCAAAGTTACGTTATTACAAACACAAAGATCAATGCAAAAATTTGCTGATTACCGGAGGAGTTCCTGATTGGATGCAAAGGTTTCTTCGCTGGGATTTTAATGGTATCCAACTTATCTCCTATCCGATGTAAACATAACGAATTTCAACGCATCATGGTGTGCAAAGAACAATGGTAAAAGGCGGGGGGGGCAGAGTGCTGTTTAAAGAACATTTTTCTGCCCCCTTCACAGAATTTGGAGAAACAATACAGATCACTGGAGAACGAAACTAATTGTCCAAATCGTAACACATGCCACCCTGCCACCTCCAACAACGAGCAATTTGTGGTAAATATAATATACAACATTAGTGTTGTAAGGTATATAGCTAGACGTTAGAAAGAGGGAAGAAATATATTTTCAAGGCTATTTTGCGCGGATAAAGACTATTTCGTCTAGTTACTTCAACGATAAAAGATATATATTTGAGTATAATATGTCAAGAGCAACTATAACAGGTTCCTCCAATCAAGAAAATTTTTCTAGCACCACTGTTGTACTGAAACGATCATCTACTGTGGCTGCTGCTGTTGAATCATAATCAATAAAACGTAATGATTATATTTTCGATGACAGCCCCGAATCAGTTCGAATGGATTCAATTCATATTTGTTCTGTTATGAAACATTGTTGCTGCTAATTGTTCTAATCATTTTATAATTGTTCCGCATTGAAACTCAAATCATTCGATTAAGTTAAAACTTGCCGAAGCATCTGTTTAAATCGTTGTTTATTGTCCTATGTTGTATAAGCAAAGATTTTTGATGGGGGTCTGACAATGGATGATTGTACAAAGAAATCACTTTGGTTTTGTCCACAACGCCTGTCGACAATATTTACAGCAATAGAGGTCCATAATATATAAAATACAATTTTTCTACACACAGTTTAAAAGAAATACTATAGATAAAACGGATGCAAGGTCTATAATTACCGTTACGTTTTCGATAGCCGTCGTTGTGTTCATGATAAAAACTGAATTTCTAAAGAAATTTTAATAACATTAAAATGACTTGCATTTATGATAAATTCATCTAGGTGTGATAACAAATTTCATTCATTGATTTTAGTCAACATTTACCCTATCATAATTACTTTAATTGAATAATTCAGCTTATAAAATATTGGTTGCTAACGATGTACCTGGCGCCTACTAGAAGTGACCCATTGTAGAAAACTAAAGTTGTAAAATTCCCGGTAGTTTGTGAAGTGAAATCTGATAAATGTAAATCTGGAAAAAAACTAAATAATATGACAAGGAAGTTCTCCAGTTGACCTAAAATACTGGTTTTGCAGACGCATAACAATGGCAATCACTGCACAAAACATATATATGACAGTACGAATTAATAATAAAAACTTTTAACTTGCCTTCATAATTCAGTAGAACATGGAATTCATTATCATAACGACTGTATTGACCTAACCACTCTTTAGGAAAGTTTGCCATAATGACGCAATGAGTGATGAAGAGTACAATATAAAATAACATTTTATCACAACTATCCATATTCAACTGATCTATAAGCAAGAGATATATATAATGAAAGTGATCTTGTGCAGTTAAGTGCCAAACTAAAGAATGTCGCTAAGTAAGAGAGACTTTTAAAAACGTACACCATATTGGAAACAAAGTCAGTTTTGTCATGACTTATTTCGGAATAAAATCTTTTTGTAGCCAACTTTCAAAACTTAACAACAGCATTTTCTTAGTCCACGTACACGAGCATTACTCGAGCACAAAGGAATCAACTGTCAACATAAACTATACCACATAAAACTGTATACATTTTTACAATTCAACCATTCGAACAATTCAAAGTGCAAATTGATCAATACATGAATTTTAGCATTCGTGGAAAAATAAAAATACCGGCATTATTACTAGTCAGAAATTGGCTATTACAGAAATAACAAACAACGTTTTAAACCAACAGCTAAAGCCCAAAAATTTCATTGTTAGGTCTTTCAAACGAGACTAGAACATATGGCACTTATTCTTCCAGAAACAAATTTATTTGACTGTATTTCATCATAATATACCCTTTCAAATTAATATCATTCCTAAGTCACAGGAGCCAACTGAGAAAATCATCCTCAACACCATCATATACAAAGTTACAAACAACATTCAAGCAGATTGCATTGTCCTGTTTAAGTTAGCACAAGATAGTGTTTTCTACTCTTTCATGAGAAACCACTTGAGGATAGCTTTAAAAAGCTTTCTGTTCCATAAAACGTATTGCTTTGCAGAATAATAAATTATTTACCTCAGATATTAGACCAGCTGGAGAGACTTTGATTTACAATAATATAGAAAGCACCAATGACGCCACAAACTTCAATACTATAACATAGTCACTGCATGGAGCGTTCAATACGTTAAAACTTTAACATGAACAATTACAATCTAGGTTTGTTCGACTTTATCATTTCAGTTGAGTTTTGACCTTGGTAACTCGAAAATAAAACGCATACGCTCGCTGCATGGCGATATCATTTTACAAAGGAAATTCAAATTTCAAAATGCTGTGAAGATAAATATTCAGACGTGCTGTGATGTTTATAGATGCAAATGAGTAATTAAATTTTAATTATCAAAATCGTAAACCAAGATAATAGTCTCTAGGGCTTGAAGTCACGAAAAACCCCTCGATATTCATCGTTCGCAAATTGCAAGGCACATAGAAAGTATTGAAAAATAGAATAACGTTATAAGTAGTATATATTTTAGTAAGTGTATAAACATCATAAAGACGACAAATCTATAAATAATAAATAGACATACAAATAATTCTTAGTTTGCAAGCTACGTCATAGCCGCCATGTTGGATGATTTTAACAAAGGATTGCGTTATTTACAATGCAAATTCCATCCAACATAGCGAGCATCCATTATTCTCTTACTCCCAGGGGAAAGGTTGCAAGCCACCTATATTAATAAAAGTTGTACAGTATGAGTGAGCAATCACGAAAGGAAATACGCTTGTTGGGATGAACATACAGTCGTTTTTCTTTTTCTGTTCAACATATTTACTACAAATTCTACTCATATGTACTGTATACGGATATTTGACTACGAGGACTTTGCTGCATACGGATATTTGACTACGTTTACACTACTCCGGAGCGGTCTGAAAACGACGCAAAAAAGTAACAGAACCAAGGTTGTGTTTAAACCGCGTAATTTTTCGAAAACGTCACTTTTGCCGGAGCGATACGACCACACTTTCTAAACGTGGTCGGACGAAAATGGAGCGCTACGCATATTGTGATGTAAACAGCTAATCGTTAATATTTCACTACGCTTTACTTATACTGGTTCTCCTTAAGTCTTCCCGTGTTGTGGTGCTTATTTGAAAATGGTGATCATTTTATGTTTTGGAAAGCTTTTAATGACTGATTCCGCTGTAATCCTTACAAATGAATGTTTTTTTTATGACCTATGGCTAGATATAGAAACATCTAGCAATATGTAAATAAGAAATGGCGCCATTTTTCACAGACAACGAACGAATTTCGACTGCAGAAATATATGTTATATAGATTTATAATTATAATAATACTGCTAGTTTGAAATTTATGTTTCTGTTTTTTAGTGTGATAATCTTTTCGCTTCAGGGTGAAATTGTCAAATATTTCTTAAAAAATACCTCAAAAATTAAAACTTCCATTACTTAGAAATTTCTTAAATTTAAGGATAATTCTATAAAAGTGAAAGCGCTATTTCGTAACTAAGGATTTGAAATTTAATACGTCAACTATACGTCATCATTTGTAATCTTGTATAGACCAATGGTATAGACTTAAATTTTTAATTGTTGTGATCACGAGACACGTTTCAACCAATAAAAGAGTCATTCATGACGTAAATTGAGTTAGTGGTGAAATTGTAGACTGAAGATAATAGTATCCTTTTCACTTCTCAGTTTAATGATGGCGTGCAAGATGAAAGCCGCTTTCAGTTTTATTTTAGCTTTGATATTGTTAACGATAAGCGTATCACAAATTGAGAGTTATTGTTTCTCTGACAGTGATTGTAGTTCATGGTTCACGAATAAATGCTGTAACGGAGTATGCAAATCCAGCTGTTGTATTTTTGATAGTGATTGCTCAAATGGAGAATCTTGTTGCTCTGATAACAAATGTTCGTATAGTTGCTATGGAAATTCTTGTACATTTAACTCAGACTGTGGTACAGGAGAATGCTGTGGTTCAGATTATCGTTGTAAGTATGGCAGTTGTTTGGTTGCAACTACTGCTCGTAGTGCGGACAGTTGCTATTCTGATAGTGATTGCTTAGTAGGAGAATCTTGTTGCTCTGATAAGAAATGTTCGTACGTTTGCTACGGAAAATCTTGTATACTTAACTCAGACTGTGGTACAGGAGAATGCTGTGGTTCAGATTATCGTTGTAAGTATGGCAGTTGTTTGGTTACAACTACTGCTCGTAGTGCGGACAGTTGCTATTCTGATAGTGATTGCTTAGTAGGAGAATCTTGTTGCTCTGATAAGAAATGTTCGTACGTTTGCTATGGAAAATCTTGTACACTTAACTCAGACTGTGGTACAGGAGAATGCTGTGGTTCAGATTATCGTTGTAAGTATGGAAGTTGTTTGGTTACAACTACTGCTCGTAGCGGGGACAATTGCTATTCTGATAGTGATTGCTCAACAGGAAAATCTTGTTGCTCTGATAAGAAATGCTCGAATAGTTGCTATGGAAAATCTTGTACATTTAACTCAGACTGTGCTTCGGGAGAATGCTGTGATTCAGATTACACTTGCTCATATTGCAAAACTTATACTCGTCTTGCTGGTTGGATTATTGCCGTCATCGTGATCAGTATTATTGTCGTTATCGTTATACCCGTTGCAATTGTAATATTTTGTTTTTGTTGTGCTGCTACAGCAGCAGCATCTTCTACACGACATGCTCAACATGGCGTGATAGTTGCAGCACCAGCTACAACTGGAACTACAGTCATATCAAGCAATCAACAGCAGAGTCAGCAATATATGATGCCACAGCCAACATATCCTCGAGCTCAAACTTATCCCAATCAACAACCACCACCATATCAACCCCCTCAACAACCAACTGTAGTGGGAATGCCATCCCAACAGCCAGACAAAAAAGCATATTGAACACTGTGGACAAGCATTTGTTAAAGATCACAAAAAATCTGTGAGGAGACACTAAAAGTTAATGCTACTTTGATTATTAGTTGTAGATTTATCATACTTGGTGATAAAAATAAAAATAGCACTGTGATTTTTTCTGTTGTCTGTAAGATTACTAAATTCTTTAAGAATGTTATCCTTGGGAAAGTAAGTGCAAGTCTTTCAAGATAACTTGTAATTCAAAAAGTGCTTTCATTTTTATAATATTATCTGTTTTCCTGGCTCTTTTTGCGTATATTCTCATCCATGCTTTGTGTTATATTAAGGACAAATTCAAGTCAAACTTATTACGAGATAAGTTTGAAAAATAATAGTATAGACAAACTTCGCATCATCAAACAGTTCGTTTACTTGAAGGCGCAAAGTCGGATCAAAATAAATTACTGCACCACAATTCGGCTTATATTGCATTTCTAAGCATCTTAGAGGCAAATACTTTAAATTTAAAATTAAGGAGCTATAATTTATTTTGCGAACACTGAATCAGCTGCTTTGGAGGCGTGATGTTTGTTTCATTTCGTTGCTTTAGTCATTTCTGTTAGATCAATTCTTCGTGAGTTTGTGTTGAGCATTGCTTTACGTAGCATTAGCAGTAGTTTCCGAGAAGACCTTAGGGAGAACTTGAGAATCTATACGATTCCGACTCACTTATCTATCGGACTGCTAACCTGAGAATCCACAACATTCGATTTCTGAAGAAAAATTAATTGCGTGGAGAACCTGAACCATGAGTAACGAAGACGAGGCACTGAAGACTGCTAAGCTCAAACGCCGAGCAGCCAAGTCTACATTGACAAGACTAGGAAAGGCCTTGAATCATCTGTGTATGAATAAAAGACCAGCAAACGAGGTAAGCGACTATCTCGTTAAAGTAAAACAAGCGTTCGACGTTGTAGAGAAACATGAGCTTTATGCAAATTTGATTATGAAGGATGAAGCTTTTGAAGCAGAAGAGCATTGGTTAGATGAGTGCCAAAACGAATTTTTAAAACTTGATATTGAGGCAAAATATTATATTGAACAATTGGTTTCAGTGAAAATTTCAGAGACTAACATCAGTCAAAACGAGCAAAATTTGTCTGGAATGATCGGAATGCAAAATGCTGACAGCGCAAGTAATATGAGCCCCGCAGTTATTGAGGAAAACCAGACCAGCGTAGGTGATGAAATTAGCAATGTAGCGGAAAGTTCCCCTGCGGTAATTTCCGAGGAATATGTCAACACTCCCACAGAAATAAGCCCAACAAATGAGGAAAATTTTCCGAATCAAATTGCGTCCCAGTCTGAAGTAAAAAATGAATCTGAAAATACACGAAGTCCCTGCGGGTTTCAAATGGAAAAACCAAAGCTACCGAAATTTTCGGGCGACGTACGTGAATATGCAATATTTCGTGCGGATTTCAAGCATGCAATTGAATCGAGATATACAAAACGAGATTCAATAACACTACTGCGAACTTGTTTGAAAGAGAAACCTTTTGAATTAATAAAAGGTATTGGTTCTGATTATGATGCAGCGTGGGAATACTTAGATTCAATTTACGGGGACCCTCGTACGTATCAGACACCATAACGCAGGACATCGTTAAATTTAAAGCCCTAGAAACAGGAGAAGACGCGCGTTTCTGTGATTTAGTTCATTTGGTTAGGCGGTGTTTCAACGCGTTGAAAGAGGTAGGGGTTCCGAGTGACATGGATAACAGCCACATGCTATCCATGATTGAGCAAAAGATGTGTCCAGATGATCGAAAAGTGTGGTCGAGAGACTTAGAGAGAGAGCAAAAGCCCGCAACCCTTAAAGCGTTGATGAATTGGATGACAATTGAGATGAAGTCGCGCATGCGTGCAACAGCCCCAGTCAGGAGTGGTACGTCTTTCACTCGACGCAAAGTCAATCATGTCAATGGTACAGTCACAGAAGAAAGTAAAAACTGATTCAAGTGTTGGTTCTGCAAGAACTCAAATCATTGGCCGGACCAGTGTCAAAAATTGGCGGCGATGTCTGTTGATGAGCGAATAAAAGTTGCGAAAGATAATCACGTGTGTTTCAGCTGTTTGAAGAAAGCGGGTCGTGATCATCGTCAAGCAAATTGCAGCAGGCGAAAGCAATGCACCAAGTATGAAAATGGAGTCCAGTGCACATCCAGCCACTATCCGCTGCTGCACAAGTCAGGTGCAACCGTTGCATCAGTAACTGGTCTAAACGACTCAATCCTACCAGTGATTTCTGCCAACATTTACGGATCAAATGGTCTCTACTAGCGCGGCAACGTTCTTCTGGATTCTGGAGCTCAGATAAGTCTAATCCGCAGCAAAACGGCGGAGAGTCTCGGTCTGAAAGGGAAAGACATCTCCGTTAACATCATGAAAATAGGTGGAGAGGAAGAGTCAATCTGCACAAAGAGCTACAAAGTTCAAGTAAGCAGAATCGGAGAATCAAAGAAGTATACAATCACTGCAGTTGGAATACCATATATCAGTGAGGATGTCAAAGGAATCAATACCAGGAATGCAATTGAGAAACTCGGACTACCAAAGGTGAAGCGTGGAAAGGGGCAAGTCGACTTGCTTGTTGGAATCGACCATGCATACATGCACACGGGTCAAACAAAGCAAGTCGAACATGTGGTCGCGAGAAAATCGCCACTCGGATGGGTTCTGTTCGGATCATCAACGGGACAGTCAAACAATGCAACAACAACTGTATTACACGTGAGGTACCAAAAAGCAGTTGATTTATCAGAATTTTGGGCAACCAAAGCCATGGGAGTAACAGTAAAGCCGTGCACCTGTGAAGCTGAAAAATTGAGCCAATCCGAAAGAGAAGAAAAGCAAGTGAATGAACAGTCTGTAAAAAAGGTTGGAAAGCAGGGGATGATTCCATATCCATGGAAGAAAAACCCCCAAGACTTACCAGACAACAGAATCCAAGCATTGAAACGACTAGAGTCAACTGAGCGTCGATTATTGAAAATTCCTACTCAAGCAGCAGCGTACCAACAACAAGATGACAGAAATGGAAAACATGGGGTTTTCTCGAAAGTTATCCGAGAAGGAAGTTAAAGAACACAAAGAACCAGTCCATTACATCTCCCACCATGCAGTTCTAAGACCTGACAGTACAAGCACCCCAGTTCGCATCGTGTTCAACTGATATTCTGGATTCAGTTGCTACAGATGAAGAAGCAATTGGATTGACTAAAGCAATCGACAGCATCCTTGATAATGTCGGGTTTCATGTGAAGGGATTGCAATCAAACGGAGAGTTAAACAGGAAAGACGAGCAAGAAGATGGTAATGAAGTTGATGTTCCTCATGGAAAACAATAGTCAAAAGTGTTCGGCCTGGCCTAGAACAAGAAAGAGGATGTGCTTAAGTATAAAGTAGAAGTAGAAATATGCCACACCCAACAGTTAAAGTTCACAAAGAGGAAGATCCTAAGCCAAGTCGCTAGAACATATGACCCAATAGGCTTTGCAGCACCTTTCCTTATAAGAGCAAAGATTGGTTTGCAGGAACTGTGGCAGCAAGGACTCGACTGGGACCATGAACTATCGCAAAGTGATCAAACAAAATGGTTGACGTACTTTAAAGAGATGGATCAGTTGAACGAAATATCGTTGGAAAGATGTCTATGTCCCGTTGTAATGATTGAGCCACCGATCTTATGTGCCTTTGCCGACGCATCGCGAGAAGCATTTGGAACATATGCATGTTTGAGAAGTATAGGACCTACTGGAGTGGTGAACGTACGGTTTGTTGCAGCAAAGTCACGAGTCACCCCATTGGAAGAGCTAACAATACCCAGATTAGAACTACAAGCAGCCGTGTTAGCCATCCAAAATGAACTCCGTATACCACTACAAGAGAGTGTCTTGTTTACCGACAGCGCAATTGTTCTTGCGTGGATCCGTAGCCAGGGAAGACGACTCAAACCATTTGTTTTAAGTCGAGTCGGGGAAATACAAAGCAACGTCCAACCTGCTCAATGGAGACACATCCCAACGGATCACAACGTGGCAGATGATGTATGCCGTGGTCTCCGTGTTGTTGAGCTGTCGGATAGATGGAAAAACGGTCCTGAATTCCTGTACTTACCAAAGGAAGAATGGCCGGTCGAAAACGCAAAACCCGATGCAAAAGAAGTTGAAAGGGAATGTAGAAGTTCAAAATTGGTAGGTGCAGTGACAACGTCGGTAAACTTAATTGACAGTGAAAGGTTTTCAAGTTGGAGAAAGCTCGTACAAGTTACTGCTTGGGTTTTGAGAGCTAAGTCAACATTATTAGCAAAGGTACGGTCGACAGCGAAGGACACAGCAAGAGGAGAGTGCTTAATACCGGCAGAACGCGAAAAAAGTAGGACATTCTGGATTAAAAGAGCTCAAACAAAAAATTTATGCACAAATGAAATCTAAAGAATTAAGATGTCTGAGCCCTTTTACAGATGAAGAAGGCACTGTCAGAGTTGGCGGAAGAACTGATAATTCATTAGTCTCTTACGAAACCAAGTATCCTGCTCTCCTGCCCTATAATTACCAAATCTCCAAATTGATAGTGGAAGAGTTTCACAAAAGAGGTCACCACGGGGTGGCAACTACGGTAGCAAAAATCAGAAGAATGTATTGGATCATTCGAGCACACGATTAAGCAAAGAGCATAAAGGCAAAGTGTGTCACATGTCGAGCAGCAAACCCAAAAACCGAATCACAGATAATGGCCAACTTACCACCACAGCGACTTCAACCCCATTCCTCACCGTTTCACTACACAGCATGCGACTACTTTGGACCACTGACGGTCAAAGTGGGAAGAAACAAGAGAACGAAACATTACGGAGTAATCTTTACGTGCCTAAATACTCAAGCAGTCCACCTAGAAATCGCCACTGATTGTTCAGCGATGGAATTTATCCAGACTCTGGCGAAGATTCTTCTCAATTCGGGGATACCCAGCAAAAATCTTGAGTGATAACGGTACGCAATTTGTTGGTGCATTGACCGATTTGCGCAAAATGATCCAAGGAGCTGACAAAAGGCTACTTCAAGACTACTGCGCGGAAAAAGGCGTACAATGGAAGTTTAGCACCCCAGTGGCACCACATCAAAACGGATTTGCAGAGGCGATGGTGAAAAGCTGTAAACGAGCCCTGAAGAGAGCGATTGGACAACACATACTTACTCCGTTTGAGCTGTATACTTGTTTACTGGAAGTAGCGAACTTAGTAAATCAACGCCCAATTGGACGACCTCCAAATGATCCCGATGACGGCTCATATTTGTGCCCCAATGATATGCTCCTGGGTAGAGCATCTGTTCAAGTACCACAAGGTCCATTTCAAGAAACCAAAAACCCCAGAAGAAGGGTGGAGTTTGTGCAAAAGATCGTGGATTCGTTTTGGAAACGATGGACAAGAGACACATTTCCGTTACTAGTCCCCAGGAAAAAATGGAATCAGGAAAAGAGAAATGTGCGAGTTGATGATGTGGTAATAGTGGCTGACGGAAATGCTGTGCGAGGAAAGTGGACAGTAGGACGGATAGTAAAAGTGTACCCGGGAGAGGATGGAAAGGTACGAAACGTAAAGATCAAAACAAGTTCAGGAGAGTACTCGAGACCAATCACCAAGATTGCTGCGATTCAAGCAGCAGAAGAAATAAACTGATAAGTAATGTTTCCTTATCGGGGAGAATGGATTGTTGACAAACTGAAGGGATTATAATTATTTAGCACTAGAGGTTAATTTATGCATGATTTAATTGACGCGTAATATTCATTGGGACACAAAGGATTTTAGTCTTTAAGTGCAGCTTACAGTTACCACATGCTAACCTGAGCGAAAGCTTAATCATTGTATTGCTTTGATTATATCTGCTAACCTGAAGTAAAATTAATGTAGATCGTGAGGACCCGGCAAAGAAGTGAGTTTACGTATTTACGTTTGGTATACTGTTAAACAGAGCACATATGTTATTCATACTCTATCATTATTTACTAGATCGAATAAAAATTATTTACTTATAATCTATACGATTCCGACTCACGTATCTATCGGACTGCTAACCTGAGAATCCAGGAGTTACAGTTATTTTTCGATTAATAATATGCTTAAAGAATTTAGTAATCTTACAGACAACAGAAAGAATCACACGGATCAAAAAATTACTGCAGCACATTTTGCCATATATTACATTTCTAAGCATCTTAGAGGCAAATACTTCAAATTTTAAATTAAGAAACTATAATTTATCTTGCAAACGCTGAATCAGCTGATTTGGAGGCGTGTGTGTTGTATTTGATGTTTGTTTGATTTCGTTGCGTTGGTCATTTCTGTTAGATCAATCCTTCGTGAGTTTGTGTTGAACATTGCTGTATGAAGAATCAGTAGTAGCTTTCCGAGAAGACCTTAGGGAGAACTTGAGAGCAGGTCAGTGCAAGCCGGGCAGGTGTATGTGAGTTTTTTTCCTGGAAAGACAAAGGTGAAGCGGCTTCAAAATTGCAGGAAACAGATATAGTTCCAATTATATTCATTTTAATGGTTTGCACAAGCTAATGCAAACACGGCTATAGACACGGGCTTTGTTGTTTTTATTTTAACGTGTATCATAAACATTTATAAAATAAAAACAATAAACGCGAGAGGGGATTGGTTTATCAGACACAGAGTGTCATGAAATGTTGTCGATGGTAATGGCAGTTTTTTAGGGTGGTAGATAAGTTTAGCGTGACACTCAGTGATAACTGTTTGGTCTTTCAGGAAATTGCAAGAAAGATATCCAGAAGCAACTTCACAAAAATGAGCTTATCATCTGAAAAGAAGGGAATGAAAAGTCCAAATACAAATAATAGCTGACATTTTCACCGATACTATAAATAAATAAAAACCTTTGGGTTTTCAATAGATAGTCGCATTGATGGGTCATTATCCCATGAATATAGCATGGTGATAGTAATGCTGTGGAAGTCTTTGATGTATATTTGGTCGATCTGGTAACACATTATTGTCTTTTTTTATGTGTAGCTCCTAAAATGGAATTGTGGTTGGCATTAAGCATTTTTCAGAGATGAAGTCAATAGCTGGTCTTTAATTTAGCTTTTTGATATAATACAACAGATTTTAGATGATATGAAACAACAATGGAACCCAAACAATCCTTAGATCTAAAATCTCATTGATATTGTATAAGGCTGATTTGACTCGTATTGTTTACTTGAATTCTGTTGAAATTTATTATGATCGGTCAAATGCTGTGGAAAGTGAAAAAACAGGTTCCACGAAATATTCAACGACGTCGTAAACGCTTGTGTCTCTCTCTACCAGTGGACTTTAGAATTATGTTTTGTAACAATTCTTGGTATTCTTGGTATTTAACACGTCAACTATACGTCATCATTTGTAACCTTGTATAGACCAATGGTATAGACTTAAATTTTTAATTGTTGTGATCACGAGACACGTTTCAACTAATAAAAGAGTCATTCATGACGTAATTTGAGTTAGTGGTAAAGTTGTAGACTATAGAGAATAGTATCCTTCTCACTTCTCAGTTTGATGTATATTTAGTCGATCTCGTAACACATTATTGTCTTTTTTTATGTGTTGCTCCTAAAATGGAATTGTGGTTGGCATTAAGCACTTTTCAGAGATGAAGCCAATAGCTGGTATTTGATTTAGCTTTGTGATATAAAAGCTAAATATTGTATAAGGCTGATTTGACTCGTATTATTCACCTGAATTCTGTTGAAATTTATTATGCTCGGTCAAATACCGTGGAAAGTGAAAGAAACAGGTTCCACGAAATATTCAGCGATAATTTAGATTTATGTTTTGTAACAATTCTTGGTATTTACGCCTGGAAGCCTATCTTTTATACAAGTTACTACAACACCTATACTGTCATTATACGACACATATTTACAAATACCGTTGATGCTACACAGTTCACACCGGTACATTCAAAGCCAAAGTGCGGATGTTTGAAGTCACTGTGTGCATGCGTTGAGCATATGGTCACATGGTGTGGAGTTCGAACACTGAGCTCGAATGGCACATTCTGGCTGGCTCACAACAATGAATCATTCATCTTCAAATAAACAAATCGCCAAATGACTGCGAAAACTTCGGTTTCATGATGAATATTTGACTTGACTTTTTCTGAACTGGTCTAATCACATTTAATTTGAACTTTGTCCAATATCTATATCAATATAGACCGGATGTACGCATTATCGTATATTCGTATTGCGCGTCATCTTGTAAAACTTCTTGTTGAAATAGGAGTTACAGTTATTTTTCGATTAATAATATGCTTAAAGAATTTAGTAATCTTACAGACAACAGAAAAAATCACAGTGTTATTTTTATTTTTATCACCAAGTATGATAAATCTACAACTAATAATCAAAGTAGCAGTAACTTTTAGTGTCTCCTCACAGACTTTTTGCGATCTTTAACAAATGCTTGTCCACAGTGTTCAATATGTTTTTTTGTCTGGCTGTTGGGATGGCATTCCCACTACAGTTGGTTGTTGAGGGGGTTGATACGGTGGTGGTTGTTGATTGGGATAAGTTTGAGCTGGGGGATAATACGCCTGTTGTGGCATAAAGTATTGTTGATTCTGTTGATGATTGCTTGTAACGACTGTAGTTCCAGTTGTAGCCGGCGGTCCAGCAACTATCACGCCACCCTGAACACGTCGTGTAGAAGATGCTGCTGCTGTAGCAGCACAACAACAACAAAATATTGCAATTGCAACGGGTATAACGATAACGACAATAATACTGATCACAATGACGGCGATAATCCAACCAGCAAGACCATCATAACAATAAACGGAGCAAGTACCATCGGCATCACAGCATTCGTCCGAACCACAGTCTGAGTTATATGAACAAGATTTTCCAATGCAACTAGACGAACATTTGTCATCAGAGCAACAAGATTCTCCATTTGGGCAATCCCTATCAAAAATACAACAGCTGTATTTGCATTTTCCGTTACAGCATTTATTCGCGGTCCAAGTACTACAATCACTGTCGAAGACACAATCACTCTCAACTTGTGATGCGCTTATCGTTAACAATATAAAAACAAATACAAAGGCTCTCGTTGTGAACGCCATTATGAACGGACTATAACTGATTATGCTTACCCGAAAGTTCACTTATCACTCGCTCATTGGAGGAAGCATGTCTCGTGATTATAGTGAGTAGGGCCAATATTATGCTACAAACAATGACGTCCATTGACGTATTAAATTTCAAGACTGCTGATATTTTCAAAAATCACAATTCGTCTCTCTTTAGTCTGTTATAAGACTTACCACAAAGTCACAAACCTTCTCAAGTGCCTGATAACTTCTCAGTACCTGATGGTTAAAGTGACACGTATTGCGGCATTTTTTAAATATTCGATACATTTGCAGGGACTTATAAATTATAGAAAAAATGAATTTCAAATGAGCATTTCAAAGATGCATGTATGAAAATTAGCCCCCAATTATCGATCTTACGCGGTCCCTGCATTTTGAATTGAGTAAAATTTCAGTGCAATAAATATAAAGAGCAAAAGCTTGTTTGATTATAACAGGATTTTGTAATATAAATATTACGCATTTACTTGACATTTCAGGAATTACTTCGTCACAAATATCCAATTCTAGCGTTTATTTTTCAGACAGGAAACCACTTATATCACTATGCAGGAAACATCTATAAATATAATACTAGGAGTTACTATTGCGAGGAAAGTACTGCTGTAATATATGAATTCCAAGCTTTATAGTGCTTATATTACGAATTTTAGCCCCCATTTTTTGAGCTTAATTGAAAATTTGGATTATTTGAAGGACTATGACATGTCGCTGGACTTAAACAGATAAATATAAGTTGCTTAATTTTGCCTCCAAAGTCGGGTACTATTTGCGAATTTTTTACGACGCCATATTGATACTTGTGACGTGATAGTTGAACACGTCTGTTTCCTTCCGTCAATGTAATATTATATTATAGGAAGTGATTTTGTCGTCGTTTTTCTTGTCTTGAAAACAAATAATGACAGTATTTTCAATAAAATATTAAAAAACAAGTTTTCCAGAAAGTATGGCCTCAAATCAGTGCTCAAATAATTCGAATTCGATGTCTGAATGCGTATATGATTCGAGCTCGGAATCCGTGGGTTATGTCGAGCATTTAAACGACTTCGCATATGACGATGAGCCGCTCGCAGGAGATGGTGATGAAGTGTATACTCCAGATGATCCCGATGGAATACTCCCAGTCCCTGCGACATTAGAACAACGAAGTGATGGCGTAATTCCACTTGGTGAATGGTAAGTTGTTGTTTTCTCCTGTTTGTAATATACATAAAGTTACTTTATAAACCACAATGCTCCCACGTTTCAGGTGTAATTGTCAATGCTGTCATACCGATTTGTTAGAAGGCGCATTAGAGTACAGATGCTGTAAGGAAATAGGACCAGCTTTGCAGAAAATGACATTCGATGGCAGCATTGAGAAAAAATCATGCATAACACAGCATGCCAAATTTGGGCCTTTAGTTCATGAGGCTGTCCTTCAAAACGTCGGGTCACTATTGAGAGATAGGAATGGACGTGCTTATCGCCGCCAAGCATCACAATCATTAAATATGTAAGATTGTAAATTGTACGAGAAACAACGTTATCATCAACATTGTTTCATCAACAATAATTAGTCCAACCTTTTTATTTACTTCAGGTACTTGAGAGCTGTGGCATACAGATGGTTGATGCGATGGTTTTGTAGGTCTATGGGATGGGAGAATACTTGGCCTTTACCTGCTTGTGTTTACCACATAAAGTTCTTTTCAACACATTTACCACAATTTTGCTCTACAATGGCCATCGAACCAATGTTTTTAATGTGTACTTTTGGATTTTCAGCCTTGCAGTTAAAGCAAAATTTTTCAAATAACTCAACCAATGAGATGTAAAATACCATGAACATAGGTTGTTCATGCGAGCTTGCTCCTTCATCAATTCTGTAACACGATTAAGAAAATTCATTATTATGAAATACAACAGAGATCTAATTCTTTATAAGATAAAATACCTGACTGTATTACTTGTGGTATCTTCACCTAAATCTTCACTCTGACTAGACTCTTCAAAAGAGGAGTAGTCCATGTATGATTCTCCTTCGAAAGCTCTTCAGCACTCCCCTGCATTCCATCGTCTATATTAATGCTGGTCACCACGGATGTATTACAATTTTCCCTGATTTTGCTTTGATATTCATTTTGCAAATTCTGGGCCTTTTTCTTCAAAGATGCTTTTGTCTTTTTATACCAGCTTAAAGTCTTTTGTAAAGATGTAAGTTTTTTCTTAAGACGATGGCACGATTTACATGGAGACTGGGATTCACAAATATCTTCACCAACTGCATGTAGTTCTTCTTCAAATGGAGAATCGTTTGCTTCCCCAGTGCATACTTCAACATGCATGCTCAGCTCCATCACTAGTAGATGGTACTTCCTCATTGAGAAAACATGTTTCCTTCAGCGATGGCTTATGGAGAGTATGTCGAATAATCTACAAAACTTATATCGAATTTACATATGACAAAAAAAAATTAACATAAACAAGCGTAAACTTACTTGTCTTCGCTTTCGATCGGTTATTTCGTCCTGTAATGGTTCAGGAATCCCAGCCACGTCAATGGTTGGGATAGCATCTTTCTTCAACCTTCTTTTGAGCTTGACTTGCACGCTAAAATTAAGGTCAAAACAAGAATCTTCAAAATGCGCAGAACACAGACACGAGGTAGAGGAAGCCTCAAAACCCGGTCTATGTTTACGTACAAAATTTACCCATTTTCTATGTCTTTTCGGCTCTGTTTCTTTTTTAGGAAACAGATGCATCGACATTCCTTCGGTTTTTGAATCATTGGCGCAACTAATTAGATTAGGTCCGCCAGCAACACAGCGTTTTCCTCCGCGTTTCTTATTAAGATTACTAGTAGAATATGCCATGTTGATATATGTGTTCAACTTTCTACGTCACAAGCATTAGCATACCGATCAAAAAGTTCGCAAAAAAAATGCTGAAAATCGTGACTTTGAACGTCCGTAAAATCACTTTCACCAATCCAATTTCAATTATAATTGCAGATTTAAAATCACTGAAACAAGGTCTTTCAATTAAGCTCATACAAAAGGGGAGCTAAAATTCGTAATATAAGCACTTAAACAGATTTTTCCTTGATTATACATTTTATTTGATAAATAACAAAAAGTTTTGGGACACTTGACAAACCAAATGAATGATGTAGCAAGAAACATACGATTCATTTTCACAACATTCCTTTCTAAACGTTGATTATATAGACTGTATAGCCTATATGACCATGTGAGAATGCCTGCCTGGTTCTCACCATGCCAAGTGACCATGTCTGGTTCTCACCATGCCTAGTGACCATGCCTGGCTCTCACCATGCCTAGTGACCATGCCTGGTTCTCACATGGTCGTCTCCCAACTCGCTTCAATAGTCTCTCACACAAGCCGATAGAACAGAGCATTTATTCATCCTTTTAGTGTTCGTACTTTTTGAAGAAGCGTTTTAACTAAAAAGGCTGTCCTTTATGGGAAAAGCGTTTTGATGAAAATATTTTCAATGGCTGCTGCACTATTCGCTTCCAAAATCCAATAGTTTCTTTGTCACTTAATTCATTCAAAACATTTTCGAATGATATTTTTTGTTATCTGCTGCTCTTTACATTTTCTTCGCTGTCAAACATTTATTTAAACATGTTTCCCACGCTGTGCTTTGCTGACTTTATTCATGATTCACTCAACTTCAGTATGAGTAACATAGAGCGTAGACCAGTCGGTAAAAATGTGTGCAAAAAACGATTTTCGCTGCACACCTCTCACAAATTATATTTTCTTTCACGGTGATATCGAAAATAATACAAAAGCAACTAGGCAAGTTATCAATGGTGCCCCATTACTCCAAGAGAAAGTGTGGAAAATGTGCACAACAATTTATTCACGATGACGTCATTGACAGTTATCAAAGCCAAAAAATTCTCTGTACCATTCGAGACTATTATGAAATGAGTAAAAAAGTATATTACACCATTTACTTTCAATGATCGAAAATCTAGTGTCCTAAAGATTTGTTTTAAGATTTGGGTATAGTCGATCAAAGCGGGTGAATTGGCAGGTCTGCCCGGTGGTAGACAAGACCTTAAAATGCTGAGTCAGCATCTTGGTAAAAACATTCACAAATTATTAGTTGTGAGAGGTGTGCAGCGAAAGTTGTGTTTTTGAGCACATTGGTCCACGAGCTAACGTGCAGAATATAATAATAATATATAGTTAATAGTCAATATATACATATAATAGTGAAGTTTTACTGTTCTTATACTAATTCTACTGTTTTTATACGATATGAATATTGTTATGTTTATAAATAAACAATATTGTTGAAATTGGAAGTCCATGCTAAATGTTCGAACGACAAACTATTGAAAAGGTTAAAGTAGAAAAATAAAGTTGAGCCTGCTATGTGATTAGTCACCGGTAGTTTATTTAAGTTTGACTAAACTAATACGTCTGCTATATGTGTTGATTAATAATTTATTATGTTTATTGACTTTCTTGTGATAGGTATGGCATACCTTTTATACTATATTTACTGAAAATTGCCTTGTGACTGGGATGGTATTCCACTAACTGCTGGTTGATTGAAATGTTCGTTTGGTTCATATGGTGGTGGCTCTTTGGAACATTCTTGAGTTTCAGGAAAATACATTGGAGGTGGACCAATGGGTTTTAGTGGCAGTTGTGGTAAATGCTGTTGCTGATTGTTTGCAATGACTGTGGTTCCCTCTGTAGTCGGTTCTGTAACTATCATACCAGTCTGAACACTTCGTGTTGAAGATGTTTTAGTAGCGCAACAGCAAAGTATTGTTATTCCAACAAGTATGGCGATAACCATGATTATACTGATAACAATCACGACGATAATCCAACCAGCAATATTCCCACAGTCAGATATACACTTAAAATGGATATCACAACATTCTCCTGAAGCACAGTGCGAGTTTGATATGCATAATTTCCCGACACAGCTAGACGAACATTTCCTATCATAGCAACAAGATTTTCCTGCTGAGCAGTCGCTATCATAAGAACATATGACGCTTGTACAAATGCCGTACTTACAACGAAAACCTGAATTACAATCTGCGGTAAATGCACAGTATTTCCTGAAGCAATTAGACGAGCATTTGCCATCAGAACAGCATCCTTGAAGATGAGGACAATGTCTATCTTTGAAGCAATCTTTGGCAACACAAATACACGTAAATAGCGATAACAGCATAAAGATGATAGAGTTCTTCTTGTTTGCCATCTTTTTCATTGAAAGTGATAAAAAAGAAATAATTTTCCAGTCTTTTCTAAATGTTCAGCTAACACAGTTGTTGATTTGAATTATTGTGTTGCAATCTGTAATAACCAAGAATGATGTAGATTACGATTGGAATTTGAAAGCGGTGTCTGTTATGTCTATAAAACAAAGCAAATTTCCATTTTAAAAGCGGTTAATAAAAAAAGAGTGGGTAGAAATGAATTCACAATCACTTATAAAAATGCGATAAGCATATTGTAGGCGTAACATAAGCCGCGCATATTGTTTAAAATCAACCATGTTGAAAATATTTTCTATGCAATCGCGCAATACTGAAATAAAGACTTATCAAGTAAAAGCAATCACTAAAAAATTGCTGGTCTCTAGCCAACCTGATACACTATGATACACAAAGGTATTATATGCTAAGGAGAACAACGTTCGCAATTGAAGCGTCTTTGCTTAAGACTGATCCAGCATCATACAAAATAAATCGCAGCAACCAATCGATTTTACTCTTGGAAACTGGAAATTTGGAAATTTATAACAAACTGTGTCGCAAGGCGTCTCTTTTTTAAATTTTTATGTGACGCATATTTTATAGCGATTATCACGGCAACGGGTAATTGCATTTTCTCATCGTTAGGAACGCAAAGCTGGCTGGTCGAAGTTGGTCTACTTAAATAAACAGCAGCAAGTTGCATAGCAAAGTGGCCCTACTGTTATATTTTGGAAAAATTCTTTAAATGTGTTTTTGATTTTGTTTCATAATAGGAGTCAACTACTATAAGAAAAGTAGGGAAAAGCGACTGAGCACTGAACGTCATATTTCGACAAAATTATTCCAAAACAGCTCACTTCAAATGCTACCAAATGTTGCACAGAAGAGGCAAAATGTTTCATAACATTCAACCTTTAGCTGATCAATTTTTTTCTAACGGGCAAAGACTTTGAACGGGTCGCAAAAAAATTTTCCTACACGAACTTTGCCAGGATATCAGTTTTCATAATTCTTTCTTCATCCAACCTGCCACTCTTTGCGTTTTGTATTTAGGTCGACAACTAAAAAAACATCGTTTGATTTCTACTAGACTTGACATAATAAATGTTGAACATACATAAAGCTAGTGGGTTTGTTTTGGATTGATTGAAGAACCCTTCTGGTCAAACTTTTAGGCAATCTGTTCTCTCAATGTCCAATCACATAATTGATCATGAGAGTATTGTCAACCTCAATTGCGACCTTTCAATATGCTAAAAATGTCTATCGTTCTTTCCATGTCTTATTTTGTTACTTGATTTCCAAGCTCAAAAATAGCACAAAGTACAAAGACGTAGAAACTGAAAAAGGAAGAGTGCTGTTAATGCGGTGTAGTTTTTAGAGAGTCGAGACAGTCTCTATAGATAGTCAAGAAATACAAGACGTACTTCTAGATTAATGGTATAGCGCAGCAAATGTGAGCTGGTATACAGGTAGAAAATTATTTGGTGTTTTGTCTGAAAGAAAAGTAAATATTTAGACTTATGGCAGTGGAACAAAGACGTGTACGAGTGTAAAAAGAGAAAAAGATCAGCGAAGAAGATGTGGGATAGTAGAAATAGAAAAGAAGATATATCATAATGTGCAAAGCCAAACAAAGAGCTTAAAGGATTTGTATGATCGGCTGGATAGTGAAGAAGAAGGGAATAATTTAAACAGATTAACAAGGCAGAGAACTATTGATTCAAAGTATAGGAAGCTCATTATGGTTATTGAGAACAAGGAAAAATGTATTGAGAGAAACCAGAAGTGTAGGAAGATGGCAAGAGTACATTGAAGAGCTGGTGAACGAGGAAAACGAGAGAGAGAGCTAAAAGTAAAAGAGATGACTGCTGCAAGGCTGGAAGTTGCAAAGATTAGTAAAGATGAAGTTAGGATTGTCTTGGAGAGAATGGAGAGTGACAGGTGATGATGATATACCAGTGAAAGTATGTAGTTATGTCTAGGAGAAGTGTCCATTGAGTTTTTAACTAAGTTGTTCAATAAGATTGTAGAGATTGAAAAGATGACAAAGAAATGAAGGAGAAGTGCGTCAATAAAAGTATCTAAGAACTGTACTAACTACAGGGGAATAAAGTAATTGAGCAAAGTCATGAGAAAGACGGAAATACTTTCCACCTAAAAAGAAATATTCCTCCGAAAATAGAAAATTCAACAAATTTTTAGGGAAATATAACCCTCCCCTCGTCCAGTCTCACAACTCGTATATGCCTATGACCAATATACTTTCTTTACTGGAATATTTTATAAATTACCATTGTTAATAAATATAAATTACCATTATTAATATACAAAAATGAACGTTGTTACGATAGCAATTGCGACAGTTGAAAGAATCAGTTGAATATTTGCAATAGCAAATAGCTTGAAATGTTTGTTTGAAACAGGTTTCTTACCGATCATATTAATAAGGTAAACAGGTTTCGGGCATTCATTTATTGAAGATTTTCTTGTGATTGGGATGGCATTCCAATAACTGCTGGTGGATTGAAATGTTCGCTTGGTGTATATGGTGGTGGTTCGTTAGAATAATACATTGGAGGTGGACCATGTGCGAAATATTGTTGTGGATTGTTTGATACAACTGTAGTTCCCGTTGTAGCCTGTCCAGCAACTATCACGCCACGCTGAACACCTCGTGTAGAAGATGTTGCTGCAGTAGCAGCACAACAACAACAAAATATTGCAACTGCAACGGGTATAATGATAACGACAATAATACTGATCACAATGACGGCGATAATCCAACCAGCAAGACGAGTATAACTTTTGCAATCACCATATGAGCAAGTGTTAGCAGACCCACAGCATTCTCCTGAAGCACAGTCTGGGTTAAATGAACAAGATTTTCCAAAGCAACTATACGAACATTTCTTATCAGAGCAACACGATTTTCCTGCTGAGCAGTCACTATCAGAATAGCAACTACTACGGGTTGTAGTTGTAATCCAACAACTACCATACTTACAACGATTATCTGACCCACAGCATTCTCCTGAACCACAGTCTGAGTTGAATGTACAAGATTTTCCAAAGCAACCATATGAACATTTCTTATCAGAGCAACAAGATTTTCCTGTTGAACAATCACTATCAGAAGAGCAACTATCCACACTACGGGTTGTAGTTGTAACCAAACAACTGCCATACTTACAACGATAATCTGAACCACAGCATTCTCCTGAACCACAGTCTGAGTTGAATGTACAAGATTTTCCAAAGCAACCATATGAACATTTCTTATCAGAGCAACAAGATTTTCCTGCTGAGCAGTCATTATCAGAAGAGCAACTATCCACACTACGGGTTGTAGTTGTAACCAAACAACTGCCATACTTACAACGATAATCTGAACCACAGCATTCTGCTAAACCACAGTCTGAGTAGAATGTACAAGATTTTCCAAAGCAACCATACGAACATTTCTTATCCGAGCAACAAGATTCTCCTGGACCACAGTCCGATCTTGATGAACAGGATTTTCCGACACAGCCAAACGAACATCTCCCATCAGAACAACAACTTCTGAAACGACATTGACTATCTCTTGAGCATGATTGGCCAGCACAACTAGAGATACAGAGCGACAACAGTATAAAGATGATATAATTCTTCTTGTCTGCCATCTTTTTCAATGAAAGGCTGGAGTGAAGTAAAAAATAACTTTCGTAATTGTTCAGCTCACTCTGTCGTTGAATTATTGTGTCGTAATATTTTATAATCAAGAATGAGGAAGATTATGATTGGAATTTCAATACTATGTAAGCAAAGCAAATTGCTTTTCAAAAGCTAATTTTCGATGAAAAAGGTGTGGGTGGAAATAAATTCACAGCAATTATGAAATATTGGCTGTAAGTGTCTCAGCAGCCATATTTCTCAGTAAAAAAGAATGAAGTTCTTTTTATCAATAATAGCCGCAAGCGCTTGAGAGAGTAAGTAAAAACGCTCTAGCTTAGACATATAGTTGTATGCTCATTATTAAAACAACAATCAAAGCTTACTACAAATATTATTTGATTTATTTGGATTTATGCTGGTGAAATGTGATTAAAGAATGGTTATCACTATCAAAATAAACACAAGCAGGAAAATAAAGAAAGAGTATTTTCCCAAGATCAAAGGAAACCAATCGTCAAAGACATATTTGTTTCTATCTCCCTCAGACTTGCGTCATTCAATGCTTACGTGATTTTACTCATTTTATTTCTTTTTATAATATTTTGTTTGCCTTAATTTTATCATTCTGCGTTTGAAAATGACACATGCGGAATTTTTATTATAAGATAAATTTATATTTATTCAACATTGATTAATTAAGCATATTAAGAAATCATGGTATGCGTAATGCGTTGACGCAATATTATTGATAAAAACTTGTCCAGCAAAATTAGTTGAAGAAAATTCCAATTACAAAACGGCTTTTTGCCTGATGGTAAGAATGAAATTATATGAGTGAATGAAAGGAGACATTAACGAGAATACAAGTGGTATGGCGTATTTATTTGTGCTTCTGGTCACTTTTAAACATAGCGTTGTGCTTGCCGCTTGGGATTATTTAATGAAAAAAATAATCCACTCTCCGCAGTCCACCCCCCCTCCCCCAAAAAAGACTCGTTTCCAATGTGACTCGGGTAGCTTTTTTGACCTGTACTTGGCTCACCAACAGGTAAGCTTTTCTGTTTGGAGATTTTTCTATTAAATTTGATCATGGTAGAAAATCGCCATCAATTTTCATTAGACCATTATTTATTCTTGATAGATTTATACTCTGATGTCAAAAAATTCATGCAAGTAAGTAAATTAGAATAATCGCAGAATCAGAAGTTGCAACTGCTCCTAGGATATTTGTAATGCAGTAATAATTACAGGTGATTATGCTCTTCTTCTTTTCACTTCTGGGTTAAAATCCGCGCTGGCACAAATTTTCAAAACATTAATGAAAAAATGAATGCTTTCCTATAGCAGGATCCTACAACTCTATCCTAAAGTCAACCAAAAATAAGCTGTCATTGGCTAGGATGGTGAGCACATAACAAACAATGCTGATTGTACGTGAAATATCTTTTAATTTTGCTCTTAAATATAAATAGTTACCTCCTTACATGCTATCGTTTTTATGTGGTTTTTTCACTCGTTTTCATCCCTAAATATAGTTCCTGTCACTTGTCTAATTCTTATCAATCATAACATAAATTAAACTATTAAAGTATCTGTTTACTATAGTACTGGTGTAGCCAAAATAACACAATGTTTTAATTGGCAGTGATAAGGAGAGTGCAATGTGATAGAAAACGCCTTATTGAGAAGATTGTCAATGAATAAAAATTTAAGATTTCAAGCAAACTTCTCTGAAATTCAAAAGATTTTCAGTGGAGACACAACAAAGCATAAAAAATGGTTATGTTTGTAACGTTCCTCGAGCCTCGTGATACTAATAAAGAAACAACGTAAGAAGCGCCTTAATTGGATCAAGCTAGTGAAAAAGAAACAGACAGTTGCTGATAGGAGTAGTTTCCCTCTCGTCACAAAAGTAAATTTACTCTTTCATTTAATTCATATGGAAACCAAATTTGGCACAACCATGTTGCTTAAAGTTATCTGTGAAGTGTTCATAGTTATCATTCTAAGATTTGTGAATATTGGTGTTAAAAGACTATTGTAGATGTACATTTGTAAATAAATGCATGCATGGTGCTTTGATTACTGTCTGTATACAATAAGAAACAGTGATACAGTTAAAGAAGAGCAAAGAAAAATATTTTCTATAAGCAGTAAAGCATTAGTAAATGTTAATACTGCAGACAAAACACGGAACGGTTAGTCTAAAGAAAAAATTTTACGATGGAGATACAAGTCTTTAAAATATTACAACTAATTCAAATTGTTCACCTAGTTCAACAGAAATATAATAAAGTGTAAACATACCAAAATAGCATATTATGCATACAACGAAATATAACAAAATTTAAAAATTCACTAAAAATCAAACAACTTTAATTCACCACAATCAAAATATGTGCTTACTAGCTTATGCACCGAACATGTTGATTCAACACAACCCAAAAATACTCCGATAAACAGAATTTTTGTAGTTTTTAACTATCCAATAAGAAAACACGATAATAGAAGCTATTTCAAAGTACATCTTGTATTTCGTGATTTTCTCTTGATTTTTTCTTGATTTACAAAAATCAACATGAAAATTTCAAACAACTCAACCGCTAACACCTACCCACTCCACAGTGGTAACATTTCTTGAAGCTTCCTCTCCATTACGTTCGTTCAACAAACTTGCGTGGGAAACACGCGAGGGGAGACCCATTGTGTTCTCTCTTTCCTGTCCAAGCGACCGTCTTCGTAATCTAGTTTTCTTCTTAGCTGCCTTTTGTGCACTTATAGAGATTGTGTCGGACTTTTGCCTTTCCATCTTCAAAGAATGCTCTGAGTTCATTTCGTCCAAGAGTTCTTTTATATGTAACGCATTTTGCTCTAACAATGTCCTGTCTGTTGATAAGCGCTTCAACTCGTCAATCTCCGGTACTGTTAATCCAGTAGTTTTTCGACGAATACCAGGGCTACCGTATGCAGATGAAGAGAGCTTTTCAGGTATAGTAAGCGATGAATGTGCTACATTGTCAGATGCACTCGAAGAGGGTTTTCTCGTTTGAGCCTGCGTACCAGCAATAGCCTGCTTTTCTGAGCGGCGAACTAACCGTGATTTAGAACGATCTATTTTCTCTGGTTTGATTGCAAATCCAGCAAGTTCTATAGCATTAGTAGTTGTTACTTTTGCTCCAAGAATTGGAGCGGTAAAAGTTTGTCCTACCGGACGATGTCCAGGAAATGCACCATGATTAGTATCGCTCACGATTCGTCGACGTGGACTGGCGCTTGTCTTAATATGTTCCTCTAAAGCACAGTTTGAGTTTGATGTACAGAATTTTCCGACACAGTTAAACGAACATCTCTCATCAGAGCAACAACTTCCCAAAAAGCATTGACTATTTCTTTTTGCATACTTGGCCAACGCAACTAGAGGTGCATAGCGATAACAATAATAACATAATATATTTTTTCTGGTCTTTCATCTTTTTCGTTAAAAGTGATGAGGGTTGAGTGACAAAAAAAGAAATAATTTTCCAGTCTTTTCTAAACGTTTAGCTAACAGAGTCGTTAACTTGATATATTTTGTTGCAATCTCTAACAACCAAGAATGAGGAATATTATTATGGTTGAAATTCGAAAGCGGTGCGCACAGTGTCTATAAAACAAAGTAAACTTCCGTTTTAAAAGCTTGTATTCTACGAAAAACAGTGTGGGTGGAAATGAACTTGCAAAGAATTTGATGAGTACAATGTAGGCGTATCAGATAGCCATGTATTGTTCAAAATCAACCATGTTGAAAATATTTTCTATGCACTCATGCAATACTAAAATAAAGACTTGTCAAGTAAAACTTATCACAAGAAAATTGCTAGTCTCTAGATCTTTACTGCCTGATGGACTACAATATAGTTTAACTCTTCAAAAATCTATCTAATTTAATATACAAAAGAAAAATGCACAGCGAAATGGACCAAGAGTTTATTTCTTGTATTTTTATGATCAACAGTTTTAATGTTGTATGAAAGAATGTTGTATGCAGTGCGGTGTTTGAAATTAAATGAAGATATGATCTTCGCACTTTGCTGGACAATTTAAGCAATTGTCTCATGAACCTGAAAAATTCAGGTGACTCAACGTCACCCA